CCTTTATTTGAATGGGAACCTGGCGAACTACATGTTCAAGCGCTCACGATGTCATGTACAGAGTGGGAAAGTCCCTAGCCTCCTCGCTGTTAACCGCTAACGTCCCAGAAACGGGATATTACACTTTCCCAGCACAACAGAGTCCAACTTTGGCCGGGGATGGAAGATTGGGAGCACAATGATTCGTCAAGCTTCAAGGATGTGCCATCATGACAGCCATTTATTACCTGAATATATTACCGGAACTGTATTAACCGTGATACCAAGGCGCTAGAAGCTTCATCAAACCTTCTAGAACAAGGACATCAATGTTTCACTCTCGTATATTAGATCCAAGGACTCAAAATTATCATCATGTAACATTGTAACCTCAACGAGAGAAGGTAGAGAAACAAACGACCAAGAAAACCGGCCAGACCGACCGGAGCTTAAGAAATTATCCGCACCGCAAAGGTTAACAAGCGAAACTAAAACCTAGCTACATCCATACCCAGCTACACAGGGATGCTGAGCGGAAACCTCATTCCTTCCATGATTATTCCATCGGATGTTTTGATAAGATGACGACGTTGAATTTTCTCACTTATGCCTTCTCTAGAGTCTAAATGAATTAATTACCCTTTTTGAGTTCATTTGAACAATCGCTAGATCAACTATTATTGGATCCCATCCACCATCCATCCATCATTCAGCTACAATGTACAGGATGGGAGTATGTTATGTTGAACCATTGAAAAACTATTTATCCCGCAACCTTATGCATTCATTCACTATATATATATATATATATATATATATACACCCTTACAAAAGTTTAAATTTCTTCAATGGCTAATAATTACATTCATTCTTATTCTTATTCTTCTTGCTTTGCCCACTTTATTAATCTAGGTAGGTACTCTATTATGATCGTCAAAAATGCTTATATATTTATTCTTCTGAAGCGTAGTAGCTCTTTTCATATAGTTATAGTTATAGTTACAGTTATAGTTACAGTTAGTTCTACTACCGAGTACTTACTTCTACTGAGTCGTTCCAATTCATTCAATTCTGCATGCAGGGCATAATGATAAAAATGCACACTGCGTGCGTGCGTGGCCAATGCGTTTGCGGGAACTTTGTTTCGTAAGAAAGAGTCTAGAGAAGCATAGAAGAAAAAAAAAGAAATTAATAGGCTGAAATTGCTTCGTCACAAATAGCGACTAATGTATATATATCAAGCGCGCCATGCTATTTTGATTTTGATTTTGATTTTGATAATCCGCATTAATCCCGAGGTAGCATTGTATTTCCACTTCTAGCGTCACGATTCCTCGTGGCATTGGCATTATTCCTGATTTTGGAATATTCTGATAGATCGCCGAGATTAGATGCTCACTACTCCGTACAGAAATACCCGATTAAAAGAGAGGCTGAAGCAGCACTGGGTACACTGGCAAAGAGTAATGCGTAGGTAGACAAAGTTAACTACTCATCCTTACCTACGGTTACATCAGTGCATTTTAGTATGAGAACTAATGAGCGGGAAGATGTCATATCGCTAGATTTTGGGCTCGTCCTCCCGCAGCCGAAGAGCTCTTGCCAGTTAGTGGCGCATACCACGTCTGTCTTCCCGTCCTCTTGCTTGCTTGCTGAAGAAGTAAGTTCATTACATTACATCAAATTCTTTTCGGGGTACATAGATCATGCCTGGGTTAATGCTGCTGTAGCCTGTGTGCTTGTTTCGCTCCACAAAAGCTCGTCTATCCCACTTATGTACATACTCATTGATGCTTCAAATGCTCGCTTCCTTTCCATCAGCAGGTTGATCCCTGGAGATTTACATTTGAGTTCGTGCCTCACAGGCAACATGCTTCAATACTTGTAACATGCTAGACTTTTTGGTATGCTTCATAGAAGCATTACCACAATGCGGCTTCAGCTATGAAGTTTCGTTTGAATGCCGCCCTGACTAGCACTTAGTCGCGTATGGTGTTGGAATTCCCACGTGTATCTCGAGGATTGAAGGAACTTGGTGTTTTCTAGGGCGTTTTATGTCGCGTGAGGCGTTTCGCATCAAGCCATATACTCCGTACATATCAACATCCCCCGCTGAAGCGAAAGATTCGACTCGTGATATTTTCTGCATCTTAGGATTTATACAGCGTACAAAATTTATACACCGCCTAGAGGACCAGATTGACCGCCTAACGATCTACAAATCATAGGCTCTTGTCCCTAGAGAATGATCAGCGTGAGTTGATGTCGCTCCACTGTGGTTCACGGGGATTCAATCCATACCGCCAATTCCATTAGTTGCTTCAAGTTGAGCAAATTTTCTTATGCTTGCTTCTTGATTTCATCAGTGAGAGGGAAAAACCCCATGTCCTTTTTTGGTACTATTAGAACGAACTGTAAAGGCAGCTGAAAGCTAGAACACCAAAAGGTTATTCTACGCTCTGTACGAAGTGCTGTACAAAGTGTTGTACATGTACAATCTGGACTGAAGGACAATACAATCAAATTCATGGTGGCGCCGTCTTGATCACCAGCCACAGACTAACCGAATCAGTTAGGTACGTACCCAAACCAGCTGATAGGAGATAGATAGATAGATCTCCAACAAACGCAAAGAAAGACCCCACCACACACACAGAACAGAGAAAGCAGAGTCTCAGTCTCACCATAGATCTCACCATCTCACTCCGTACGGAGAGATGACTTAACCAAGCAAGCATGCTGTCACACCAAAACTAACAAGTTAACAACTCATCCCGGAATTTCAATAGTGCCTTCCGGTGTGCGCGCACTAGAACGATGGATATCGATGTGCTAATAAGGTTAATAAGAAGAATAAGTAAAGCTCAAATACCTAGTAAGTAGTATCATGTCGAGAAGACTCGACTCCCCTTCCCGCAATTGCAAATGCTTTCCTTTCTTCGTAATAGTAAACATGGGTTGGTGTCGTGGGAAACCCACTTAGTCTTCACACTAATAGCCTCAGTATTGGCGTGCAATGCTTCGATCGGTGTGTCGCTGCTTGCTTATGCATTGCTATGACATGACATGAGATGGAATGGAATGATATGAAATGACATGACTTGTGAATGAAGGTTTGTACTGTACGATACCTCCGTACGGCGGAAAGTGAGTTAATGTTTTGGAGGTTGGGAGTAGCGGTGGAATGGTGACCGGTATCGTAGTAAGTTATGTACGGATGGGATTGAGGTGCGAGATGTTATGATTTCGGCTCTTGGGAAGTGCATGAATGGATGTATGAGTTTGGAAGTGTGGAAGGTGTGGAATTCGCTTTTGGTATTGGTGTTGGTGTTGGTGTTGGTGTTGGTGTTGGTATTGTTCAGTACCTAGGTAATCGATATCTTCATTGATGAATTGATGTAAAGGAGATTCAATTCAATCTCCTAACTCGTAAGGTTACCTAGGTAGACTACAGTAACAATTCACCACCCACCAAGTATCAATCAACACCAGTAGCCGACCACCCATACCCAAATGCAACGATCAATATTCCGTGATTATAATAAAGCAAACCAATAGTCCCAAAATTTTATACATAGTTCCACACAACCGCATAACCACATCCAAATCAAGACAAGTACACATACATACATCATGTGTACGTAGTACAATACACCCCCCCTCCCGAATCAATAACCTAACGCACACCCTACGAATCCCTCCCTCCTCATCTCTCCCCATCTCCCCTCCCATCCTCTCTTCACCTCGCCTCGCCATAATCTGCTCAGTGCTTGCACAAACAACCCCACGATCGTCAAAAGATCTTACTTAGTTACAATTCGCAATTCGCAATACGTATACCTCCCATCGATCGTTCGTCGTGGAGTCTCTGCTCGGGCAGCACAATGGCAAGTGCTGATGTGCAGTGCAGTGCATGGAGCATACTTTGGATTCAGGGAATGGGCTTGTACCCCGTATGTAGTGATGGAGCTTAAAGCGGGATAGACGCGTTGGTGGAGGGGAGGGAATGTGATGGGACGGGTTTGAATGGATGGAATGGGATTGGGGGAAGATCGTTTTCTGAGCTGTGCGTATTTTTACTTGGGGTGGTGGTGAGTGTTTGTTAGGTTTGGGTTGTGTTTGGGTTTGAGTTGTTGGGATTGCAATGTTCTGTTTTTGGGTACGTAGAGATATCTAGTGCGTGGATTTTGGGAATGGAGTTGGACCGGAATACAGTGTTATGCTCTATAAGTAGAGATGGGGATGGGGATGCATATGATGGATTTAGGGTTTATCTTGCTATATAATTATACCTTTGAATATATTATAATTATTATATTTCCTGAATATAATTCCTAGTAATTTGACCACTGGATATTGGTCCCCCTGATATGGTATTTTTGCGAAACTCCCACATCGACGACGCAGCTATTCCTTTTTGTGTTGACATAGGAGCACAATTAGCACCTAGTGTCAATACTTCTCTCTGCATGATTTAAAGTGAGATATTTCTACTCTGAAATTACATTCTATCTATACCTATCGTGCCATATCATGTAATTAAACAACATAATCCTCCGTATACGTACATTATCACATATAACACAATCCAGCATCCAGGTATATACCTTAGCCTATAACCTAGAAAAATTACCTCGTTTTATTATCTTACATTTCTCATTCGATTTCCATTGTACCTGCACCTTCGGGATGGCCTTCCCATGTGTTAGCTGGCAGTATTACAATCTTACAAATCACCATTGTGAAAATCGATGGTTACGAATTCAATTTCAAAATTCACACAAGTTCATCAGTCACTAGTCCTAGCGGACAGAAATCCGTGATCCGGAGTACCACAGTGGTCGGCGTCTGATTAAAGGAATTCATATATACGAGTCATGTCATTACTCTCGATTGAAAGGAAACCATGCATATATTATTCTAAAAACGATCGAGCTCACCCAGTTCATCAACTCAAATACTTTACATGAGCACTATCTACATTGCTCAACCATTCTACCATTTGTCTGGAGGCTCAGCAGCCGGACTATGATTGTCGGTTGTGTTTTCGGAACAGACCGACTCATTCTAATCATCGCTGTCATAGTTGACATGATGACTAACATCTTCACCACCACCGGCTATGGCCGTGTTTTCGAGACAGAGCGCCTCGTTTTCATCATCGCTGTCGTAGTTGACATGATAATTAACATCTTCATGACCGCCGACATTGACCGTTGCAGACTTGACGTCCTTCTTGGAATTGTCTACTTTGCTGTCTTGATTTATTGATTTCGTTGCCTCGTCGGATTTCTTTTCGCTCCTTCGACTTTCCCGATATCTGTGCGGACTTTTCCCCTTCTTCCAGTCACTTAGGTAGCCCATGGTGTTTGATTTCGCAGGCTGGGTGATAATTGCTGGAGGATGAAAGGGAGATGTTGTAGTGTGGGAGTATGAGAAGATAGAGCATAAATGGAGGGGATAAAGCAGCTTTGATGACAGTGTGCCGGTACTCAAGCTCGAAGCGTTGAGTAGAAGGTGGATAGTGGAATATGGAGTTAGTGTATGATTGATATCGAGGAAATGTGGTCGACGATACTACATCGAACCAGTACCGCGCAGAGGTATTCTTGTTGGTTAGGATTCTTCACTATGCTTGTTCTTAAAAGAATTCAATTTCCTCTGCGTACAAAACAAAGGGTAAGAAAAGTACTTACCGAAAGGTACGTGATCAACGGATATTTGTAGAGAAGGAAAATGCAAAATAATTGGAACGCGAGAAACTTAGATGTACACAGAGAGAGGATCTTTAAATCATTGTGTGAGTCTTCACCAGCTGAATGAGTAACATAGATGATATGATATATATAGTTGGACTTGCAGTCCTAATGCTCTTCATTCTGAGATGACTCCCGAAGGCCGAAGGCTAAAAATACGACAATTTATGTTGTCTATGATTGACCTAGGCATGCATTGGAAATTCAGCGTCCTCACTTCTCGCTCAATGCAGTGCTGGAAATCAAAATAGATATTCAGTGCTCTCGTTCAAGGCCAACGTCCCAGCTACTCATTTTCTGTGGGTGTATATAGCTTTGGTCTTGGGGAATGAGAACTATTGCTGAACATGATGGAATATAAAGATTGATCTCTTCCATTTATTCGAATAATGATGGCGTTTCTTCACATGGAATTGGAATACCCATTCAAGTTATTTCGTTATTCCATTTTGACCTAGCTGAGAGACACCCTTCATTTATTCTCAACCTTCGCTATCAACAAATTCCCACTTGCACTCGTCAAGTGCGAGCTTAGAGTAGGATTTCATGAGATCAGGTAGATGCTTTTATTATTTGACAGCATTCTCCATAGTATATCTCTTTTCATACTTCCTCTGCGCTTCGGCACAGCGCAGAAATAGTCTGGTGGTCCGTCGCATCACCTCTTAAACAAGCGTTTTCACCTTCTGCATTTCTTGAGTTTCTGGAAACAACAAATGGTGTCGCCATCGCAACAAATGACTTATACAGAATCTTCAAGCGCTCAACATTTTCCAAAGGGAAAAGTCTTTGCATAAATGCAACTTGACGTGAGAAAGCATTACGCCGATGCGAATGCCTCACTTCCGACACCAGGTTTTCGAGAAGCAGGGAGAATCCTCTAAAAGGAAAATTTGAGGGATGGGAAAGTGGATGATTAATGCAAGAAACCTATCAACGGTGCACTAAGACATTCAAATGAGTCTCCATGAGGGTGTTTTTTGACAGAGTCTTGGAATATCTGTTCAGGGTAAGTTTCACCCAATCTGGGTTTTAATAACATAATCTAGGCCACTTGAAGCAATAGATCATTAAACATAATATACAAGAACATCATTTCACCCAAGAAATCCAGTACTCCGTCCGGAATGTGAATTGCATGTGGGGTGGCAATGGATTTACCATGAAGATCTCAAGGAATTGATCGTGATAATGGAGCCGGTGGCGCCATGCTTTCCAGCCTTGCTCGAACGTCTTAAAAAGTATGTGCTACCAAACTATGAAGGCCGTAAAGATTGTGTTGAGACTGCTGATATAAATGTGTATTAGACAACATTTGATCAAGGCAATGCCAGTTGTTGGAGCCCTTAGAATGAGGTTTTCTTGGAGCTGTCCAGCAAGCGGCTTTCTCTAAAACCCCTCTTCCCTCAGCGCCCCTCAAAAGAGTTTTGATAAAGGCAATGAGACTCAGATACTCAATCAGGTATATCTACTTCCCTGCACGAGAAGTACGTCAAAATAAGCCAATGTCATTGGCAGCTGAAACTCATATGTGAGTAGAAAAAGAATGGCATAAAGGCTATGAGTGTAACATCCGAGGCCAGGAAGCATGTCCGTCAAACCAAGAAGTGAACTAACAAGGAGGTAGCCCGTGTTACGGTAGCAAATACTAAGCATGATAAGTAAAATGGGAATCCGAGCTACGGCATTCTACATTATCAAGGTAAATCTTGGAGCGGATGCAAACCGTGTAATTATATATAGATAGGTATAGTCAGCCTTCTTTTAGACTTCCTTTCGAGCCTGTGATTGAAGAGATGAATTCCCTAGAGATGAGAAATAAGCATTGTAGATAAATTTGGTATGGGGCTGGCAGGAATTTGGTTGTGATTGTTGTGAGAATATGATGTGAAATGACAGAAAACGTAATGGACTTGGCAACAATGACATTCTCCTTGGATTATTACTAACATTCTCAAGAAAGCAACCTTTTCAGCAAGTAACCAGTCAAGTCATGTCAAGACTCGGGCGTGCACTTGGTAGCGTTCTAGATTCCATTCTATCAAACAACATTGCAGAGCTGATGTATTTATATTCATTAGCATCCAATCGAAAACAGCAGAAGGTTAACACAAAAGTCACTGCAGGACCACAAACGGAGGACACTTGATCTCCCTCCGGAGTCCGTAATAGTAATAGCGATAACTAGTTTGCATACAAAGTCTTGGTGTTTATTACTAAGGATGTATATCGTACAGCCGTTGAGGGAGCACTGGTGGAGGGGACGGGAAGGGAAGCTAAATAAAGAATCAGACTTGTAACTGGCGCGCAAGTTGTTGGTTGAAGGAATTTTAGGAATTTTAAGAAAGAAAGGGATGCGCGCGGGTTCGAGATTGAGAATCATGTTACCTAGTACTGGTGGTCTCTTCTTTTTCTTTTTCTTTTTCTTTTCCTTTCCCTTTCCCTTTCCCTTTTCTTGCATCTCTGAATTGCAGTACGCGCGGTATGTACGTCACGTACACTTTTCGAAAACACACTTACCTAGTACTCCGTAAATAGGAGATCGTCGATGAACCATAAAATTCTCTCGAAGAGTACGAGGAAAACATTACAAAAACAATATGAGACACAGCAGATTTGCGACCCTTGCATGAAGACGTCGCTTGGGGCCAAGCCAATGCTTTTTCTCGTAGGATTTCTGGATTCTCACAGGATTCTCTTCTCCCAGGATCAACAACTTCAATTTGGGATTCACTTAATCGCACTCCCATTCTCTTTCCTCTGATCTTTGCTCGAAATATGAGTGCGCCATAATGCTTTACTCTCTCTTTATTTCGGTGCTTCTGCCCATCACATTCGCTCAATATCCACCTATTTCAAACCTTACTAGAATAACTTCCCCAGTCGATGGAAACATCACCATTTCTTATAAAACACCACCAACAGGCACCTGCCAAACCGTCTTCGATTCTCAAGAACAATATACAGGTTGGGTTAATATACCGGGAAGCTATGCGACAAATACATTCTTTTGGTTTATCTCTGCGAGGGATCCTACAGATCAACTTACTATATGGTTAAATGGTGGGCCAGGCTCCAGCTCGATGATTGGACTTTTCAACGAAAATGGTCCTTGTGAGGTTATCAATGTAGCCCAGGGGAAATTTGCGACGGAAGCTAGGGATTGGGGTTGGGACAGAGCGTCCAACATGTTGTATATTGATCAGGTATGCAGCATTTTGAGTTTGTCTCTGTATCTTTTAATCAATTTGACGCGCATATCTCGAGGATTTCTTGTGCCAGTCGAGATATCTGGAGTTGATTGAAGCGCGAAGCCATTAGTTACACTCTGATAGCTATGGTACGCTCTGAACTGCCTATGAAAGCATTGATTAAACATGGTTGTTCTATTATTATTTCATGCATTCGCTACATCTAGTTCTCTAAGCTGACGTACACACCTGCAGCCAAATCAAGTCGGATTTTCATACGATACGCCTACTAATTGCTCCGTCGATCTTCTTACAACAGATCTCTATACTCCACAGCAAACCCTTCCGAAGTCGCAGCCCGCGGATACTTTTTTAAATGGAACATTCAGCTCTTTGAATGTGAATAATACAGCCAATACTACGCAGTTAGCGGGAATGGCTATATGGCACATGCTTCAAGGATTTCTTGGAGCATTTCCACAGTATGCTCCAAATAATAAATCTGCTATGAATATTCATTTGTTCGCGGAGAGTTATGGTGGAAAGTATGGACCAGCTTTTGCGACCCTCTGGGAAGAGCAGAATGCAAAGCGCGCGAACGGCACCATATCGCAAAGCAAAACCATTGATATTAAACTCAAATCACTTGGAATAATTAATGGTTGTGTGGATGACCTAATTCAAGCTCCTTACTATCCCGACTTTGCAGTCAATAATACCTTCGGTCTCAGTGCCATCAATCCAACAAGGGCGAAACTGGCGACTGCAAACTTCTATGCTTCTGGTGGCTGCAAGGATTTGATCACTCAATGTCGAACCGCCGTGGAAAGCCAGGATCCCACAAATAAGGGGAATGTTTCAAATGTTAACAGTGCTTGTTCCAATGCGTATAACAGTTGTGTAACGAATGTGATGGAACCATACTATGACGCTGGAAGGAGTGTTTATGATATTTCTCATAATCTACCTGATTCTTTTCCACCTAGCACATACCTCGAATACCTCAATTCGGCCCAATTTCAATCTGCTATTGGCTCACCAGTCAATTACACCGAGACAAATTTTCAAGTCGTTTCTGCTTTTACATCCACTGGAGACTATGAGCGCAAATCTTACGTACCAGAAATAGCTGCGCTTGTGAAATCTGGGATTCATGTTGGATTGATGTATGGGGACCGTGATTACATTTGCAATTGGTTTGGTGGTGAAGCCATATCTTTGGCTGTTGCAAAACAGGCTTCTTCGGAATATGCCTTGAAGTTTCCAGCTGCTGGTTACGCTCCTATCATAACCAACACTTCTTATATTGGTGGTGTTGTCCGGCAGTTTGGAAATCTCTCCTTCAGTCGCATTTACGATGCAGGTCACAGTATCCCAGCCTACCAACCCGAGACCGCCTTCCAGGTCTTTGCCCGAATCATAATGGGTACCTCGGTTTCAACGGGAGAAACGATCGACTCGACTGTGTATAATACCACTGGTCCTCTCAATGCCACCCATACCACAAGTCTCCCAGCATCCCCTACAAATACATGCTATCTCCGCAGCATCCCTGAAACATGCACAGAAGAGGAGAGAGATATGATTATTGCCGGAAAGGGTGCGATTATCGATGGAGTACTTTATAGTGATTCCTCGGATTACAGTGCCCCTACGAGTACAATAACAGTAGCAAGCTCAGGGAGTGCTAGAACTGCATCAGTCACGACTACTACAGAAATCCTGACGGGTCTTTTTACCGCCACTGCGACACCAAGTCCTAGAAGATCGTTTGCGGTTCCAGTGGCAAAAGTAGATTTTACGGTTTTGGTATCATCTATATTTGGCGCATTGGGACTTTCGTATTCCTTCATCTGAGCATCATATATATGTACGTGGGGATTAATGTTTGACTTCTCTCCTCGTCCTTGTGAGACAACTACAGCATACTGTACTTCTGGAAGATTTACAAGCTAAACCGAACCTGAATTACATGGTAATCATAATCGGTATTAGATCAGCATCGGCAGCGGGCATGGATATTGGGAAGAGGGAAGAGGATACCAAATTCGCGTCTTAACTCAGCGGCGCAACAGTCACGTTGCATCCCCATGTCATCACATTGGCCACTGAAGAAAATATTTCGCCCAACCAACTACCTTAAATAGCGTTATGGTAGTCGACGGAAATTTCCACTTCTACGCTCCCACTTCATAAACAATTAATTGCATTTATGCAGCGTAAAGCCTATACACAGAACGACACAGCAGATGAATTTACGATACACCAGACTCTTATCTCTTGCGGGGGTCTCTATCCAATACCTTGAGAAATACTACACCGCATGAGTTATACCTCGAGCATATTTTGTAATAGCTGCTTGTTGAGGCGCTCACGGACTGGCTGTATGAATGAACGAATGAATGAATAGGTAGACAGATGAATGAAGGCATACATGTATGTATGCATATATACAATATACCCTTCCCTAGGTACCATGCGTATGTGTGTATGTATATATACAAACATATCATATAATAAATACTTTCATCAAGGGAAATTCCAAGCAGGCGCGTTTAAATTTGTCAATTTGTCTTGGTCTTGGGGATTACTTGGCTAGGTAGTTTGGTTTGGTCTGGTTTGCTTCGGAATGCTTCGGAATGGAATAGGATTTAATTCAAGGTTGAAGGTTGATGAATGCGATTGAAGAATATAAAGGTGATGATGATCAACTTATCGAGGAATAGGTACCTACCTACCTAATAAGTAATGGATGGATGGATGGATGGATGGATGGATTCAATATTAGGTATTTAGGTACCTAGGTAGGGGATGATAATGAAATGAAATAGAATGAAATGAAGTGCATATGAAAACTAAAAATAAAAATGGAAATCTACTCAAAATCGCGAATCTCGTTCCTTGGTTGGTTGTGAGGTATATTATTGATTGATGAACTTGAATTTTAATACAAGAGCCCGGGAGGGGCGGGGTTGTATGTAACATTTTTCGAGGACCTATATGATAAGTCCTCCATCCCATCCCATCCCATCAAATCAAATCAGAAAAAAAAAGTCAACAGTAGAAATCCTAGCTTACAAACAATCTATATTTATCATTTACTATTTATTATGCCACGGTATGATGCACATGTATGTAGGTAGGTACATATCCCCCCTTCTCTCCCTCGTCCCCGTCTCAGGATACTTTCCTTGATACCTAGAAAATCTAGACATCTATGCAATTTCTCAAATCTGCATTTGTATCTATATTATCTTGTGTCTAGTTTCCTAAGTCTGCAGCTCCGCAGCTCCATCATTACTTTACAATTGTTTGTGAACAACTCCTTCAACAAGATTAAAAGAAATTAAAGTGGTGTAAAAAACAGAAAAGAATACCAACATGCCATCTTAACTTGCCATTCCTCGTGGTCCATCGTAAATTCATCCATCCAGATCCATTTGCGAACTCCATGGTGATAGGGTGTCAAAATCGGTCAGGAAGAAGCAACAAAAGACAAGAAATGAAAGCAGACCATATTCTCCCCTCCCGGTATATTTGAACATTCCATTTCATCCCAAAATTTTGCCTTCCTTTGATTCTGCTCGTTATGCCGATTCGTGCAAAGAAAGAGAGGACCAGCCAATCGTGATCATGAGCTTCACAAGACGCCTCATAACTATTATACATCCATTTCGAAAAAAGCAATCGAGCACATACGTGAGTCAAAGGAGAATCCTCAATTGGCTCAGACACCGAAAAGGAAAGCCAATTGCCTTTCATCCAGTCTCCCAACGGTTTTCATAGCACCCTCATCGAGTGCAGACTCCACCAACTCCTTCTTGTGCTTTTGCAACGCCATAATTCGATCTTCAACTGTATCCTTTATCAAAATTCGATGGACCTGAACCGATTTCATTTGCCCAATGCGATGAGCACGGTCTACTGCTTGCATTTCAATGAAAGGATTCCAGAAAGGGTCAAGGATAATAACTCGAGATGCGGCGACAAGATTGAGCCCCGCGTTACCGGCTTTCAGAGAAATAAGCATGATATTACAATCAGGTTTGTTTGTGAATTGCTTGATTGCATCGTCTCGGCGTTTTGCATTTATGCTACCATCATAACGCTCGCATTTCCAACCCTTTTCTCCAATGGGCACCTGAAGAAGATCGAGAAAGGTCACAAACTGGCTGAAGATGATTGTCTTCTCACCTTCTGTTTGAAATGTCTCGAGAAGTTCTACGCATTTATCGACTTTTGCTGACGATTGCCAATTCTTTCGAAGATACCTCATGTACTTCTTGTGGCCTGCAATAGATCTGGAAGCCTCTTTCTTCATCATGGCAATCGAAAGATGCTGCTTCTGCTTTTCGACCTTTTTCCCTTTACCCTTATTTTTCTTCTCCTTGTTCTTAGGTTTGGTTTTGGACTCCGACTTTGGCTTGGATTCGAGAACGCCCAATTCAAGATCATCAAGATCATCAAGATCATCAATTTCATCAATTTCATCATCACCTTGCTCAGCCTCATCATCCTCTTGCTCAGCCTCATCATCCTCGATATCATCAGGCACAATAAAACCGTCCAAGTTGCCATTTTCGTCAACATCATCAAGTTTAGTATCGACACCAGAGTCAAAGTCTGTGTCGCTGTCACTATCGGTGCTTACATCACTAAGGTCGCTGACGCTGTCGACATTCTCTTCTCCCTCGAGCTTGACCGGTGGCATATGTGCCTTTCTGAAAGTTCTGTAGTCAATAAGATTTGCCATGTCAAGCTTTCCACGGCAGCTTGGACATTTGACTGTGGCGCGACCTTCGTCATTGCCTTGCGCTTCTTGCTTCGCCTGCTCGGATATCAACATCAAGCAATCGTGGCAGTTATCATGTCCACAAGGGATGATGATACTGGGATTTGGGGTTGCATCGTAGCATATATTGCACTTGAGCTGTTAGCTAAGCCATTTCCAGATCAATATCAATCAACTTACTTCAAACCCATCTGCAGCAAGGAGTCTCGCCACCACATCTGGTTCGAGGGCTAAGGCACGTTCAATCATCTGATCCTCCGTAAGCTCTGCCGAGCCGGCTGCTGCTTCAAGATCAATAATCAAATGAGGGTGGCAGCAGCATTGTCTAAGGCGAAGTAGCAAGACAAGGATATTTGAGTAATTCTTCCCGACCGTTCCAGCCTTTCTGTACTTATTGAATTGAAGCTTGGTCTTGTCCCTGAGAGATTCGTAAAAGTCCCACTCATCTTTACTAAAAACAACATGATCAATTTCTTCAACTTTTGGTGGTAAGACGATGATAGGTTTCCCATCAATCTCGGATTTCTTCGTCCTTCGGAGGAGGATTGCCTTCAATACACCTTGTAGGCGTTGCATGGTTATCTGAATATGTTTATCTGAGTAACTTCCCTTCGAAAGACAGCCGAAATCCTACCACTGTTAACAAAATACTCCAGTTTGCGAGCCAGGCCTTATACATACTTTGACAAAGGAGGCCCAACTGTTGTAAGGTCGTATTCGCAAAAATTTGATTAATGAATAAAGTTCCGTAATGTTGTTCATCATCGGTGTGCCGGTGAGGCAAAACCTAGTCAGGGCTCTTAATCTACAAGCTGAAGACGCTGCCTTGGTGCTTTTATTTTTGATGCACTGTGCTTCGTCGAGGACCACACGATAGAATCTGCTCCTCGGACCCAAAAAAGGAAAGTCTTTGGCCATTTGTTTCGCATCTGGGTCGACAATTCCCTTCTGCTTGCATTCCTCTTCGAACTTTAGAAGGCGAGTATATTCCGCACCCAGAGTCCCATAAGTTGTTAGGACTACATCATACTGTCGAAGATCGTCCCAAGTCGCTTTCTTGCTGTTTCCATGGGCCATGTAGACGCTGGGTTTGTGGGCCGGTAATGTCTTCGTATCTATTTCGCTACCCCATTGACGGAGAAGCGCAACAGGCGCAGCTATTAGTGTAGTCTAAATGTTATCAGCAGATGGCCCTGATGTTTTGCCAAACGACATACCTTGCAAGCACGGTCGGCTGATGGTCGTGACAATATGAGTGACAAAGTACTAATTGTTTTGCCTAGACCCATATCGTCTGCTAAAATACCTCCTTTGTTAGTACCCTCTTCCATTTGTTTCAACCATGTCAAAGCAATTTTTTGGTGCTCATACTAATCTCAAGTTAGCAAGAACTCCTGACAGACTCCAATGATGGATGGACTACCAAGGGATATCTTAATCCTTCAGGGGTTCCCTCTCGGCTCTCCAGCGGAATTTCAATTTCAGCTTTGATGTTCTCCAACAAATCTTTGATCTCCCTTTCTGTTTTTCTCGGATCGTTGATGACATGATCCATTTGATCCGTCATCTCAGCGGTATATAAGGAGCGATCGAAAAAGCTAAAATCCGATCCAAAGTCTGAGAATTTGCCCATGTTATCCGCCGTGCCGTGTTGTAGGGAGTTGAGATTAGTTTCACCCATGCCATATTTTGGTAAAGAGTCGACAGTGAGCCCCGAGCTTGCGCCATGTATACTGGCACGCAAATGCGCAGAATGCATACTGCCAGAGAATGATCCTGGAAGGCCATTTCCTGGAAGAGGGTGCGGTTGATCATGAAGAGCCATCGTGGTATTAGGGCGACCAAAGCCTTGCACGCCAGAGGTACCTGAACTGTTGAACGTGGCGGTTGAGGGTTTCATATCCATGGAGAATGCTAGCTGTGTAGTATCCATATCGTTAGGAGCAGTTCCGGTTCCACGCCTCACCCACTGGGGCAAAGAATTATTCATTCCATTAGCAGAGCTTACTACCGAGCCAGATATTCCACGATTGTTTTCGTGTAGATAATTCTGCCGGCTGGTTTTTGGGTGACTAAGAGCTCTCTCTCCTAAAGCGCGGGTGCTCGATGAATAAATTGAACCTTGATGACTATAGGCGTTCGCTGTCTTCACAGCTAAGGCTCTCTGTCGACCATTATCTTTAAATGCCGAAGGGTCAATGATTTCAAGCTCTGAATCACTAGCGGACTCTTCAATATAGGCACCAGGAATGGTTGCTGTTTGCTTTGATGTAAAACTGGAGTCTGTGGCAGTAGCAGCCCCTTCCTGGTGTTTACCTCTGGCTCCACCAAGGCCTGTGCTAGAGAATTCTAAAGGTTGGGAGGAAGTTGATGTTTGTGGCTCGGCTTTAAAAACGGGATTGGGGGCCATTTTCCAAGGAAGGCTCCTGGCCGACGAACTGCCAGCGTGAGAACCATAGACATTTGATATAGCGGAGGGTTTAGTTATCTGATTCTCACGAGAGGTAGAAGCTTGTAAATGGACTCCCAGCATTTTACTAAAGGCCGAAGGCTTCGAGCTAGTGATAGGATTGCTTGAGACAAAGTTATTTGAATTTGCAAGGGTACTAGCATACTCTGCATCTTTTCTCTCCCGCTGTAATCTTTGCTCCTCCTGTCTCTGGAGTATGGTGTAGGAAGGGTCAAATATTATATCATCATCCCTAAAAATTCAACGTGTTAGTATATACATTCCGCTTGTTATTTTAGATGCAATGAAAAATCCATGAGTTTCATTGTTGACTAAGGAGTGAGAGACAGACATAGTGAGGTCAAAGTAGCCATCACCATTTGCATTATATCCATACCCAGAGCTTCCCGAAGGAGTTGTTACACCTGTCGCGAAAGGACTCGGTGTTGTTCGACGAGATTTGGTTTCTTCAAAGGGTACAAATGCATCTAGATGCTTGCTATGACTGCGCTTTCGAGTAGGTAGATCGACTCGAGTTGAACTGGAAGATTCAGCCATCGACACTCCAGAACCAGGTGTCGAAGCTGTGGAGGATAACGACTCCATTGACCCGCCTTCTTTTTTGACTGTAGCGAAAGTTAACACTGATTGTCAGATTTAGTTGAAAATGGGGCTCAGGAAAGCGTAATATAATGTAACAAGATATTCTCCGTGCTAGTAGAGGAAAATTTGAAGGCGAATCAAAATTGTGAGTGAATTGATCGCCATAGCCTTGTGCCTAAAGTAAAGGAACCGGATGAAACTAACATTGATAGCCTCCATTACTTGCCCGCCCATGTGTGTTGTCCATCCTTGAATGACTTATAGCAGACGGGCGTCCATTCGAGCTGTTATGCGAAATAGAAGGTGCTCGAGTGTGTGTGGATACGGCGGCTTGAATGCCCGAGAGATTTTCGAGTTGTTTTTGAAGACTGACAATCTCAGCCTCAATTTCTACTTTGCGCGATGATTGATCTTCTGCAGAATCGTCCAAGGAAATTAACAAAACTCTTTGGAAACTTATTTCTTCATTGAGATTTGCAATTGCATTGGAGTGATCAGCAGGCGATGGAGGTTGCTGTGACATGGTGAATGGGGAGATGGCCTAATGTGCTGGGAAATTATTGAAAGTGCAGCACTGCACCACAAGGCTCTGAAAATTGGTGGTAGGTATCCTTCCCATGCGTTTACCCGCGGGACCATACGTGTTCCCACGTATGTTTCTAGAAGATGTGATACGAGGTTACAAATTAAAAGAACAGTGGTTAAGAAGAACAGATACAGAAGTAGAAGTAGAAGTGGAGGTAGAGGTGGAGGTGGAGGTGGAGGGAGAGGTGGAGGTGGAGGTGGAGGGAAATGGTTGGAAAGAATTGATGAGTTCAAGATGGGAAGAAAGGTCGAGGACATAGAGAGAGTGCGCGTGTGAGAATAAAGGTCAATGACATAGAGAGAGTGCGCGTGTTGAGGGTGAATATGAGCGCGTTTACTTAGCTACTAGGTAGGTAGGTAGGGAGGAAAGTTATGTTACTGGAGAATTTATTATTGGGGAATTTATTAACAAGTCGCCTCTAGCTCATTTCCGTTACTTCTTTGGGCTTAGTTCATTCATTTCCCCGGCCTAAAACGCAGGAACATTTCTTATCGATTAACAAGAGCCCACCCCGATTGCCGAATCAGTCCTGATAAGAATAGGTTCAAGGTTATTGTGGAGAGGAAGAAGATGAGGAGGGAGATTGAGATCATTTGGGATGAGGTTTGTATTTCTCTATCACATCATGTTTTAACTACCATGACAATGGACTCAAACTCAACGTATTAGATAATCACACACCAACATAAAATCACAGGTCAGCATTTCCGCTTACTTAACAATTGGTTTGGTTGTCATTATTCGTACAGGACCTAGAAACACACTGCCTGTTATACCTAGGTATCTACAAATGGGTTGCACAATACATCCAAATTGGTCCAGCTGTTACAATCCAAGACTTTAACGAATTCCTCAATACGCGTTTCGTCCATTCAACATTCCCGAGTCTATTCTACGTTATAGTTCATGGATTGAATCTCGCCCAGCTTTATTATGAAATCGATCTTCCGCATTGTACAAAAGAGGGACAGCCTTATAGTTTCCATTCCGGGGTTTGCAACACAACAACAGCCAATCCCGATGGCCCTACAATTGAGCTAAACTACTACTAAGGTATCCAGGTCCATCCCGATAAATGTGGTGCGCTGCCTCCATACTGGTCAACCTTCTATTTCTCGGGGAGATGTGTCTAATCTTGTACTTCACATATACACATCTGCATCCCCTTTCCTTCTCCAGGTTACCCCCGAAGAACTGTATGCAGTCTCTACAGCAAGTATCCTTTTCTTCCAATAGATCCAACAAATCAGCTTTTCATGCTTTACTGCAGCCCAAGTTCCGCTGGCATGGGCTCCGGATATGTTTGACGGAGCCTCACGTCCTCCAATAACCACTATCTAGCCTTACGCCCTCCGATTTCATTCGATATTATGTAGCACGTACTGATCCGGTATATTCAGTTGTCATCAAATTCCGACTGGCGGATTCTGAAGCTAAAAAGTCACGTTGAAAGAAAAGTAATGAGCCGCCTAGGCGACAGGCGTACGGAGGGATCGTATGTCTATGAAGAGTGAATGGCTTTCAGGTCACTGTCCTTTTCTGATAAATGAACATTTTCAAAGTTTGGGGGATAAATATTTCAATTCGAACAATGACTCTGAAAGCAAGTATTGTTGACTCTCATCTGGTTCGTCCCTCCTCGTGGTCAGCAATCAGATGAATCGAATGTTGGACTTCTAGGCCCCACCTGAATACATCATCACATTTCGGTATCACAAGAACATGACACGAGAGAGAAAGAGGCATACGACTCAAGGAGCGACTCAAATATTTCACACTAGTTGCCCATGTACCTAGATGGTAAATTCTTACCGTTGAATACAGACCAAATTTTCACCTAGGAAGGCAACAATCCGCGTCTATGACTGTGATGCCATGTTATCGACGAATTGAAATTACAAGTAGGCTGTGGTTTGTGGCTTATGTGTGCAAAGAGGGGACATTTCACAACACCCCGGCGGCTTGAGTAACCAACCATCAAACCTCTGTACTCCACTCCTCCGTACAAGTTTCAAGTCTCAAGTCAGTGTAACGGATGGTCCGCTGCGGGAGTGCCCAGGTCGCAAGACCAACAAAAGCTTCATGAGTCTAAAGAGAAGCTCAGCCTCTGTTTTCTGTCTTTACTACCAACAAGCTATCAACTGAAACGCCCTCAGTCGCTGACGAAGGAATGATCATGCAAGAAGAAACTTAACAAGTGTTCTTGTAGGATTTACCCACAGTCCGAATAGGGAAATATCTTCAGTGCATATGATGTTGGCGGCAATTATGTTCACCTAATTCGGTTTTCAAGCGCAGCCCCATTTGAGCCCCTCAAATCAACGATTCCACACTTTGGTTGGAACTGGAACATGAGTTATCCTGCTATTATAGATATTTTTGGATTTGAACAGCACTGAAGGACGCTTTGGAGGGCGGTTCAGTAGACCTTCACATCGACCCTTTTAGCCAGGAACCAGAGCCGCCGCTGTTAGTGACCAACAGACCCCATTCCGGGTCTTTACTTGACTTCTTATTACTACAGCGGATAAAACTTAAAACTCTTTCTATGTGACTTCAAGCTCTTATTTATCCCTTTAATTTCATGACCCTTTCTTTCCTTTTGAATTTCTCATGCTCGTGCTCGTGCTCATCCTCATCCTCATCCTCATCCTCTTCCTCTTTCCCCATCGAACCATATTTATTACATATATTAGAAACTTGGGCTCACGATCATATCCAACCCAACATCTAAAGTCAAGGAATAACCTTACACTCCACCCATATTATACTTTCTTACCAACCGACCTCTTATTATTTTTATTCTTGGGATTATTATCACGATATCACGAGTTTATACTAATTTCCTTTATATTTCTCTTCATCGGATCATTTACCCTAACCTTATTTTCGATTTTTACATCCCATCCCACTCAAAAAAGAGTCATCCAGCCGTGGTGGATATCTGCACCATTACATCAGACTTGGATTCGACCGAGTAGCACTATCGCCCAAATAATTCACGATTCACGAAAGACCTTGATATTTTAGTTATTTGATTATTATCCCGTCCAAGAATTCAAATACTTTAATCAACTTTTTTTTTTTTTCGCTCTTTCTCTTCATCACCAACCGATTAAATGAAATAGGAAATCTACAAGTTTTCAATATTATTTCACTTGACGGGAAAAGAGAGGAAAAGAGAAGAGAAGAAGAGAAGAAGAGAGAAAAAGAGAGAGAAGGAGAAAAGAAAACGGAGACCTAATTCCATGATTTTCTCTCTTTTTCAACCTATGACAGCAAAGTATTGACAACCAAAAATATATCACGACTCCAATAGATTCACATTCTCATATGCAGGATCCCCCGCCAACAAATTTTCAGCTTCGCATCGCTTCTTATCGTTTTACACGTCTAGATCACCAAAACTGAAGAAACTCAAGGAAAATTTATTATTACAACCCACCCACGTAATAAATAAATAAATAAAATAAATAAGATCTCATAGCCGCTCCCCACCTTGAGTCTTACTCACCGGAAAAGAAAAGACCTCATCCATCCATATCCATTCATCCCAGCTGGGCATCCACCTGGGCATCCACTGGGATTGATTCACGAACCTTACTACTCTTACCACCCTTACCACATTTCACCACCTTTACCACCTTTTACCACCTTACCACCTCTTCACGAGCCAATTCCCGATACCCAAATCAGCCCAACCGAAGCAAGCCCCTCCAAGTAGCTCGTCATCCCATCTTTTCACTTCTATTACCTTCATTCACCATCACTGACGGGGTATACAAAACCTGTCCATCTTCCAGCCTCGTCCTTTTTCTTCCTTCGAATTTCGAGTTTTTCTTACTTTTTGCTTTCTTCGCTCTCATATCTACCAACAGTTACACCATTTACTGCGTAGATACCAAACTGGTTCCATCGTTAACAAACGAGATTGTATTTTGGAAATCACTAAACATTGCACCATTTCAAACAGAACCAGCAAGAAGAATATCAATAAATCACTACAACAAATATGTCGAGACACGGCGCACCATCACGCGTGTCGGAATATGATGAGCGTGAGACTTATTATCGAGGAGCAGCCCCTCCTCCAGCTCAAGTTCGAGTAAGAGAGCGTGATCATGAAGAGTCTATTGACTTCAGTACCAGAAGAGGTCCAGAAAGACCTCGAAGACGTTCATTGGATTTCTTACGAGATGATTATGCACGATCAGAGCCAGGCCAAATGGTTGTAAGAGAAAGAGAAACAGAAACATTTAATGACAGACCGCTTGTGCGAAGACCACGATCACCTTCTCCCCCACGTTTTCGTGAGAGAATTGTAAGAAGTGAAGTTGGAAGACGGGAGCCGTCTCCACCATCCGAGAGAGTCCGAACACGAATTGTTGAGAGAGAAAAGGAAACTCAAAGATCTCCATCACCCCCACCACAACTTCGCGCCCGAGTGATCGAGACAAGGCAAAGATTTAGGGAACGATCCCCATCACCACCAGCACCTTCTCCAGTTCGCATTCGTGAGAGAGTCATTGAGCGAGAGCGAGAGAGAGAAAGAGAAAGATCACCTTCCCCGCCACCACCCCAAGTGGAGAGAATTCATACCCGAATTGTTGAAAGAGAGAGAGAGAACCATCCCCAACCCCATCTCCCCCACCTACCCCACCGCCCGAGATCATTCGAGCACCACCCATTCACCGAGAAATTATTACACATCATCGCCACATTGATCATGGTAAGTCTGCCTCTAAATTCTCACCATAATTATCGTAAATCAAATACTAATCAATAAAAAAGGTTTCGAAAGAGCTCCCGCACCAAGCCCGCCCCCACCTCCTCGTCGTGCTCACACCCCCGCACCACCAAAAACCGAGAAGACCGAAATTGACATTTATCGCTCCGGCAACAGCACCGAAGTCGATATTACGAAAACAAAGACTACTACTCGCGAACAGGCAAAGTCACCTCCCCCACGAAGAGAATATTATGATGATTCCATATTATTCGAACAAGAGCGTGATAAGTTACGTGTCCGAGACACTCGCATAGATCTTAGCAGAAGAAGAAGTTTGAGTGCTCGCCCTGAGAAGAAGTTGGATCTCGACATTCGAGATGAAGATGAGGCCGATTTCTACGCCCATAAAGTTCAAGAAAGAGCCGTTATCGGTGAAGCATTTAATGGTGCTACGAAAGATTGGACAATCGTTGATGTTCCTCCTGGAACTGAGAGGATCACACTAGATGGTGTTGGAGGTGCAAGCCAAGAAATCACTTGGCAGAGATACAATGGTGTACGACGAAGCAAGTTCAATCCTGAGCGTGAACGCAAGGCAGACGAAGCCGAGCGTATCGAGAAAAAAATCGAGTTCCGCGAACGTGAGAGAGAGGGTCCTGATCGCACTACTGAGCGTATCGAGATCCGTGAGCGTCAAAGTGGTGCCCCATCACCACGAGAATCTTCAACTACCGTTGATATCGAAATCTCAAGCAATCGTAAACCACGAAGCCATGCTAGTGGTCCAATATACGAGAGAGAATATGAACGTATCGAAGAAAGCTCTGATCGTCAAGTTGGCTTCCCATTACCTCGTGGTCCACCAAAGAGCAGAATGGGTGATTTATGGACTGAAATCACCAAGGACTTGGTAGCTAAAGAAGCTATCGAGGAACTTGGTTATGATTATGAAGAAACAGAATTCTTCTACTACATTCTTCAATATCTCCGATACGTAAGTTCCATCTCTTTGTTCCTACATTCCTTGAAAAGTATACTAACAACCTTATAGCAAGATGTCGAAGAACTCGTCGCCCTTTCGGAAACCGTCCGTCGCGAACGTCAAGATCGTATCCGTGAAATCGAACGTGAACGTGTTCGTATTGAACGTCGCGAGAAAGAACGCGATGATTGGGAGCGTGTAGAGAGAAGAAGAGAGAGAGACAGCGGATATGATGATGAGCGAATCATCGAAAGAGAAATCATATGGGATGATTCTAGAAGACGTGAACGACCTAGCAGACGTTGGTAATTCTTTTCCTATTTCTAGGGTTAAATTATCAATTTAAGTTGCGTCGAGAACCAAGATGCTCGCACAGCAGTTGCAGGCGAATAAAGAGAAAGGAGGAAACGACAAATCTTCTGCTCCACTTACTCTACGAAATTGATGAAATGAGTCAACGAAACGAACGACCACCGAAAGACAAAATACGACGTTACGGCTGCCAAATAATGACCTTGCACTTGCACCAGCATCACTCATCTCATATAGCGCTGTTATCTTTCATTGCTGATTATTTTTCATTTTCGAAATTTTGCTTCGAATTTTTTTGTTTTTTCTTGGACGGCTTCGAAGTTTCTGTCCTGGGAGATTTTTTTATCTTACTTCGATTCATCATCACACTCGTATTTACATTCAACCACATATCCGTTACCTCTCCTCCGAGCCGTCCACTCGTAAGGAAGGTATATGTTTATGTTTGTGAACTACCAGATAGAGAAATAAGATAACATCGCCGTAGGGACGAAGAAAATGGATTGATGGAAGGAAAGATGGGATCAGTTATTTTATTCGTGTTTTTCTTTTTTCTTTTCCTTTTTTATGATTTTTTCATCATTTTCCTTTGGTTGCGTTTGCGTGTTTTTCATTGATTGTATTGCTCTTTTATGTGTGTCAGGGAGGAAGGGAGGGAAGGAGGGAGGGAGGGAGGGAGGTGATTTGAATTGAATGATATGAATGAATTGGATGAAGGGAAGAGGAGGGGGGAGAAGAGAAGTGGAATGGTATACTAGGTATTTTAACGAATTGATTATGAAATGAAAAACGAAGATGAAAATGAAGATGAAGATGAATATATAAGATATAATTTGACTTGATTTGTTTTGATTTGGTTTACGTCGATATATTATAGTTTATTTATTAATACTTTTACTATTAATTACAAACCCATTTATAAGAATCCCACTCATAACTCATAACTCATAATTCATAATTCATAATTCATAACCACAAATCAAATCCCATAACATCTCCCCCGAACATCTCCCAAAAACCTTCTCCCCGAAAAATCTTTACATCCTCATATCTATCTACTCATATCTCAACACAATATATCACAGCTATCAATCATCTTATATCTTAGGTCTTTAACTTTTAACTTTTAAGTTTAGAGAGATATATATATATATATATATATCTAAGTCTTAGTAGTTATGGTCGTTATGTTGTTTATATTGTTTATATAGATCTAACAAGAATAAGAATAAGAATAAGAATAATATGTGATGGGTATTTTATTTTATTATATTATATTATATTATATTATATTAGGATAGAATATAGATTTCTTGCTTGGTTTTTTATGTATGATATGTATGTATGTATGTATGTATATACATAAGTATATAATCACAGAAAGGTAATTAGAGAAAGATTTTGTCACTTTAATACCTAGTAAGGTTAAGTGAATGTGAGATTGAGGGATACATACTTCATTGAATAATGTGACGGCTATCAGTTTTTCTATGTCAGGTTTCTGGCATTCATTATTCAATTATTCAATATTCATTTCACAGTTCCCGACTCACTTCAAGATATTCAGGCCAAGAAATAAATGATATTCGCTATCTAATTCCTAACCTGGTTCCTCTCACTAACATTCACCCCTCACTTATGAAATAACTTAACCTTCTCCATTTCATCCCAACTACCCATGAAGATACCTGATCTATCGTGGATATCTTCTGGTACTACATCCATCATTCTTTCCATCTTACTGTTTAATGCTTGGCCACCGGCTGTGAGGGATACTGTTAGTTATCTGTATACATTCGGTAGGGAGATGTCAAAAAAGAGAATAGAAATAAACACATACCATTTTCAAAAACCATAGCCATAGGCGCACATTCATACAAAATTCTCAATTTACCCTTGGGACTCTTCTTGTCCGCGGGATATGCAAAAATACCTCCATACAATAATGTTCTATAGGCATCTGCCACCATACTTCCGATATATCTTGCGCTATAAGGTTTTCCTCCGTCGTTTTCGGGGTACTTTAATGAGTTGAAGTAGTTTTTCGTGGTATCTTCCCAGTATAGGGAATTTCCCTCGTTGACTGAGTAGATGGATCTTCTCTTGGGTAATTTCATATCGGGATGTGTGAGGATGAATTCTCCTAAAGCGTTGTCCATTGTGAAACCATTGACACCACCTCCCTTCATTGTAATAACTAATTGGGCCGAGGCACCGTACATGGTGAAACCTGCGGCGATGAGTTCGGTACCAGGCTTGAGGAGATCTTCTTTGGTGCCCGTGGAGCCTTCTGCGAGTTTATGAATACCGAAGATTGTGCCGACCGAGACACCAGCGTCGAGGTTAGAGGAACCATCGATAGGGTCGCATGCTACGGCATAACGGGCACCTTTAGCTTCGGGAAAGAAAATGGCTTCTTCTTCTTCTTCTGAAACGAGGACGGCGCATTTTCCCGAGGATTTCATGGCAGCGATGAAGAGATCATTTCCGATAACGTCCAGTTTCTTTTGGTCATCACCAGTGGTGTTGCTGGATCCTGCGAGACCGGTTAAGTTGATGAGCGAGGCGCGACGGATGTAGTATGCTATGGATTTGAAAGAGAATTGGAGGGCATGGCAAAGAAGTCTGGTTCTTGTTAGTTTTCTGAAGGTTTAGGAATTCAAATGGCAGAGATAGCGTACGTGAAATCTCCGGTTGCTTCCTTGACTTTTGCTTGTTCTTCTGTGAGAAACCTCGTAAGAGTAACAATATCTGTGTTAATGTGCTCTGTTGAGCCTTGATCACCGCCGTGAGACATTTTGAGGTTATTGAGGAGTGTATTTTTGAATTGATGATCTGATATATGTGTAACTTAAAAGTAGAGTGTTGTCGAGGGGTATCAAAGTAGGGGAGGGAGGTTTAAGTACTGGACCTCGGGTTGACGCGGGTATGAACCCCGGAAACAGTAATTTGCTGAGAATTAAGACAGGACGACAACACCAACGGGTAGGTAAGTACTAGCTAGGGAGCTTTATAACGTGGGGAAAATGGAGAGTCAAATGAAAGAAAGGAGAAATAAGTACTTTTCTATTTATTCTGATATCATAGTTTGCAATCTCAGGTATGCTGTGTATGTATGCTCCATTATATTTCCAAGCTATGAAATGCAAATGCCAGCCAAATATTGGAGCTGATCCCCTCAAACATGATTCTCCCAATATTGGATAACTGAAGCAGTTAAAGCCCCCACGAGCCCCATCAGCCCCGCACTCAGGTCCCCATGTCTGTCTGTTGCTTTGTTCATACCACGCCCCGCGCTAAGATGATCCGAGGAAATGGGGCCTGTATACGTAAAGTAATAATACAAGTACATACAATGGCTTGTGGAATTCGCAGCAGAACGATGATTTTCCGGTTGGATGAAAAACAAAATCCATGTGGTTGGTAATAATCAGGGTCTCGCCCCCTTTGCATACCAATAGCAGAATGATCATTGGATGATGAATAATAACAGATTCCAAAATTGGTAACCCGCTTGTATTATTGAGATGTTGAGACTGCAGGTGATCTGGACATCATTTTGGAATCGCTGCGGGCAAATTCGGCTTCGGACGGATATGTCATTTCTTTTTCCGCTCGCAAGAATGTTTTTCCATTAATTGATGTGATGAGGTAACTTTTTGTCGGTGAGATGAGAACGTTTCTGCAGTTCGGCTTTAGAGAGTTCAAGGCGGTGAGAAGTGGCAAAAACATGGTCAGCCATCAATCACCGGATTCATGTTCTGATCACGTGAAATAGAAAGCCCTGCAGTTTTGAATTATCAACCTCAGGTTTACTTTTCATCCCGCGCTAGATCTCGAGCTAGTCTAGTCTAGCGCGCGAATAAAATTTTTGAGCTACAAAACTCTGCGTCTTCTTACACAATCTCCAAAAGATTATTCCTCAATACAACAAACTCTGCTTCATGCAGTATGAATTGGATTGATTCAACTCAATTCAATTCATCATCAATGGTAAGCGCATCTATTTCTTCTCCCCCTTTCATTCATTATGTGATGACAAAACAACAACCGCAAACTAGAGTCTTTGATCCTACGGGACATGAAACTTTTGTAACACGTCAGTCTGATATTAGATCACAATTTTACTCATTTCAGCAACTTGATGACCTTGATCATTGCTAACAATTGAGATAGATGTCAACTCGATGCTTTTCGTATTTGCTATAACAAATTTCTAATTCTCTTTTCGGCTCATCATTAAAATTGTAAGCTCCCCCTCTTTCCATTCTTTTCTCTCCCCCCCCACATACAATTTGTGATGATGATCAGTTTGTGCTTTGCACGCTGGAAATTACCGACTGAAGCCCTCGGGCTTTTGACGACAAAAAAGGCTGTTACTGAGCAAATTCTTCCAACTCAATTTTAATTAACATTTTTTTCTACTGAGTTGACGCTGACTATGTTCCAAGATTAGATGAGCCTAATAATCAAGAGGTACGACTCGATTCTCCTCTCCCCTTCCAACACCACACTACTGCATAAAATGATGAATGGCACTGGGCTCCGACAGTTCCAAAATGGTTCTGGTCTTGATGGATATGCCATTTTGCGGCAGGCCTAGAAAACCTCGCCCACTGATTTCAGTCATCTTATCATCATCTGTTGTACATTTGTTTGATATATTGTTTCTGATTTTGGAAGCATAGATTGTTATGATGTCTCAAGTGTACTTCGCGTGTTCCAGGTCTTGATTGACTCTGGCGCACCGATATCTTCTCCTGTATGAGTGTTCACGCTTTAGGTAAATAAACATTTTCTTTTGCACTCCATACTTTTTATGATGAGCATTTTTAGATGACGAGTCTGATTGGAGTTTTCCATGTTGACAACATCAAAATTAAACCATTCATGCCTTCTGAATTTTCCAGACAGAAATCATTGTTTAACGTGTATCGTGTCGAAGCATGTGCTAATATCAACCTCTTTAGATCTTCCAAGTGCTGCAATCCTCATGTGGTCGATGCCTAGATTTCAACCTATTTTGGTAAGGACCTCTCCCTTAATACATTTCTCCGGCAGCCTCGAGCATTCTGATGACATCGATCGACAAATGACAAGCATATGTCCAAGCCTCACGGTTGTGACGAGCCTATCTTAACTGAATATGCTCATGCCATTACATACATTTAGTATCAAATCATGACCATTGCTAACGATTATAGTTCAGATCCGTGACTTTATTGTTGGATTAACTTGAGTTGAATCATCATACTTGATGGTGTTGCCTGACCCTATGCTATATATTACATGGTATGTTGCTACTTATCTCCACTTTCATCCCCTTCACATTTTTACATGATGATTATTTATCACGACGGTCGACATATCCACACGTTGGTAATTGATGAAAATGCCTATGACTAGGCTTTGATCTGAAATTTCATTTCTGTCTACTTAGTCCAAATAATTTCCTCGCCATGAAATCATTGCTGACGATTCAAAGATGTAGGAAACTTTTATATTGGAGTTCATCTGTTCATTTCCGCCTCTGCGGACATGTATTTTCATTGCGATACTTGGCTTGCCATGTACGTGAAGAAGATATTAAGGCCATCGTTTCAGGACTCCCAATATATCACTATTGCAATCACTTCAGCATGCTGTCTCGGCACTCAAGCACACACGAACCAGTAAAGTCTTGAAGAACTATGTGATTGACATAAAATGTTCAAATGAGCTAGCTGTTGAAACCTATCTCCCCATCCTAATAGAGGGATATTTCATATTCATATGACCCCATCATAAATCCAAAGTGTAAAACCTGACACCGTCATCTGCTTTCGTTGTTGTGGCATTTCCCATTCCAAAAATCAAGATATTTCTCCCACATAAATAAACACCATTCAGTACCCATTGTCCATACCCCAGCCAAAACCCTGTCAACAACCCTAACTAACACTCCTTGGTATCTATCCATTCATTCATTCATTCATTCATGTTACTATCGCCCTGAAAGAACTCTTGCCGCCCAATTTTCTCCCGATAACATAACCTGGTTATGGTTGTTACCCATCTACAAAATAACCTGGGCATTTAAATCATCATCATTCGCACCATTTCAAGCAATTAATCAGATCAATTAACCAATCAAATCAATGCAATCCTCCCTGTGCATCTCCCGGAAATGCACTGTCAAGCGCCATGTAATCCAACAAATCCATACCACCTACATTAACTCCATCCGCCGTCTGCGTAATATTTACCTGACTATTGAGATCTTGATAAAAGGCAGATCCTGGAGGTAAATACCACATTTCATCGTTACTGTTATTATTACCCCAATCATTGTTACTACCTGAGAACCCGAAAATTGAATTTATGGAGTCACCATTGAAGGATGAGGCGCCTGTGGTAGCTGGGTAGTGTGGGCCGGCGTAAAAGTCACCTTGATTGAGGTCGTATGGCGTGGCGGAGAGGTTCAGATCTGTGGAAATTGCAGGGTTAGAGAAGAATTTTATGGGTGGTTGATAATTTTCACTTACCTTGACCATTTGAGGAATGGTAATTTGGCAAGCCATCATTCCAATCTCGGACTGGGTCAGCTGGGTCCCGTCTCAGTCTCTTCGGATCTAAATCCTGGGGTGGCGCCGGAGTACGATTTCTACTCGCTGGTTCTCCTGAGAGGGAAGGTACTTCAGGGGCGCTGATGAATCGACTGCGAAGTCGCTTGGTCAATGTTTGCAATAAGTCCGCAAAGCGGATGCCGAGATGGACATCATCGACTACGCATGTACGAAGCGCGTCAACAGCAGAATCCATAAGGCTGATACTGATCTCAACGTCATGTTTAGATGCTCCTAATGCAAATGTCTTCAACAAAAACATGGCACCACTTATAATTCTGAAATATGTGCGAACAGGAGCATGCTTCAGGTAGTCGTTTGGTAGAAGCCCCTCTACGACGGTACGTAAAAGGTTGCGACATCCTTCAACAACCTCTCTCACATATCCCTGGTCTGTAGCCCCAAACCCGCCAAGTCTTGCCAGAGGTAACTTTCCAAAGTAATTCTGAGTCTCCGGGGACATGGCACTTCCTACTGGTAAACCCAGATCATTGGCAGTGTTTGTTCGATTGGTTGCATTGCTCGTACATCTTTCGACAACAGCCTGTAAAGAGAGAGAATTTATGTATATTCTAACATACTCGTACTCTATAGTCAGAATATGTCGAATGAATGGAGGTAGTCCAAATCTGTCAAATTCGCGTTTCCATGAACTTAACATTGGTTGAAAATCTTTCAATAGATCCGTGTAGCTACCGTCCTGGATAATTCTGGTCGTGTATTGCCTAGATCTAAAGATTCTCTCGTTCCCAATGCGCATAGCGTTACTGATTCCGGCCCAACAATGAATAATTTGATCATCCAGTTCTAAGTCGGGGATATAATTAAAATTCGTAGCTGCGGTCGTGTTGGTCTCTGGGGTTTTACCATCGACTGATTGTCTGCGTTTCCGCGGAGCAAATGCAGGATCTGTTTTTCGTAGATTTTCAGGAACCATGTTGGTCCAACCTAAACGTCCAGCTAATTGCGTAACATAGATCAGCAATAGACGTTTAATTCTCGCCGCTCTTAGTCGATATGACTCTTCGTTATATTCTGGTCGTGTCATCTCTCCACCATCGGCCAACGATTCAGCAATATCATCGAAAACACCTAGTTCGTAGCCAAGACCCATGGCGGTACTCAACAACATCCAGCACATTCGATCACTTCGCCAAGCAGGTTCCAACCAGCCTTCAATTCTTCGCCCGCCAACCCCACCAGGTAGACGGTGTACGCCTTCATCATCGGTAGCATATGCATCTTCCTTGTTAGGAATGGGTAACATAAGTTCGTCAGTTGCTTCAGCGGGAGGGAAGTGAAGAGCACGAGGATGCCACTCTGTCAAGATCATAAGACTTTCAATGGTACCAAGGGTCCGAAGACTTCCTTTTCTCAGTCCTCTCCATGGTGCAGTGCTTGATGTCAGAGTAGCCTCCGCCCCAGAACCGCAAAATCCACCCCCGAATGCCTCTTGACCCCAAAGACATCTCTCAATCATGCCTCTCAAGTAGGTCCAAAGCTGCTCATGAATTGCATACGATCTACAATGTCCTCCGGCCCCGGCTATCTCCATGTACCGACTTGAAATTGTCAATAATGTTACTGTGAGGATTGGTTCTTCTGTTAAAAGCATAGGATGGGTGTAAGGTTCTTTGAAGGTAGGTGGGGAAATAGGTGTTAATGGTGACAAAAATTCATAATAGCTAATTCAGTCATTAATCCTTGTATCAATCACAAGTGAGGGTAAAACTTACTACGTAATATATTGAATAGCTTCCACTGCAGTGAACCATCCTGCGCGAACAAATCTGAATCTCGACCAAGCTTTAATTGCATCCTGGTATCCCAGATCATGGTCTCTTTCTAGAGGAGCGGCACCTCCAGACGACAACGTAGGATCGATTGAAGCTTCAGTATGCGCGGTTGTGTGTCGCACGTGGCTTATAGGAAACGAGGTATTTTGAGGCGTAGGGCCTTGATAGCTTTGCGAGGCAGATTGTGCTCTATGTCCAATCCCGGGAGATTCTTGGCTAGTGCTATCTAGTCGCGCTCTTTTGTGACCTGGGCTATTGAAAACATCAGTATAATTGCTTTATCACGGCGTTAAAATTTCCAAAATCTTAGCTGGATGCAAGCTATCAAAAACATTTCCTCTTTGTTGAGCTGTATACAGAAATTGTAGTAATATGCGAAACGAAGATGAAATGGAAAATGCTTCAGAAAAAAGGACTCAACATACCTATTAGTGGCAGCTTTATAAAGCAGATCCAAAGCATCATGCGGACCATAAACCTCCTGTCTCATAACTTCTTGCGCCTCCGGGTTCTCCACGTTCTCATTTCTTTCTTCTTGTTGCTGCGAGTCCGATTGAGGTCTGCGCAGAGGCTGGGTTCTTCCAATAGAACCACCTGGGGTAAGAGGAGGTCCAGGCTCCATGCGCGCACTATCGGGGAAGGCGCCGGTCGTCGATCGAGCAGAAGAAGGCGCTCCCATGGAGGTTTGTCTGAAGGATGCGGGAGGAGAACCAGAAACCATCTTTCGACCATTGCGCGTTACATAATCGTCGGCAAATTCATTATCAACACTATTCTCTCTACTGCCATCCGCCTTCCTCTTTCTCCTCGTAGCTGAAAAGTAGCATTCTTTGCTTTCGCGTCGACATCGTACGCATGGTGGATCACTGGGGTTATCGACACTCCCTAGATCGCACCTCACTTTGCGACGACGACTGCAATTGAATTAGCTTTTGAGATCAGATATGTAGATAAGATGGCTTACCACGGTATGCAAGCCTGGTAGATTCTTTTGTGATTCCCTCCTACTTAAATATTAGTCTGCTTGTACAAAGCTGTGTGACGATGGGAATTCAGCAGAATATCCCGAGATTGATCCACTGACCGGTCTGCCCTTTGGAATGCTGCTGACCAGTAGAAGGTGAGGCATCAGTATTGGGCTTACTCTGTTTCTCCTGCTGTGTAAAATTGGTCGTTGGCGCCGACATGATAATAGCAAAAAAGAGCAAGCTTAGTTGTGTAAATGATCGAAGCTCCTTCGGTTTCCCACGGTTTAGGCTTGCGATGCTTCCCGAGATAAGAGCGTTACAACCGTAAAACCAACAAGTTGAAATCGATGTGGAGGTCAATTGCAAGCACCGATCTTATTGATAAGCCAGATAAAAGGAGGGGTTTCCAATTATTCACTTGTTTTGATCCCTTCGATATGGAGAAGATGGAAATACCATATCATTGATTGGTAGATATACAACTTTGACTTCTTGATTCTGTTTTCGGGATAAATGTTTTTGTTGGAGTATGTCTATGAAGATGTTTCGTTATCTTTTCCCACCTTCCTTGTACGAGTCAAATTACATACAAAAAGGTATATGTCTAGCCCTTTTCGTGAGGCTGCATATCCGAGGCTACTGATTTTCAATGTAAGGGCCTGGTGGGATGGCTTTAGGCTGCTTGACGATGAAATTTTCGTTGCTATACGCACAGCAGTGGGGATTTAGGTACATTACTAGGTAGGTATTCGAGTAGGTAGGTATGTATTGCTATTTCGAGTCTACGGAGTGATGAGTATCCTGGATAAATCCGTATTCACTTTGCGCTTGATTTGGAATCTTTCAAGTGACTGATCTTATTCACCCTACATTCTTCTTTACTACCTACCTAGACATAATATAATTGATGTTGAGCTACCCCTCTTTCCATCTAATATATGTTTTGCATAGCCTAGGGTGTCGACTCTTAATTGTCTAAGGAGGTGATTATCTCCTATTATTACCACATTGCTCACTTCACCCAATCCTATCTTAATTATTTCATCAATTTCTGCCCTGAACACCAATATAAATCTCGTGTGCAACAATATCCAATCACGATTCCTTTTGATTGGAACAATGTACCCATATTCTGAGCTTTCTAGTTCGAAGTTCAGGAATATTGACAAGATGATATATAATGACGGCATTCGACAGAGAGGCTCTGTATATATAAAGTTGATTGATGTATTTTCATCCCAACTTTACTTTTATCTGTCCTCCCAATGTCAGGAATATCTCCAATCTTAATTGTTAATACCATCCAAAGTTATTGTTCACATTGAATTATCCACATTGAAATAATCTCCAAGCTTGAGAAGGATGAAGGGGTTTAGCCGAGAGTAAAGTACTCCACCAGTCACTGCCTACCTAATGCTCAATCACAACGGGTCCAAGGCCTCGAATATGAGATAATATGCAGCATGTTGAAATATATGCTTAACCTTCATCTACTGCAAAAAGTTTATTTTACTTCAAGGATTTTGTATGTATGGACATTTTGCAGAACTATTTCAGCTTTGCAAACTTGTGAGTATTTATTATTAGGTGAAAAGTCTTTTATATTACCATCGGACCAATTTAGATATATATACTAATAAAATACAGATTTCCCAGTTTCGGCTTCACTTTCAACTCCGGTACCTATTCCTGATTGAAAACCGCAAACCATTCAACTCCATCATCCGACCCTAATATCTCACTCTATCTGATTGTACTCCTTCATAATCCCAAATGATCCACTTCCTCTCTTCCATCTACCGTCCCTAAAATCCCAACCTTCCCAAAAGCCACCTCTCTCTCCCCCAAATTAAACACGCTAAACCAATTCCTCAAAAATCCACTTCCCAAAATAATTCTCCTAACTTCTCCTTCTTCCTCTTCCCTCTCCATAAACAACGACACACATCTATGACCTCCTACATCATCCCTCTCTACTTCCAACGTGTATTCATATGCCGTTAGTGGGAATTCATGCTCGCCGAGGTGCAGGGTAATAGTGGGTAAAGAATCACGACGGGAGCAGGGAATCGAAGGAGGGATGCCATGTCCGCGGAATTCCATTTCGAGATAGTTGTGTAGGGAGAGTACGAGGGAGGAGGGGAGTCCAATTCCGGGATAAGATGTTTCGAGGAGGGCGATATAAGGACGGAGGTTGTAGGAAGAGGATGTTCCTGAGATGGTTAAAGATGTGGAAGGGATTTGCCAGCGACCGGTGATGAGATCTGGAAACGCGGCGGGTTGGTCTTGGGAGATGGAGGTATGGCTTAGCAGTGGAAGGTGTTTTAGGGAGCCAGTGTAAAGATTATGGTCTATTGTGCCGAAGGTGAGGAGACCAGGTGTGTCTGCGGTTTGTGGAAGTAGAAGGGTGAAAAGTGTGTTTTGGACAAGATTTTGAGATTGAAGGTTAAGAAAGGGATTGGAAATTGAGCTTGGAGAGTGCCTGGATGACGGGGCTAGTCCAAGAAGTCCATCCCATTCGAGATTACCCCAGTCGAGATCCGTGAACCGTCCTATGCTATCCACGGCGCCAAATTGTTGCCAGATTCGAAGGCCGGCAAAAGTAATAGTATCGGAGATTACATCACCATATGCAGAACAGCGTCCGTAGTCCATGGCGAAAAAACTATCTGTCTTCTTCTGCGTGTTCGATAAAGAAGGGTTGTAAAGCTGATGGAACTGACATGTGGCCGTACAATCGGTTGATGGTATGAACATGTCGTTGTCAGAGATGGATAGAAGAGCTCGTGAATGCTGTGACGGGCTTCCAACTTCCAGATCTATGACATATAAAAGTTCGTTCCAGTCCTTGTGCTTTGATCAATATTATCATTCACTCTTTATGCAGAAGCCAAAAACTTACCCACTGCGGTACTCCAGTCCCGTACCTTGCTCGTCCATCATCAACTTTGCCTTCTCTTACAGCGGCCAAATATCCTTCATCATTCTCTACACCTCCAAGTGGACCCTTTAACCTCTTCTGTCCACTTTCATCATGAGTGCTCCGTCTTGAAGCCCTAGTCCTCTCCCCCTTCACTTCATATTTCCTATGACTATTGGTTCTACTTTTCGCAATCCTATCTTCTCTAACAGCCGCCCGTTTTGCTCTTGCGTATGTCGAGTTTCTTGCTACAGAGTAGATTGGAGTTGAGAATATTTCCGCTTGGATTAATGTAACCGTGCATGCTACACAAACTAGTCCCAAGTCTGAAATCTTCATATTGTTTCCTTGGCTTGCGGTGTGATATCTTGTAATCTCTTTCTTGTCTTTCTGATTTGCACTCGCGAGCTGGAGTTGATATACGTGTTGCGTGATTGACAGAGCCTTGCTTTGAGTAATATTTCGCGAATCACTCCAATGTCAATGATACTAGTACCAAAAACTAGTGAATGGATAAATAGGACAGAACCACAGATACCAAAAAATGAAATAGATAATAACAAAAGAGCAAAACACAGAGGATACCGAAAACGAACCCTTCGAGGAACCAACGAGGCTATATCAACAGAACTCGCCAACGTGAAGTGATGGTATGCACCATGTTATCGTTACATCTAGCTGCGCCACCCTGACTTTTTGATACCTGATATTTCCCTCTCAATACCCCCAGCTCATTTGTTGCCTTGCAGTCCTATATGCATGACGGCGGCGACGGTATATTTTTAATCTTACTCCGTCGACATGTTTTAGAAAACCCATGTTAGGAGTTAAATGTATTGGTAACCAGATGCCTGAATTTTTAGTTCGAAGAGGATGATGAGAAAGGTTCGGCGTTAAATTCCGGTCGTTCGGGTAAGCGCCAGAATAATGTCCAGGTTTAGATTAGCGCGGTGATTTGCCTGTTTGGCCTGCATAACCGCTCGGGCTTCGATGCGGCATTTCCAGGGGAGGCGAGCACGTGCCGTGTATCCTCACGTGTCTGGTATTTTACTGTTGCGATTATTATCATTTAAATCAACTGAATGATGATTGATTAACACTGAATTAGTCATTTCTTAATTTCTAAAATACATCTTGAGGCCCCAATTCCCGATTCAGTACCTGCAAATATCGCCAAATTGTTTCCCCGTGACATCAGAGGATATTCTGCATGGATAACGTTAACTTCTTGTTCTTGGAGACAATGAAGCATCATCAAAGACGGGTCACAAGTTGAACACACTTGCTGTATTAATATCTGGGAATGTGCTCAATTGGATAAATCTCTTGCCAATAGCGGAGCTACTCATGATGGGTTTTGGGTTGACAAGCTACTGAGTAAGAGGAGTCCTATATCTTCAATACAAAATTGATAAGTCTGTCACTGCTGTGATAGCCCAGAAATTTCTATCAAACATTCATCTTGCCCCGAGCACTTGTCTAGAAGACTAAACTATCTGAAGCTAGTCTTGTGATGTAAAGGAAAGTGTAGTGTTACTCTCCAAATACATGTTCCGCGAACATCCATGCAGAAACCTGTTTCTACATTGTAAATATGGCATATATTGAGATCTAGCCATTACACAGCGAGCAGTGATCCAAGAATCATCCATTAGCATGTCATTAGCATGTCAGCATAACAAACGATGTCACTGTAAACATCTCGCAATAATTTTTCTCGTCCATCAAGCGTTACCCCGCGGTAATTATACAGTTTCGAGCCACATGTATTTACTCACTATGTAAGACTCAGCATAATATAAAATCCATAACCCCTCTCCCAAGCACACTATTCGTCATAAATCCTTTATAACTCCCTTGCAGCAATCGTGTTAGGGGATGGCCACTAGTTTTTTGATCCCTTCTACTCCTATCCACGCACAAAATGCAATCCCATCTCCTTTCCCATCTCCAAGCGAATGTGGAGAAAATTTACGCATAAAGTACGATTAAGTTGTCCTCCGTATTAATAATAAGAAGTTCTAGTCACTTCTCCTCGAGCTTCAATGGATTTCATTAATAGAGCCATTGAAAAGTCGTTGTGAACGAGCATGATTCCGCTCGATATCAAGACATTCCCAATAATATTGATTTCTTCCGAGAACGGAGGCGGCTCAATAAAAACAGTGTTGCGAATATTCTCAAGACCCACATACCATCACCTGCTGCAAAAATGCAGTGAATGATGTCGAAATTTCCATAAACCTTTTCCTTCTACTTTTTTCTCCTCACTCCTTAAATACAGATAACACATATCATCCTCAAGCGTATGCCCAAGTTGTGAGCTTCCCCAATTCTGGCCTACACTATCAACACCAAGCATCCAAAATGTCATCCCTCTCCTCCTGCATCCACGTATGGTTCCAACAACGCCAAATCGGAAACCTTCCACCGCTTTATCTCAGCAGCCGGCCCTCAGAATCCAGGCTGAAACATATGGAACGCCATTGGAACAAAGTTACTCAACAATATAGAGATATGTCCGATGCAGACACATTGGATGTCATCATGCTCCAAGAAGAGTTAGAGAGAGGAATGTCGAAGGAAAAGAGAATGGCCGTGCAGGAGTATGTCTTTAGTGTAGAAGATCCAGAAAGGAGAGCTATGTTGGAGATTTGGTTGGCGAGGTTCCCGGGCTTTATGTTGAGGACTGATAGATTGGTGGATTTTGGGGTTGCGGATATGAGGCGAAAGGCTGTGGTTTTGAGTGCGTGGCAAGCATGGCTTAAGGAGTGGAAACTTTGGTGATGTGGGTGTTAGGTGGGGTTGTGGACATGCAACCGATTTCAGACGCGGGACGTTGGTTGATGCGAGAGATATATCAGCGTGCTTGCTTGCGGTGACAGGAGTTGAACATATGTGTTTTGCGAAGTGGAAGGATAGGTTAAAGTTAATCGTCACGTTGCAGACGCGGAGAGCTTGTCGGAGTGTTATTTTTGCAACGATACAATAGGAACAGGCCGTCCTCAAAAATCTCTGTTAAAGCTTCTTTTGAACTGATGTCAGTGATGTGCGAGATGCCAACCAGTCATTCACTTCCTCGCTCACACTCCTCCTCACTAACTTCCCTACTCTCTCATTCAACTACCATTTGATTTACCCCTTATTCCTCCCTCACCCTCTTCTGGGATTGACAAGCTTTACTCACGACTTCGACTGAGCAATCTGCTCCAGTATGATTATCCCTCCCTCAGATTTCCATTCAGTACCTGACTCATGAGGCCTTTTCCACCCTAGAATACCTCTTTTCAGATTTTCAATGTCTCCCCTAGCCAGCTAATCATGAGCAAAGGAGCCATAGGACAGCCTCTCTATAGTGACTAAATAGCTTGTGATCCAATAATCGTGATTTTTTCTTTCATCAGCAAGCAGTTATGCAATCAACAACGTGGGTGTATCAAAATCTAACCAGGAAGCCACTTCACTCGAAGAGGCTGCTCTCTCACCGGCAAGCGATAATATGTACATTGCCATTGTTGCTCTGGCTCCAAGTCACAATATCAAAAGAGCGACGGTTAGAAAAGATTTAACGCATGCGAAACTCAACAATCAAAATGATTGGTTGGAATATGCGTAGAAGAACTTTGGCCTGATGTCTGCATTCTGATTTCATAATTTTTAGTTAATACGTTACGAATCTAATACTTTACAAATAGATCCTGGAATAACCCTGTATTGGCCGCACTAAGCACAATCGACGCTATTTCATAGCATTCTTTGGCCTCTAAAAGAACTAGTCAGGCTTCTGTTTTGCTAATGGAACTATAGATGCTGAAGTTCCGTTCGTCATCCTTGGAAAATCTCCTCTTCGGGCAAAAATCTCCGGAGGTGTTATGGCAGCTTTTACTAGTGGCGAAGTTACGAGATACCCCATCTGATCGACAATTATGACTGGGCTTCCCTCAACTCACAATTTGGTACTATCGTGAACGTCGGCGGTTCTCATGGGCTTGTTTGCAAAGAACTAGCCAAAATATATTCTAATTTCAATTTCATCGTCCAAGATCTATCAGCAACAATAGAAAGTGCTGCACATGATGCGTCCCTATACAACCAGAATCAGATATATGGCCCATGATTTTCTTAGTGTCGAAAACGCAGGCGTATATCCATTCCGCTGGATCATGCATAACTACAGCAAGGAATTCCCCGCAAATATTTTGTGCCAGCTCAAACCCGCATCCAAGGGGGGAGTCAGACTCCGCATTAACGATTATTGTCTAGCTGACGCTTGGAAGAGCCCTGTAGGACCGGAGGAAAAGGCCATGAGGCCTATGGGGATAGAAATATTGGCATTGGCGAATGCCCATGAAAGAGGGAGTGATTGGGTTGAGTTATTCAGTGAAGTCAAGGGTTCTCGATTTTTGGGTATGAAGAGACCAGTCGGATGTAGAATGAGCTTAATTGAGGCCGTTCGGGAAGGAGAGGAAAATTGAATCGGTTATGAAGGATAGGAAAGCAAAGCTGGCTAGTGGTAATGATCTGCCAGCCAGGTAACTCCGTTATCCATTCGGTTTTCAGAAATCAACGCGGGAGCACTCGCTTGAGGTGTTCATCCGATTTTAAATAGGTACCAATAATAAATATCCTCAATGACGCAAATGCATGATATAAGGCAGAGAACAAAAACGCAAAAAGGATGACAATGCAGCCCCTAAACATTTGGAGCCTGTCGTCTACAATTACTTTTGCCCAAAAGATGAGCCAGACTCCTTTTCCACCGACGCCTATCCATGCATCACCTGGGTATTGCCGATCAGGAATATAAGATGAAAATCGCTAGCCACAAGGAATATGCACCCAGAAAGTGATAATCAGAGCATATCCGTATTCGGGACCCAAAACAAAACTTCCTGATCCGCCGTAGCAAAATGGTTATACTTGGGGTTAAAAGCTACAATTGCCGAATCGCCTGCATACTCCAATTCATGCAAAGGATTGAGAACCCGATTTGTCGTAGCTGCAAGTGTATCCCATACCAAGACATTTTTGCCTCGAGATCCACTGATTACATATCTTCCATCAGGAGTAAAACAGCAGTCTCCCGCAGTGGTATGGAGATATTCACTTGATGAAGGATCCAAATTATCTGGATTGTGATCTCCTGCTCCCAATCTTCTGGCACCACCTCTATCCCTCCTTAAAAATGCTTTTAGATGTCCGTCAAATGCATCCAGTAAGAAATGGCCATTGCCAGTCGTGCCTAGTAGTAAGTGTTTCCCATCATTCGAAAAAGCTAATTTATTCCACCCCCTTCCAATTGCTTGCGGAGAGAACTCTTGACAGAACGGTAATATGTCAAAAGTAGCAAAAGGTTCTTTGTCGAAGTTGCGAAAGTCATACAGTAAAATGGATTGAGCTAGCGGAGAAGCAGTTGCAAAGACGTTTCCAGATGGATCCCATGCCACGAGATGAACACCGGTGAGATTCAAGATACCAGCAGGATTGTTGGAAGCTGCGTCCCATATCCGAAGAGTGTTATCTTCAGAGCATGAAATGAAATTGTCCTGACCAGGATGGAGGGATAGACATGTGACATTTTGTTCATGGCCCTCAAAGTAACGAATATAGGAGTTATCATGAGCCGAGAGGTAACGTATTTTGTCTGCATTGCTTAGAATTGTTACGACCGAACATCAGGTTATGACTTACGATCTTTTTTGGTACTAGAATGTATTATACAGTGCTCGGCATGGCCAAACATGGCATGGTTGCAACCATACTTAGCACTAATGTTCATTTTTGAATGTCTTCCTTCGAGAACATCATAAATTTGCATAGTATTATCAGTTTCTGATGTAATAAGCTGGCTGCCGTTATCATTAAAGTTGATTGATTGTATAAAGTTGTAACTTGGTGGAGTTTGTCCCTTGTCAGCAGGAGTAGGAGCATGTCGAAATAGCTTGACGCATTAGTAATTGCTCCTATCTTTCGAGTAACCAAACTTACCTTGACAGGAGTATACAGAGAGATCATCTCCGTAAGCTTGGCAGTTGATGGTACTGATGACACTCCATTTGCTTTTAATATGGAGGTGCCATTTGATCCTATTGGAGAGTCTATCGCCATAGGAGTAGATGACATGTTGTTTCTTGGAACCAAATATCTTTATATTATTTTTCTTTGATGAGGAGTAAAGTTCGAGAGAGAGTTCTTAAAAGTCCTGGATAATGAAGAGACGAAGAACATATCCTTGATCTTGACATCTTTCGATTTCAACCAAAATACCAAGCAGAAAGACTTCATCATTGTTCAATTTGATATCTCCACGTGACCCGGACGAAACCTCCTTATCGGGTCCGCTCCACCATCTCCGCGCTGCTCCGAAAAAGATTCCTTAATTTGGTGGGATATGGTTCTGCAGAAAGCTCCAGCTCCGACCCTCGGCCTAGTTATACAAAGGAATTTCGTGTAAAAACACAGTCAGCTCATGTCACAAATACTTTGTATTCTTTCTCTATTCTTTGGGCTTTCTCCTTCCTTCTTTATATATTGCAAATATTTTGAAAGAGAATATCTGGCTGCTTGACGTACGAACTGGGGGGGAGCGATAGCGATTTCGTTCTGTTAACAAGGGTAGGAGCGGGGAGCTTAGAAATATGCCTTCAACATTAGGGTGAGCTTCTAATCTATGTCCTACTATCTGATGTACTGACACATAATTCCAGGGCCTTTGTCGCTGGCGGAATTGCAGCATGTGGAGCTGTAACTGCGACTCATCCGTTCGAAACAGTGAAGATCCGGTAAGAATACCACGGCACAATACACTAAATCATGAAGTTACTAATTGCGCAATCACAGCATGCAATTGCAAGGCGAGCTTCAAGAGAAAGGGCTCCAACCACGATTATATAAAGGGCCTTTTCACGGCGTCGCAACTATTGTACGGAATGAAGGTCTTGGGGGCATATATCGAGGAATCGGCGCTGCATACATTTACCAGATGATCCTCAATGGATGTAGGTTAGGCTTTTACGAACCTATACGAGAAACTATCACTGGCGCATTATTTGACGATTCGAAAACACAAAGTTTGGGAATAAATATCTTCTCAGGCGCAACATCAGGTATATTGGGTGCTGCCGCAGGAAGTCCGTTCTTCTTGGTAAAAACGAGATTACAGAGTTTCTCACCACAAGCACCAGTGGGCACACAACATGGTTATAAGAATGCTATGGATGGGATGAGAAAGATTTATACAACGGAGGGAGTAAATGGACTTTACAGAGGAGTAGGAGCTGCTATGGTCCGGACAGGTTTTGGAAGCTCTGTCCAGCTACCAACATACTTCTTCGCAAAGCGAAGACTTGTGAAACACTTAGGAATGGAAGAAGGGCCAGCGTTACACCTTGCAAGTAGTACAGCTAGTGGTTTTGTGGTTTGCTGTGTTATGCACCCACCAGGTAAGCAGATTTTGATTGGTAAATCTACTCCTCGATTCTAATTTCTCTTAGACACTATCATGTCTCGAATGTACAATCAGACCGGCAATCTGTACTCGGGTATTTTTGATTGTCTGGCGAAGACTGTGGAGACAGAGGGAATCTTCGCCATTTACAAAGGGTTTCTGCCCCATTTGGCAAGAATATTACCCCATACCATCTTGACCCTTAGCTTGGCGGAACAAACCAACAAGCTGATGCGGAAATTCGAGAACCGAGTCCTTCCTGCTTCGATAAAGGAGCAAGTATAGAATACGTGGCTTATGCCCCAAGCTTTTCCCAGGCACCAACACGCCACCTTGTATATCCTTATTAAGCTTGTATAATGCATGTCCCTCGAGGGCGACCGGAGAAAATAATCGGTGTTCGAATATAGGATTTCGGGTTGTTATTAAAATCATGGTAGATTATGGTCGGGCATTTTCATCCGTTGATAGATCTTGAGCATCCATAGCATAGAACAGTATTTGAACCAATGTCTTCTCTTGATGTCCGTGAATCTGAATTCTGATCTCCGCCCCAACCATAGATGCCGTCAGTGCCCTCTGCGACAGGAAGCCCGCAAATTCCACAGCCTTTCGATATGTGATCAGTAGTAGGTTTCAATTTGCTTGATGTCCTAACAACATTGGCGACTATACTGGGAAAGTTTTCCTCAACAGATTCGAAATATTGTGCCATTAAATCATCAATCGTTGTCGATTTTGAAGAAGCAGATATATGGGAGGGAGGCGCTTGATACACCACTAACTCCGGTAGAGGTGAGAATGAAGCGGAAAATATCATAATCTCTTTCTTAAGGATATCTCGTAAGGGATAAAGGAAGCCTATTCCGTATGGTGATGGTCCATCGGAGACTTGCCATGGTAATGAGAATCCACGCCCCTTCGCTATTTCGGTAAGCGTCTTTTCTGCTAGTCGTGTAGTACTATCACCAAATAATATGCTTTCGCAATCGTTTCTTTTGGCGACATCCACTAGGAGTCTGTTTAACAGCGTAGATACAATATCGGCCCTAGAAGTTGCAGATGACAATGAGGAAACGATCTTTTGCAGATCCAGACTTGAGGCTTTGGTATTCTGAGTAGGCAGATCGGATATTCCTAAAGACTGCCAATCAATACCTTCTAGCTGTAAAGCTTCGTGAAGTCCATAACTTGAATAAGAATGTCTGGGATATTGGTCCTTGTATTTTTGTAATAGAGCAGCAGAGGCTTCTCTGTCTGCATCATCCAGATATAGGTCGATATGTACAACGAATAGTTCATAGGAAACTCGGTTCATCCGCTCGTGTTGAACTCCGAGGTAGCCATCTAGCATATGCAGCAAGCATGATGACGAAGGTCCAAAGGAAAGTGGTAATAATAATTTCTGTGGAACTTTTGTGGATCGTCTGCCTTTGTAGGTTTCCATGCGCTTGACTGCCTTTGTTTTAATATATTGTGAGAAGCAATTCCTGGTGGAAGACTTTTATTAGTATAACTATGTACAGATGCTGAAATGTATGACGAACTGGCAAACTGATTCTGATCGAATTTGGAGTGTCGCTTGAAGTTCATTACATCTCTTGCAGAGTGCAGGTGGCTGTTCCCCGGAAAGAGGTGATTCTTCAGTATTTGGCGACGCCATCTTTTTCAAATGATCCAATATATCCAAATAATTTGACTTTTCAAATACATAAAATGTTTCGATGTTCTTAATTATTTTTGTGCATTTGTCAAGAATTTAGAAACTTTGACTTTGACTTTGACTTCTAGTGGAGACGAGGCTGCGGCAAAATATTGCCCGAGCATCATAGATTTAACCACATAAAGTTAGCCTGATCTGTGCCTTACGTTTCCCTAACCCGCAATGAAGCTCTGTTAATATGAGAGGAACCTTAGAGGCTTGGTTGTTGCCAGAAATCAAATAAAGTCAACTTCCTTCACTACACGACAAACCTTTCATTTTAGCTTGTGAATACTTGAATTCTAATCTGCAACGGAAAGGCGAAGGACGATCTTGTTTCCATTTTTGAATTCCAGTATCCTGGTACCTAGGTAATAAAGTAACTCTCATTTCGAGCCCGCGAGCCCGCGAGGCTGCAGCAAGTATGCGAGGTTGGCTTCATGGTTTCCTCACATTGGGGCTTTCGGCCCTGATAGCTGGTGCGCTGGAGGTTAAGATGGTACGTCGAAAGAAGTAGAGATAAAATACTCGTTCTGATGGCGATAGCAGGATGAGTCTAATGATAATCGACAAGTATGCGCCGGAATGTATGATCGGAAGACTTGGGGGGGCCCGATTGAGCCGCATATATTAGTAAAATGGCTTCCGACTACACAAGAATCAGACGATCCTGATCCAATTGCCAGTATGATTGTTTTTGAGTGGAGGGATTACGATCTTGTTGGTGTATTGCCAACCATAGACAGCATACAGGTATGAGTGAATCAACTGGTGAAACTCTCATTTGAATCACCCGCTGATACACGAACTTAGAAAGAATTCATTTGCGATCCGGAAAATATCAGCAATGGTTTCTGTAATGCCAACCAAACTGGACAATTCTTACTGGCGCCAAATGCAACAGAAAAATCGATCAGTCAAATTTACACTGGAGCCGTTCATCTTAACAAAACTGGCCCACCGATCAATTATCCCATCAAGAAAACTGGTTATTATTGCGTTGGCACAACTGGGTATTCTCCTTCAAATGTCAAATACACCGCGGTTGTGGAGTTCCGGAATGCCTATGGGGAGCTTCCTGCAGCACAAATACCAAAACTGCCATTTTATGGTATCATCACAATTGTTTATGCGGTTATGGGAATGTGCGTTATCTCATGCCCCAAGTTTAGTGCTAAAGCTAATGGTGTAATGACAGTCTTTGGGCCTTTTTATACGTGCAACATCGAGAAGACATTCGTCAGTATCCCAATCGAGCCTATTGACCGGTACTAACTTCCCCAAAGTGCCTGTACAGAACTACATTACAGCAATCATTGTATTTTTGATAGTAGAAATGCTAATGACTTGGGGGTTTTATGGTACGTCTATTTCTTCGTGCTACTGGAATCATGTTGACATTTGTAGACTATCTCAATCGATCCGGCAGCAGTGTTGGCTCGAAAGTGATGATGATAATTGTTGCTGTACTAAATGCAGGTCGCAATTCATTCTCATTCTTCTTGCTTCTCATCGTCTGCATGGGTTATGGTGTCGTCAAGCCTAGTTTAGGCAAGACTATGGTTTATGTCCGATATCTTGCAGGAGCTCATTTTGTCTTTGGGCTGATTTATTCCATCGCGAGCCTGACAATCACTCCCGAACACGCTGGTAAGACTTTCCCTTATCAGTGACTATTCTCATACTAACCAAGTTATAGGTCCCCTAGTTTTGTTTGTTATCCTTCCATTGGCAGGGACTCTCACGGCATTCTACGTGTGGACTCTCAATTCCCTAAACTTGACCATGAAGGATTTGAATGACCGCAAACAAACTACGAAGTCAGGCATGTACCGCAAGCTCTGGTGGTGTATACTTCTCTCGATCATCGTTATTTTTGGCTTCTTTTTCTTCAATTCATTTACTTTTGCTTCGGCTTCGGATCCCGACTTTGTCCCCTTCCACTGGAAATCCAGATGGTTCATCCTCGATGGCTGGCTCAACATTGTCTACTTGTTGGACGTCGGATTCGTGGCATGGGTATGGAGGCCAAGTGCCAACAACAGAAGATTCGCAATGAGTGACGAGTTAGCACAAGATGATGAGGGATTTGAAATTGCCGATTTCGGCGCTGAGGATGACGACGAAGATGATGTTGAGAATTCTGCCGCTCGCCGAGGTGACAGAACACAGCCTGGCCAAGAAGGAGCAAGATATGATCCTCCACCGGGAGCTAATACCGCAAAGGAAATTCCAAGAGAAAGTCTAGATGGTGAAACAATTTTTGCGGTCGGAGAAGATGCTGACCGCTGGTCAGATGAGGACGATGACGATTCAGAGGCGGGGAAAAAACTTGTGGGTGGAAAAGGAAAAAAGGAAAATGATTCGGATGCGGATTAAGCAAGTTTGCACGCTTGTGTATCATAGTATTGGTCGGCGTTGGGTATTATTGGTCAAGGAGGAAACAGCATTTTCATTTGCGAACTTAGGGGGATTTGTCATAGCATTTGTACTTGTTTGTTCTTCTATCAGCGCATTTGTCTAGAATACAATTTATGAATTCATAGACTCGATTTATAAGAGTTCTGGACTTTCCTCACCGCACACCGTGATGTTTTGTGACAAAATCCCTGCAAAAATCATATTTTCCTATATAAAATTAAATATCATTTTCAATATCGAATAAAATCAATTGAAATTTTGAAATATAATTAATTATAAGATTATTTTAAAAAAATTATAATTCATTTTTAATTATTTTTGTTCAAAAGTTATACTTATTTAAATTAAAAAAAATTAAAAATTTCATTCATGTATTGTTTTTCTTATACAAAATAAACAAAAAGTTTGAAAATTTTATAGTTTTTATCTTTAATCTTATATAATTTTTGAATAAAAATTATTAAAAATAAATCAAATAATTTTTAATAAATTTCAATCGATTAATTTTAATTTTCTTTTAAAAAGATTATTTTATTTTATTTTATATAAAGATTTAATAGTAGTAAACTCATAATCGATTTGATCTAACTATAGCTAGGGCTTAAAGATTTAATAGAGATTTGAAAAAGTGAATAAATCAAGATTTTAGATGAAAAGCGTTACATTGTGCAGTGAGTAAAGTCCAGAACTCTTACATATAGATTTTTCTGATAAAGTGAGTTGTCAAAGGAGTATGTGAATGTTCGACGGTAAAATGTAAATTGTGATTAGCAAATGTGGCATCCCGTACCTGTACATCAAATCTGTGAGATTCTCTAATAAGTTATTAAATCACTTAATAATATTGTAAAAGTGGTAGGTCGAGATACGTGCGTCCCGATAGCATGCTGTGAGGAGGGAATTGGAAGAGGAAGCTGAATTAGATTACATTATAATACGTCACTTATAAAGAAAACGGGGTTCACAATGGTTTTGGGGTTGATGTTATATGGGTTCAAACGTATATATGTAGAAGGTTGATTATTGTGGAAAGAAGAGGCAAAAGCTCTCCTTTTATATCTAACTACAAGAGGTTATGTGATTGACTAGTTAAAAACCCCTATGTATTTGGCCTATAATTCCAACCTTCTCACAATATTAGCCGAACCAATGATCTGATGATCACGTGATATATTAATAATATTCATATATATTATTAAATTTTATTATCATATGAAAATTCGATTATAATTCATATCAGATTGATTTATAAGGGGATAGAATGAAATGAAAGCGTATAGAATTTCTTATTTATCAGATTGAATATAATTGATTATTATTTCTTTTTATTATATAAAATGATTCTATAAGATTCGATTCAAATTGATCTTATTAATCATAGAATATACTAGAATTTCATTAAATACTATAGATATAGAGGTTTTCTTCAAAGAATCCTTTGAAAAAAGCAAGGCAAAAAAAAAAAGGCAATAAAAATCTCTACTCTATTATTCTGACTTCAATTTATGATTATATTCGATTTTACCCTATTGAGCTTAAATACAACTAAGTCTTCCACTATCATTATAAATAATAATATTATTATTATATTAATTATTATTTATTATCGATTAACCTCCTCCGAGAAAACCCTTATTTCTTCATTCTCGCTACCCCTATTTCAACAAAAGTGATCCAATTGCCAGGCGTTCTGAAATGTGAAGGGACTCGGGGCTTTATAAACGTGGATACTCCATTGGTATGTTCCGTTCCGTCCATCCTTTAAAGATCAATTTGTACATGGTACTATTTCGAAAACGACCAATACCGACTTCAAGAGCATCAGTAGGATATATAAGTTCTCTGTTGATATATCTTACTGCAATCATGTATTGTGACGAGCTTTACCTAGCATGCAGTTGAGAGGATTAGTTCTATTAGAGAGGCTGGCGAGTCTGACAGCGGTCGATGCTGGTCGATAAGCTTTATTCAATTCTTCGGCGTGGGCAAAGGTAATCTTATTTGAGATGATTTGAATGACTGGCTGATGGTTCGGAGACTCTGGCTATGAAATTGGAGATAGGCATATATGGAGTACCCTGTTCAAAGATTGATGGAGCTAATGGAATGGGCTCTTGGAAGCGGGGGTCATTAGGGTTTCGAATGCACATAACTATGTGGGAACCAAGGCCACCATCACATACGCGTTCCGAAAATGTGTTTCAACACATTGAAACTCGCAACGATCCCGAGTTTAATTCATGTCAAGGACTGGCCACAAACTCCCCAGTAAAGATGTCAACTTAAAACCCCTCTTCTCATTCGGAAGGCAGACCGAAATTCAACAGCTGGAGATGAAATATAAGAACGAAAGTTTATCCAGAACTTTCGGGTCTAAATGCCGCCTGCGACCTGCTGAGGTTCATAAGGATTCCGTACAATCACTAATTTTTTTCTGTACAATATTTTTAGCGATGGGAAGACACACAGGCTCATTCTAAGCTCAGCGTCGATAAGCTTGATGTTTTGCGTGTTCGATAGCCTCTACTGAGAAACCGGGAATCACTGGTGAGCGTTGTTTCTAAGTCCTTCTCAACGAATAATCCAGTGAAAGCTAGTGAGACTCTTCCTCTTTAATTACAGGGTTCCAAGCGAAAGAACGGTTCCGAAAATTAGTCGGTAATGTTAGTCTAGGCTATGTACCTTCTACAGACTAATCCTGTCTAAAACTGACATTATGTCACCACGTCCATTAGCCTTTAGGTGAGGCGTAAGTTGACCAATCATATAGCCTTTCCTCTATTGGTCGCTACTTCTTATCCCTTCTCCAATCAATTAATTATACAGAATGACAATTCATTCTCTCCACCACTCCTTACATGAAGGAACGGCCGCAAAACCATCTTCACGACACTCACCACTCAACACCTTCCTAGTACGGGGTAGCACTTAGTTGATCTACAGAGAACCCATGTATCAAAAGTTTAATCATCGGAGGCTGAGCTTCATCCCATGTCAGCCACGTTCTCAACTCCCTACATACTCGATTAGGCTTAGTGGTCAGCCCTACAATGGCTGTGATGCCCCACAGACATTACTAAATGAGGAAATTGTTAAGTTGGTGATGAGATGTTTTGTTTTTCTCTGACATATTTTGATAAGTATCGAAACTATGAGTTGAGGAATTTTGATGGGGCTCGAGTATATATTGTCTGGTCTTTCCGGCCGTTGTATTATCTACTTCCTTCCTTCCGTGTCAACTAAGCAGTGCAAGCTCTCAAGCTTTGAGAGTATCTTTATTATAATTCAAAAACTTCAATAAAACTATCTCTTTTCTAAACTTTCGTATACAATATTCAATCTGAGACTACACTCTCCAATTTCATTCTAGCACTTGTTACACGAAACAATCAAATCACGAATCACAACTCACAACCATGACTATCGTTTACCGCAACGGTATCGAAATCGGCGAACTAATCGTCTATATTCCTTCTCTATTCCTCTCCATTCTCCTCGCCTTCCGTCATGGTTTTGGCCGCAGCTCTGGCTGGTACTTTCTCATAGTCTTCTGTCTCGCTCGAGTCATCGGTTCATGCATGTCCCTCGCCGCTATATCCTCACCCTCAGTATCTCTTTTCACCGGCTCGCTCATCCTACAAAACATCGGTCTATCTCCTTTGATACTCGCTACACTCGGTCTTTTAAGTCGCGTCTTGGACAGCATTAACCGAAATACACATACATTCGTGCAGCCACGATTACTGAAACTCATTGAGATACTGATGCTGGTCAGTCTCATACTTGGTATTGTCGGCGGAACAAACGCAAGTCATTCGTATACCACAACCGGGAAATGGATTCCTGGAACCGAAAGTAAAATTTCTAATCTTCTGGCGATTATCGCCTTTGTGGCACTCCTCATCATTACCATCCTCACCAGTTTCTCAATCTCACATGCGGAAAATGGAGAAAAGAGAATTTTGCTGGCTGTTGCTCTTGCATTGCCATTCCTATCTGTTCGACTTCTATATTCCGTTCTCTCGACTTTTGTAACTCACTCTACCCTATTCAATTCTTTCACTGGGAGCGTCACAATCTTATTATGCATGGCACTTCTTGAGGAATTGGTGATTGTGGTTCTTTATTTGGCGATTGGATTGACGTTGAGAGTTCAGTCGAATGATGTGGTTGTTGAAGGAGATATGCAAAGACTTCCAGGAGCACCGGATAGTGATGGGCTTGGTCAACAGAGTCGACAGAGTCAAAAATCTGGAGCAGGGAATATGGTGTTGGAGATTGCGAAGAAGTCGATTATTGGAAGGATTGTTATGTTGTTTGTACCGGGAAAAAGAGAGGATGTGGAGATGCAACAATATGTTCAGAAGCAAACAGCTTTCATGTGTTTATTGCGTATATTTGGTTTTGATGCTGGAGAGGATATATGGTTATATCTTAATGCTCTGTATACTGTACAAGGCTCTTTATGTATAGATCGTTCTTGGATAGTTAGCCTGCATATAGAATCCTTTTAATTAGCATTTCAGATTCTCAAAGTTGGCGCACCAAAATCTTCTGTGCTGAATATTTATAACGTTACGCAATATTGCTTTTCAAAATATCTTGAAGTGTTAATTTCTTGATGTGAAAAGTATCATCTATCTATTGTATGGATGAATAAACTACCATTTCAAATTTAATCAAATATCTAATAGACTAGATGAGCTTCATTGTGGAAATGGGAAGTTTATCTCCAACCGTTGACCAGGACGACTTCATAGGCTGAGGTTCAATGTCTGAGAATGACAAATGCATGCAATATGGTAGATGGAAAATAGCAATGGAGGACTTAAGGTTAATATAGCCAGCATTTATATCTGTATATCTCTTCTCCCAATATATATGTCAGTCCATGGAAAATATATTTCCACATTCAGAGGTTAACATTGAATGCTAGTAGAATTTTTGGTTTTACTAATAGAAGAGACTCATATTCTATTTCCATTTATGCATTTATGGTTATTCAGTTCTTATTCTTAGTCTGTCTAAACCAAAATTAATCTGTCTACATTCAAGATAAATAAGGAAGAAAAACTCTGGCCTGTGAATGAAATTTTCCTCACGAATATCACTCGGTGAGACCATTAAGAAACCAGCTTCGCTTTACCCGTCTCTCTCTGTACACCAGTCGAGTAATGCTCGATGAGAATTAAGAAAGAATAACCTCCTACAAATTAGGAAGACAAGAAGCACAGCTCATGCCATGCATGCATGCATGCATCTACACAATCTCCCTCGGCAGTAATTATCCAGATTCTCCATTTCCACAGAATTAATTGTTTATCTTTGCTAGAGATCCAACTGCACAGGTACATAGCACATACATATCTCCCAACCTCCCAAGACTAAACCTCCAAAACATATCACCAAACTCCAACCGAGAAACCCCATGCAATGTCTCTATCTATTTCCTCCTTCCCTCCTCCTTCCCAACCCTCTCCAATCCCATCTCCCGCAGCACCTCCCCGTCATCCTCTTCTTCCCAAAACCCCTCTTCTGATAATCACTATAAATCCTCATCCCATCCCATGATTTCCATCCATCATCTTACACCCGCGATTACTCTCCAGTTGCCGACTATCAATCGCATATCTATATTCTCCCGTCTCGAGATTAATCTCTGTTCGTCGCTTCGCGCTTAGTTGCATAGAAATCCGATCTCGGATGAATGTGAATTGGCGGTAGCCTTCTACCGGGATGGGGAAGCGGTTGCGGTTTTGGTGATGCCTGTGGTTGAGGAGGAGAGGACGTATTCTGGGGTGTGAGGTAGGAGGTGAGGTGGTGGGGAGGAACGAGCGGGACGTGTGGAGATGGGCCGGGATGGGTGGTGTGGGGGTTTTGAGGGATGTGCGGGCTAGAGGGAGGAATGGGGACGGGTTATGCGGGTTATGCGGGTTATGCGGTGTATGTGTCTTCGTTGTCATTGTAAGGATCGAAGAAGGTGAATTCAGCAGTGGTGTTGAGGGAAGAGTCGCGGTATGAAAAGGATGGTTCTTTTGGTGCTGGTAAATGGGAAGTGTAGTTTGCTTGAACGTCGAGATCTACATTCAGATTCTTGGTAGGAAGTCTCGAATAATCGGTTTTATCGTATTGGTATGAGGCAGAACCGGACGCTCTATCTATCTGAGGAAATTCTGGAGGAAGAAAAATTAAAGCTTGCATGCTTCCTCTCTTGGGTTTGGAAACTAAGAGGTCGTGTTTGGTGTTGGTGCTGAAAATTGTGCCGGGGCTCGGCTTGTCGGGGATCGATTTTCCAAACTGTGGAAGACGGGCGTTTGGAAGAGGAGTTCGGGCTTTTTTACTTGTGTGTTGAAGGGGATTTGGAACAGTGGCAGTAAGATCAGTATCAGTGGAGGAAGATGTACAGATTCTTTCGGAAGTAATTGGTTGCGGAATGATTGGGATTGAATTAGGGCCTTGATACGTAAGATTTTGTGAATTAATGTTGAGGATGGTTGGTAAGTCGATTACATACCAGACTCAGATTGAAAAGTACGTATAAAACCCATGTCACCACGAATAACGAAAGGATTGCTACTGGATTCTTCCGGTGTCATAGAAGAAGAAGAAGTAGCAGAGTAGGGACTTTCATATGTAAGATTGGATGCATTTGGTGTAATGGCTTGACTTGTCTGATCAGTATTTGCCATATTTTCTGGGGTATTTGCAGCAGCCATTCCGGAGCTGGAAGTAACTTGCTGACTTCCATGGCTCTCTGGTAGATTCGATAGCGATTGGTGGATATTCGAGGTTATACGAGCGAGTTTGTGTTTCTCTTTCTCTTCTTTACGTGAAAAGAGCGCCTGTGCCTGAGGTGATATCGCTGGATGGAAGGGAGGAGTTGAAGGATCGTAAGGCTTACCACTTGAACCTGGGATTGTATGATTTGGATAGACTGTATCATTTGATGGCTGAATGAGATCTTTCCTCATGGAAGAAGGAGCAGGATGTGCATAATTATTAGCAGGAGACGACATGCCAGAAGTTTGATACCTCGATGGGAGATGTTGAGGTGCTGAATAGGGAAATGGATTTGGATCGCGTCTATTTGACTCCAAAGTGGCGAAGTAGTGAGATTTCGTGGTGTCATATGGATTCACCATCGCTCGGTCATATTCATTTAATTCATTTGAGGTATAATTAAAATGGGAGATGGGATCACGTGTCTCGTCTCGTCTTTCTTGGACCGAAGACATAGAGCTTGTAGGGCCCTGTGATGAATACGGACTTGCATATTGATGTTCCTGAAAATTGGAGTTCAGTGACCAAGATGTATAAACCCCGCTGCTGTAGATATTTGGTGAAGCTCCAGGAAATTGGCCGACAAAAGTAAATGCATGGTTTTGTGTTTGTTGACCAGATTGTGCGGGACAAAATGGAATTGGTGGAGTAGATTGAGGTTGGAAGTCAGAAGTAGCAGGCCCATCATTCTTATCATTCTCAGTCGATGAAATGCTAGCACGTCGGGGACTTGGTGATACTGAAACTCCTTTCGTCATCCAAGATTTATGAGAAGAACCACTAAAGGCATTTGATGTAGTATTGATTGAAAGTACTTCCTCGGCAGCTGATAGCTGCGCAGGCTTCTCTTTTGGCTGACTAGAAGCCCTCCGGCTAGCCGTATACCTGACCTCAGCATACTCACTTGTGGCAGTATCTCCCGTTGTTGATATTGGCTCCCTTCTGGGCATCTGACTAAAATCTGGTTCCGCAAAAACCTGGGCCCAAAGTAGTCTCCCAGCTTCTTCTAGACCTTCAATATAACCATTCTTCTCAAATGCTTTCAAAAGGTCGTAGATTTTCTGGCCATTTGGAGAGGTATCATTGAGGTTCTTTCGGAGTTCGAGTGGAAGCGCATCAATGGCGCGTAGCTCGTTGGCTGATGTAGCATTGTTAGCCCTTGAAGTTTAGAAATGCTCGATGATGGAAAGTTGACAGAGATAAAAGACAGAAAGAATACCTGTTGGTGGGCGATGGAATCTATCCCTCACGGCCTTTATACGACGATCTCGAAGGAGAAAAGGCACGTCATCATCAATTTCAGGCATTTTGACAACGCGACTGCAAATTCTTGGTTATATAGTGACTGTAGATTTTGTTTAAAGAAAGAGAAGATAGATAATAGATGTTTAACGTGCAATAAAGACTGAAGAGGCGAGGTAGGTAGGGTAGGCATGTAGGTGAACAAGGGAAGAAACTTGTGGAAGTTCTATCCATTAACTTCGAAGATCAACAGGCATTGTAAATCCATGAAAAGAGATTAAACACGCAACCTTGTGACAATGTTTTGAAACCGTATTACGGTAACTGCTTATCGCTTTCTATAAGTCAGGGCAATACAACTAGAAAGTGAAGCAGTAGATAGGGCGAAAGTCCACCATCCGATCACTCCAGCCCCTCCATATTCACCTTCCCTCCCTTCTAATAGAAACCCAAACAGCCCCATCAAGGCCAAACCAAGCTACCTAGCGGTGCTTTGGTTCAATGTCAAGTGGCCGCCTCCCATTTGTTCAAGCGTTAATTCCTTTTCTTCTGCCGTATATATAATAACTTGTCACACCGTCCTTGCTCTACTAACTATCTACTAACCATGACGAGTGCGAACCAAAAATGCAAGTTATTATCTCTATTCTCTTTTTTGGATGCTGGTCTGAGGGCATAAGACTGTGGACATGGTGATAAGCACGGATGAAGCGACGACGAGATGCCATAAGTAATTGATAGTTTAGGAACTTCACTATGTCAGGAAATGAGTACTGTAAGTCCTTCAACTACCCAAGGAATTAACAAATGATTAGAACAAGGAAAGTAATTGCGAACACATTCGAATCAAATTTTGATACTTATAGCATCACACTCTTACAAGTTGCCGTCATACTCTCTGTTTATTTAGAAGGAACTTAAAAATTCTGAAATTCCTGAGATTTTGATGCCAAGTTACAAGTAAAGCAATAGACAGCAAAGAATCGATATCAAGAACCACGCTCTATAAACAGATATCTGCTGCATCCTTGGCAGACAGAATATGAATGGATAGGGAGGATTACTATAAGAATCAAAGAACTAACGATGCCAAGAATATTGTAGCACAATTTTATATGCTCTAATAAGTTTGCTTCTATTCTAATACAGGTGGGATAATTCATGACAAGCACAAGGGATTAGCTCCGTCTCGAGTCTCGAATGCAACCATGTGGCCATATGTATTGCTGTCCTTCATCATTCGATATCTCCTGCAACCACAATCAATCATCTATCAGATTGTGCTCCAGGCATTATCAACAGGCAGTGCGACGCCATTGATAGACTTCGCTGCATCGCTTGCAAGAAACAGGATCGCTTCAGCCACTGCTGAAGCGGTAACATTTAGTGGTTCACCGGGCTTCATGTGCAAAGCGAGAACCGGTCTATGACATCATCAGCAAACAAAAAAGCAGTAAGGAATTGTAAGGATGATCTCACGCCCAAATACCACTCGATTCTTGATCAAAGCACTCTCCATTCATCGAGTTGATGATGTTAGTCTTCACTCCTATAAATGTATCAATATGTGTGTCTAAAGGAGACCGCCTGAGAAAAAGGGTAATTCTGACCTCCGGGACAAACAGCATTGCATCTAATGCCTTCATCCCTAAATCTAAATGCAGTGTTCTTGGTAACTCCCAGCTAGAACATCGTTAGCTTCCACGATTTATTTCTGTTTATGGAGAATTACGAACCAATCCATGTTTAGATGCTGTGTAAGCAACCCCTGCCACAGCACCACTCAATCCAGCTTTACTAGCCAAATTGATAATGGCACCGCTCTTTCTCGCTTTCATGAATGGCAGAACAGCCCTAATCAGTTTCGTGGGAACAGTGAGGTTGACTGCGATGATACGATCCCATTCATCGTCCGTGACATTGTCCGCTGATGCAAAAGCATCTATTACACCAGCTATGTTCGCCAGGACATCGATTTTGTCACTAGAGTCTTGTTACTATTTCTCGATCCAGCCTCAACGGCTTTATGCTTTGGATGAACTGGACTTGAAGAAAAGTACACACCCAAATTTAGCAACACAACTTCTCACAACCTCATCGCACTGTCCATCTTTTCTCAGATCTCCTTTATGAAAATGAAACTAATCCAGTCCACATGTTAGTATTTAATATTCTCTTTCCCGCAACTCTGGCTCTAAGAGAATACGACATCCTGCTTCGACGTATTCGCACTCACCATCTCTTGGTTTTTCTTCTCTAATTTTGCGTAATCCATCTCACTGATATCCACTCCCAATACCATATACTGATGACTCAAAAACAACCTTGTTGTCTCGAGTCCAATTCCACTTGCGCATCCTGTCACGATGGCGACTTTCTTGAATCCTTTTCCGTCAGCCATGTTTTCGATGGTAAATGTAAGTTAGTTAGCTCTGGAGTACTTTTTGATCCTTCGACATCGGCTTATAATATAGTCACGAAAGTCTTGTGATTCTTGGTATCAAACAATGGGGGGTTGGTTGGTAACCTTTCATTGGCCAATGGACACGAATACGCTCGAGCATTGGTCAATTAATACGAATACGCTCGAACCTGGCTTGGGGTATGCCATCGAGTAGTGGATTCGTCGCATCTGAGGTAAGGCTAGGACAATACGGGGTTAATCAGTCGTGCCAATACCGGTATCTTACATTGTGGCTGGCACATGTGGCTGAACCATCATCTACCGAAGTTTGTGGCTTGCCATGAACGCGCGTGTGTATATATACTTCCTAAGTAGGTAAAACAACGGAATTTTCATATATGAAAAACTTCTTCCACTTGATTACTCTCCATCCTCCCCAAATCATCTACGATTTTCTAACCCGATGCCAGCTAAACTTATGAAGATTTCTCAGCCCCCTTGATCTTTTCAAACAACCTTAAAAATACTGCAGAATCCTGAGCACCTCCTATCTCATACTTTCCCTGAACAGTGAAATTCGGCACTCCACTAATCGAGTTCCTCCTCGCCGCTTCCACTTCCCTATCAACCTCGGCTCCTCCCTTATCACTCTCCAACCATTCATTAACTTCTCTCTCATCCAGTCCAGCTTTTACTGCAGCATCGCGTATCATTTCATGACTAGTGATATCCCCTTCTTCTTCAAAATATGACTTGAACAACGAATCCACTACTTTCGTTTGCACGGCTGGCGACTTTGTCTTTGCCAATTCGATAATTCGATGGCTATCCCTCGTATGGCCCGTTTTCCCTCCAAACTTAAAATTGATCCCAAGTCCTTTCCCAATTTGCGCAAGTCGGTTGTCCATCATTGTGATTCTTTCTTCTCCGAAACGAGAGGCATACCATGATCGTTTATCCACACCTATTCGTCATGATTAATCTCGGATCATCTAATCACCAGAATATGTAGGAACTTGATATTACCTTTTTTAGGTGCGTCCGGAGCAAGATAAAATGGGAGCCACGTGATATTAAACGTATCATCGGAATCAGGATGTCGTTGTTTGTATGCTGTGATTCCTTGCTCAAGCCTTTCCTTTCCAACGTAACACCATGGACAAACAGTGTCACTAACAACCTCAATATCGAATTTGGTCATCTTGCGTAATGTAGCTTTGAACATCAACCTGCGCGGGAAGTGTATCGGAAACTGTACTGGATCTGGTGAATATGGCAGTGAAAGAAAATGAGAAAAAGGGTGAGCAATTGAAGCTGTTATATGAATCTAACATGACAGTAGGTACTTCCGTGGTGCAACGAAGTACATTGGCCATGATTACTATTCAAAAATTCCGAAGATTAGAAATCATTAATTCAACCGTGGGCGGCCGGATTCATTCGGCATCCCCATTCACACAGGGCGATGACTGATTGATTGAGTAACGTAACGAATGAAACATGACTCGGTAGATTGATAAATTATCAATCGATGGATATGATTTACGAATTACGAATTACGAATTACGAATTACGAATTACGAATTACGAATTAGTCAGCACTCGAGTATATAATATGAAGTGAAGAAAAAGTTGTGGGACGGAGGGTATTAGGGGGGATAACTGGCAGATTGAAGATAAGGAATTTATCTTAGCATTCATTTATGGAGTATGTGGCTTGTGCAGGTGGTGGTGGCTGATTGGGCGAACTTCTTGACTAAGCATCTCCTTGATTGCCGATGCTTTGTTTTGATTTGGTCAGCCCATCGGCGCACATCACCTGCTGAAAACAATTAAAGTATTATGACTCATTCTCAAAAGATAACAGCCAAATCGAATATTCTTGGCACCCACGCTCTTGCATTCAGGTTTGTCACCATAGATATATACTACAACCAATCATTACCACCATCACTCGTGACACTCACATCCACCCATCAATCAACTCCCTACAGTCCTGGTACGAAACCCTCCACCTTAACATCCCATCCTTCAGGGAAATGCATACCAGGCTCGCCGTCCCAACCCCCAGCCATCATCGCCATGGCAAGCATCAACCCTCCCGCATTCGGGAAATACGGAGTCGGTACACGTGATCCTCCCACTGGGTATCCGGCGTCGTCAAACTGGAAAATCGGATGCAGCAAGTATTCTATTGCTTGATCTATATCGCCCAGACGCAAGGAATTCATCGCTAGTAGAGCAAAATCCCAACCGTAGGAATCTTCAAACTTCCAAAGCGAGAGAATCTTGGAGGCGGTGTTATTAATGATGGTTAAATTGAGTGGAGGAGAGCTAGAGGGTGGGAGCCAGCCGTAAATACCGGCCATTGCTGGGTGCTTTATTTTGATAAAGGTTAGCAATTTGGGATTTGAGTGTGGTAACTATTCGACTGTGGAGTTACTTACGTCGGACACGGTTTTGCTGTCTGTCCACATATTGGGGATGCCCTCATACACGGAGTACGTGTCATTCACGATAGGCAGAGGAGCAAGATTTTCTCGCACGCTCTTCCAACTCTCCGGAATCGATTTTCCCTGGCGCTCTTTCCAGCTCATAGCTACGTCAAGACCAAACCTCCAGTATGCCAATTCGAAAGTTGGGTTGATGGTCGCGTTTGGGTTCGTATTCTCCGAGACGGGATACATCGGCGGACCCAAATCATAGACTCCAGTAATGACGTTATACCACGCAAAAGATGCCATAAAGTCAGCCGTTGCCGTTAATACCTCGTCCCATCTTCCGAGTGTTGTTTCATTGGGGAATGACCGGTATTCAATCTCGGCAAAGTACATGGGATGCGGTTGCTGCCAAATCAGAAGAGAGTTGATTTCTCCAGGAGCACTACGACCAGTGGGATCAGTCATTTTGCCCCAGCGGGCACCCTGGTATCCTAGTAGTTTGGCCCTGTCGCGTGAGGATTCGAGGAACTGCTTGTACATCCCAGGCATACTTCGCCACAGAAGCTCAAAATGATTCCATCGAGCAAAGTGCATAAGATGCCAGAACACCATCTCAAGCTATTTGAATAACTTTTAGCTATCTTTCTGCATCGCATCACCCTAATAGTAGAGACGACAATGAAATGGAATGGGGATTACGAACATGGAATTTCCCGTACCACCCATTATTCACAAGACCAGATTCTGTGACGATGAGTAAATCATTTAGAAGATGGTTTTCAAAACTGGTCTAGGTGACATACCTTGTGGAGGAAATTCACCGGCTGAATTGATCGCTAGAAGATATTGAGATAATATAATTCTTCGCTGAAGTTCAGTGGCATTCGTAGAATCAACCGAACTTAAATCAATGAATGCCCCGGAATTCCAATAAGACTGCCACCACGACTTGGAATTTTCAGTAAGTTTAGCCACGGAGGCTACACTCATGTTTCCAGCTTTGCTACAACTTTCATTGTCCGAGAATGTGCCTGTCATTCTCAAGCTGCTCGAGCCGGCCGTTGTGAAGAAATACCGATGTGTGCCCTCCTTGGGTCCCGAAATCTGTCCTGTGCCTTCCCACCTTGCTGTGAAACAGTAGCTGGTATCGTCTAGAGTATGTTGTATAATAGCCTCCCTACCCGCAACCTCAAGATACGTAGAGTGTTTACTACTTGCGTTCCATATCCCCACAAATGGTGCATCGAATTTGTTCACATCCGAGTAGGGAAAATCAAAAAACAAACCCAAGGAGCCAAAACTAAGCAGTTCGGACTCAACATTAATGATGACCGTGTCAGAATCAGGCGCCGCTGATACCTCAACATGGACTTGGGTGCCATTGTACACAAATGTTGAAGTAATCACCCCGCTCCATAGATCAAGAACCTGACTTTTCCTCTCCAAGTCACCCTCAGTAACGTTAGCATTAGCAAACCAGAAACCAACATTACCCAAATTTAACCGTTGAGGATTCTGGATCAGCCAGTTTGAGATATCAGCCTCTGCAGGATTCGCCTGGTCATAATTCACAAGTCGTCCATGGGTCCACCAGTCTACGCCCGTAAAGTCTTCATCTTGTCAACGAATATTTTTTACCTCATATATATCGAATCTTGTCTTACCTTCCACGGATGTCTGATTCGGAGTGGTCGGTAAGCTGAAATTATGCCATCCCCATGTCGACATGGTCGCAAAGGGCTTAAAAGTCTGAAGACCAGTCACATCCACACCGAAGGCAAAATTTCCATTGCCAACCTGTAAAGGCGTGCTTGCTGAACTAGCGTTACGGTGAACATTGTAGGCTTGCACGATTTTCTGTCGTTGTATAGAAGCGTTGACGTTGACGAGCCAGAGAAAAGGTATGCAAGACGATAAGATAATTGATATATGCATGGTAAGATCTTAGCATCTGAATTGATAAATTTCTCGATCCATTATTATGGATATGGATATCGACTGGTTTTTCTAGGAATATTCTATAACCTTTCAGAATTACCCCATGTTTTCACTACCGATGTGCATCACTCTGCATGTACTTAATATTGTCCCGAGCCTTAGTTCTTCCACCACTCAAATCATTTTAGGAACTAGGTATGCAGGTCAATCCTTGTCGCTGATAGCCATGACGAAAGTTAAAGCATGCATGCAATCCTTGAGTCCCACATGGCAACCAGAACAACTTAGAAATGACGTTTAAGATGTAGGAGAATACCCATCTGAGTATGGAGACAAGGACTACCTTACCGTGTATATTCCTTAACTTTCTCTTCTCTTAAACGTGCATACAATCACCCCCCTTCGAAAAGCCAGCATAAAACTCTCCAATCTGGAAATATTCCTAGTTCCTAGTTCGCTGTTCGAATTCCTTCTCCACATGACAGAGGAGAGATTCATACATAATAATGTATAAGTAGCCTGTCTAGCCACTTAGTACGAATCACTACACGATATAACCATCAAGAAGTATTGCATTATTTGACGAGGGTGAAGAAAAGAGTAAGTGAAGAATTTAATATGGTGAAATATAACCTTGCAACCGGAAAGATCGGACTGAACAGGGTCACCATCAAAGTCAGAATCACTCTAAAAAACTACTCATTTGCGTAATAAGCTATTTAATTCCCGATAGCTAAAACCGTTCTCGATATTATTGTAAATCAACGTAATCTGAGAGGATCAAAGAAAAGCCAAAGCAGGACCCCGACGCCCAAGTTCAGATCCGAAGATAAGCATTCCCCTTGCTTCGTGAGAAGCGAAGTGAGAATGCGTCCAGCGAGCTCACCTCTCAACTTTTACAGTAAGAAACGATTCCGCAATACCATCATACATGCTATCTAGCATCTACCACTCAAACTCCGCGTCATGCTTCTTCCAATAGTCATTCTTGTTTTTAGCATTCTTCTCTTCTGCTTCTCGATGTCTTTTTGCCACGTCTCCCCATCCCTCCTTCTTGACGGTGTATCTTACGGTTTCATCTTCATGTCTACCTTCTACATCCGCCACACTAGAAGTGATATCGTTCACAACCCTGCCGTAGTTATCTGCGTCCCGGATTTTGCAACGAACTCCTTGAGACTCGCAATGTTGTGTGAGGGCTGTGTATGTTCCGAATCCTTTCTATCAAATAGTTAGTAAGTGCCAGCCTAAAGTAGTCTTGTACAAAGTTCGTGCCACTTAAAGCTTTGCGAACAGCATCTGGCAAAACATGGAAATGATTATCGGAGCAAACATGGAAAATAATGCAGGCATTTAGACGAATTGCTAGCGAAATAAATTCGGCCAGGGGGTGGGGGGAAAGGGGCAGAATGGAGTCTTCGGCACTTAATGATTGAATTTGCGTCGACAAGTCATGTAAGCAACAACACCGTATGTGGATAAGGATTTAGATGAGGAGACATGCAATGAAAGAGTATTGTGCTTACATAGCAGTTAGGACATATAAGTCTATTATTTCCGGCATGTGCGGCAGAAAGTAAATGTTGGATGAAGCCTGGTTCAGTATCAAAGCTCTTCCTTTAAAAATTGTTAGAAACAGGTTGAAATTGAGCAATGAACACAACTTACTTGCACAACCGGTGAGGGCACTTGTATTTTCGAGTGAAAGTAACCCAATATCTTTGTGCTCGGAATGAAGGGTCTTTAGGATCATATGGTGCATATTCTTTCTCGGGTAGAGGGTTAACAAGAGGGCGCATGCGAAGAGGTGGAAGTCCACCTGCACGAGCGGCTATATCCGTGACTGGAGGAGCTTCCGTGGGTGGTTGAGGAATAGATTTTCGGGCGTTGGAAATGATGTGCTTGGTATCCCAGATGGAAGTGAGAATTGGGCCCTCAAATGGTGCATCCATGAAGTTCGGAGCTTTCGTGCCGGCATCCTTAAAGTTACTTGCACTTGGCAGTGGCGGAAAGTTGTCTTCTTTCATAGAAGGAGCAATTGCTATTGGGAATCCGCCCTCGACATACTCGTATTCGACCTCTCCAGTGGGCTTTGGGTCTGGTTTAGCTATCTTCTTCGCAGATGTCCCCCATGGTACACTCATTGCTTTGCCGACTTCTCCCAGAAAGATCAAATCTTCCTCAGGTTGCAATTCCATGACGGGCTCAGGTACACTATTTGAGGCTACGTCATTGAGTTGATTGGTCGGTCCATCTTCTTCCAAGACTAGATCGTTGTAAGCTTAGCTTAAAAGAATGAAACAGAAAATTACTTGTGGTTTCCCATCCTCCAAATTCAAAGTTTGTAGATATTTTTTCCTCGAAAGTAAGTGGCAGCGGCTTCCAGGTGGACGGCGGCAGCTTCATATCCCTGGGGCTCGCAGGAATATCTTGAAAATCCAACAAGCTGATACCAGTCCTTGGCCCAGCGTTTTCATCAATGTTCTTCAAACCAGCCTTGAATTTGGCATGCAATTCTTGTTTCTGCCGCGTACGGGCCGCAAGATTTCCTCTTTCTTCGTTGACTGGGCGACAGCTATCGAGTTCCAGGTGAGCAATTAGAGATCCTAAACGAATGAATCGTTTGCCACAGCCCAGGCATGAAAGGTCTTGTTCTTTTGGGTGCATCTGGGGTTGCCCAAGTCGTTAGTCAATCATGGCCTGACTGAAATTAAATCAAATTGACTTGCCAAGGTTCGATGACGCTTGAGACCTTCATCTGTATGGAAGTCTGTGCTGCAGATATCACAACAGATATGATCTCTGCTAGTCACCTTATGATTGTGGAAGGCATTCCATTCCTTAAAAGTAATATTGCAGCTCTTGCAGGAAACCTCGGTATCAAGTCCACTGTTGACTCCTCCAGCAGCCATTTTGGCGAAAGATCAAAAGCTTGTGAGTTACGATAGTCTGATTATTGAAGTTGTTGGTGACGGTGGTTGAGGGTAGTGTAGCCTATGGAGTTGTTTTTGGATACTGCCTTGAATTGGTTTGAGACACCCAAAGGCAAAACTGAAAGAAAAGATAGATTCACTGTAAGATAAAGTCTCACCTTTTAACAGTTGCCAAAATAGTAAGAAAAAAGAGAAAAGAGAAAAGAGAAAAGAGAAAAGAGAAAAGAGAAAAGAAAAAATGTATCACGAAATGTCTCAAACACGGAAAATCGAGAGGTGAAGAATGTGATGTGAGGTGAGGTGGGGGGAAAGTGGTTGAAGAGAAAAAGGAGTAGAAAGGAAGTCAAAGGTTTTGGGTTTGGTCGCATACGAGACAGTAACAGAATAAGCAAATTGGGAAAGAGCACAACAATGGTTCATTACTAGTGAGACATAAAACTAAACCAACCGTAAAGCCAGTAAGAGTGAATTTACTATTTAGTAAACAAATGGTAGTAAGAGGATGTTGGAAGATAAAGGCGTGGAAACATATATTAGAATGAATAGAATGATGAACCTTGTGTTAGGTCAGGTAAATAGGTAAATAAGTGATTATTGTCTTATTTACCTATAATATCCATCAAATCGATCTGACGTTTCTAGATAATTACCTAGTAGGTATTCACATACCTTGAGTGAAGTATACTCTTCAACTTTGATGTATTTACAATACAAGACTACAATTCTTCTTATTGTCCATAGTTGCATTAAGGACCTGCAAAGGCATACCCAGAGTGAGTGACGACACAAATATCAGCTATACACTTGGTTTTCCATGACCACCTGGGACATCTGTTGGCATGCCAAAGCATCCAAAAGATCAGAATGCAATATTTAGCCCGTATAAGACATTTCCTTCATAGACACCTTTGGCGATACCGAAAAGTACAGACCATACATAACACAAAGAGAGGAGAAAGGGCAACACTAGATTTGCACATAGCCATTACGCTCTCTGATGCCGACAAAGCAAGATCTTATCCCAAGCCCCGGATGGTTTCGACAGCCACTCTATTAATACGATTGCATCACCATTTTCAGGAACATATTAATAGCCAGATACTTCACATCTCCAAGGCAGCATCTACGCTTGAAGATGGCAAGCAACTGTAGATGTTATTTCACCAGCCAAGATTCAGAATTCCCACGAGAGTTTGAAGAAATCCGCAAGTCACAAACTGAAATGCTTGCGGACATCAAGGCATTGTATTGTGACGACAGGACGTTACTTATGGAAGGAGAGTACTGTGTACTTGATACCGCTTAGTACCCAATATTAATGGTCCAACGCTGTACATAGGTCTTACATGTTAACCTTAGAGCATGAATGGCCGACTACCAGCTACAAGTATTCTAATGGCCAGTTGTAGAAGGCATAACTTCCAATTTCTCGTATTCATTAGCTGGTGATATTTGGTTGTCACGGAGCGTTGAGATTTGAGACTCGATACCTCCCTTACATAAGGATGTCGTGAATACTATACCATCAAAAAATTTCGATGGATTATTACTCATATTGCATTGAATGAGAATGCGCAAATTGATGATATCTATGCGATGACTTGATGTTAGTGGAAGTTTGTGTGGTAGGTAACTATACATATTAACTTTTACAACCCCTATGTTTTGTCATCTTTGTTCTCGGAAGCCCGGTTACGGAGGCCGAATTGTTCTTCATGTCATCAATGAAGCAACTCAGCCTCTATTCAAAGGAACACACATAAACAACACAACTGTTATTTCAACAATTCCTCAAATAATGCGAATAACCAAGTCATGTTCCTTTGATAAATCTCATGGCTACTCTATCGCCACCAAGTCCCCCTAGATCCCCCGGCCCTACAAGAATGTCTCGAAGATGGGCTAGAAAGTGCGAACGTTATTGCTGCATTGGCGCAACTTACTTTCCCCTGGTGTTTGTGTATAGTATCACAACTTGGGCCGTCTGGGTAGAAACTACAATTGGCTTTCTAGCAGATGGCAGCAAATCAAGTTGGATAGGTAGGATTCATCGTGGCATATTTGGTGTGGAGAAGCTCATAAACCATAGGCAAAGGGACGTCATTTTTAGGAATCGTTATATACATCCTCCTTAACTGGTCATACACCTCCGCCGTTTTCACGAACCCGGGGACTACTACAGCCGCGAATCATGGATATAGCGCCCTCCCGACACACAACCCTGTTGCGACAAACTTTACGGTAAAATCGAACGGTGAATTGCGCTATTGTAAGAAATGTCAAGCAAGGAAACCAGATCGATCTCATCATTGCTCGACATGCGGGATTTGTGTATTGAAGATGGATCATCATTGCCCATGGCTGGCTACCTGCGTCGGACTGCGAAATTACAAAGCTTTCCTCTTGTTCCTGATATATACAACATTATTCTGTTTTCTCTGTTTCGCAGTATCAGGTTCTTGGGTTTGGAGGGAAATTTTGAGTGATGGAGAATATACAGACTCGCTGTTACCCGTAAATTACGTTATGCTGGTGGTGGTGTCCGGTATTATAGGATTGGTATTGGCAGGTTTCACAGGATGGCATATTTTACTGTCATCCCGCGGTCAAACGACAATCGAGTGCCTTGAGAAGACAAGGTACTTATCCCCGCTAAGAAAGTCGATTCGAGGTCAACACATCCCTGAAGATCAGAGCCATGGAACATACGAACAATTAGAGAGAGCCAGAGCAAGAAATCGATATGAGGAATACCTTGACGAGCAAGATTCGGAAAAGTTACCTAGTGCATTTGATCTTGGGTGGAAAAAAAACTTCAAGCATTTATTTGGTTCTAGGGCATTGTTATGGGCTGTTCCAATACCTACTACCACTGGAGATGGATGGAGTTGGGAAGCAAGTCCGAAATGGCTTGAGGCCAGAGAAAAACTCGCTCGAGAACGAGAAGAACAAAGAAGCAGAGAAAGGGCTGCTGGCTGGGGCGAACCAACGTCTCCAATAGTACCTCTGCCAAGGTCAGAAGGAGCTGGCAGACATTATGTTTCCTATCCTACTCAACCCAATCGAACAAATCGTCCTCAATCTAAAGCAGACCGAATTCTAGGACGCGGTCCGAATCAATATGTGGATGAAGCAGATTCGAACGCTGTCTCCATGCAAACATTGCAACCAAGAGATAGTGACGAGGAGCATTACGAGGTTAGTAGCGATGAGGATGAAGCCGAGAGACGAATCCTCAACCAAAAAGCTGCCGGTGGGTGGCCGCAAAGAGTTGGGGTTGTTACGAATACATTATTAGGAAACACGATAGCACGACAAAAAGATGACGCGAAAGGATGGGATGGACATGGACATGATGATGATGTAGATTAGTTTTGAAGATTTACACTCTTTATTTTCGTCTCTGGTGTTAGAGATTTTGAATCTCACTGTATGATAAAGTTGAGGTTAGGATACTAATGGTGTCAGTGGATGGATACGAAACATCGGGAAATACTATGTTACGATATATCCTCATAATAATTACTCTATTTCTTCCATACCGATCATTGCAGATAGTCTCTTATGATTGAATTCGTACCATTGAAGCACATGCACTTGTTTTGCTTATAATAAATGGAATAGCTTCTCCTTGGACGAGGGGCTCCAGGAGATGGATATGAGTTCCACTGGCAGACTGGTATGCACGCCCACCTGTCATTTCTTGACGGACTGCAGGGTCGCTACAATTTTGGAGTGGCGATCAAATTGTGCGTTTGAAATTATAGAGAAAATGTAATGTCCCGAATGAAGCCTCAGCTTCGCAAAAACGAGTACATTCCCGTCGCCGTGGCTAAGTCTGGGTTCGGTTACGGAAGATCACTGGTAGAACAGTAGGTAGTAGTAAAACCCGACCGATAGCGTCGACCATTTGAAAAACGGCTCCAAGAAACCTTGAGGGTAGTGCTCGATAAGCATGATGTTCGGTTCCGACCCAACAATATTGGGACAAAATACAATGAGATGCATTGACCGAGAGTGTTCGAATTTTGAAAGAATCCCGCCACTCATAGCAGCGGTCACAATGAGAAACGCCTCATAAGGAATGAAGTCTATGCTGGCTCGGAGAGGCGATGTTCCTTTATGAGCTTGAAACCAAATGACCTTAAAGAAGCACACCCACTGGAGCGATATCGATGATTTAAAGTCGATATAGGCCTGTGGCTAAGGTTCGATTCGCGAAGATACGGGGAGGATGGAAACTTCTCTGCAAAACTTTGATGGCTCCCTCATAGAGTTGAAACTATCCACCCTAATAGCCCAAAGCAACTGGAATGATCACTCGCCAGGAGAGGACAAGGATTATGCTGTCCCACCAAATATAAGGCCAATCAACAACGAGCATAAGGAGGCGATAAAAAGGAGGTTTCCCACCCAGTCGACTCGCAGAAATGCTCATGTCTACGTAGGCTCTTTTTCATGATAGAGACGAAGAGATATGACCATAATGATCATGGTGAAGCTTGCAAAAGGAACATTTCAACAAAAAATATATCTCCGATTTACTTCGGCAAGGGGTCCTCCCACGGCTGGCCCTAAGATAGCTCCCACAGCGGTTGAAGACATGGCAATGTCTGAGTACTTTCCTCTTACTCTCGGTGGGGCAATGTCGCATTATAATAAGTTCAACAAGCACTAATCCTTGAACCGTGCGACCAGCTATGAGCATAACGAAGGAATTCGAACCAGCTCCAATCCGCGCCCTGTGCCCGGCAGGGATGCCGAATTGGTTGCAAGAACGTTGAGGAAGAGTTTTGCAAACTATACAATCAAATCCATAATCAACATCAAATATTCTCTCTCAAGTTCCAATTGATCGGTAGAATAGTTGAAGATCTTGTCGACTGGTTTCTTTACGAACATAGCAATATTTCTGAAACCCAAAAATACAATGGAATTGTTGGTATCACTTCGGTGATACGAATGCAGTGCATAGTATTCTTGTTGTATATGTTCATGGATGATTATTATCTATCTAGGGGAGAGGGACCTATTTATATTGAAAGGGGTACGGGCTAGAATGCACTCGTCGTACGGCTCCCTTTGTGTACGGCCTCCCTTTCGAGGTTGATCACATGATGTACTGACAGGAATCTAATAATCGAATCAGATAACTTCTGTGGCAGCTCGATGAAGTTTTATTCGGGATTAAAGCAGAAAATTGCAAAGGACTATTGATACTTGGTCGATCTAATGACAGACTCGCAAAACAATTGAAGTCCTCTTACTTGGCTTACTGCACGCATACTGCAACTTGGAATCTGGTGAGACGGTGAATATGGGATGGAGAGAGGATATAATTAATTCGTTATCAGTCATTTTCTAGAATCGATAAGATTTATAAATAGGTCGATATCTAATAAATATATAAATATTAAATACTTTAAAAAACAAACCGGATAAACACTTACTGTACTTTGTATTTAATTTGTTTTTATTAAATAAATTTAATCAAAGTTTTATATTAAAATAAAATATATATATATATATATATATATATATTATCATGGGACTGCGCTGTCACGATTTACGATTAAGATAAGGATATGTTGAGGGGCAGCAGTCAACGTGTCCATATGAGCTTAGGCCTTATCGAAAAGCAAGGCGATTCGTATACAAATTTGTATGGTAATCGCCTCATGTGGTCTCCCCACCTTTAGCAAGCTCGGACATATAGTCTGATCCTAATCACGTGATAAGGAGCCCTGGGAGCTTCGAAAGCTCCTAAAGCTCCTTTACATTCATTAGTATATAGTCAGAATAGTTTCATAGTTTAAAAGCTTCGTGCTCAACTTAGTTATCAATTAGTTTATATACATTCCAATTGATCTAGTAACGTATTCACCTTCGAGTGGATAACCAGTGATTATTAGCCTTAACCTACAACTACCAACCATACGAAAACCTGAGGCAGCCGCTGCCTCGATCAGATCGTTACATGCGCCCCTCGGACCCCTGGCTTTTTGAGAAAGTCTAATGAAAATTCAAATTTAAAAAGTTTATAATAAATTTAAATATTGAATATATATCAAGATGTAAATAGAATATCGGCTTGTTTTTGATAATTGAAAAATAATAATTATAATATAATTTAATGTTATTATTATAAATTGAATTGAATTGAATAAATAGAGTTGAATGATTTCAATAGAGTTGAAAAAAGTTTTAAATTAGATTTGTTTGAGGTTATAAGGCTTATATTAAAAATTTTGTTAGATTTATTTACTGGGGTATTTACCGGGGTATTTTAGACCAATCAGATTATCAGGATCACAATTCATTTAAACAAGTTTTTTATTTTCTATAACCTACACCGGGTAAATTATAGTATATTATATATACAATAAGATTTTGATATTGACAAGTTGACAATTAAAAAATTTTAATCAAAGAAATTATATATTAAAAAAAATTTAAAAAATTTAAAATAATATTTGAAAAGACTTTAAAGGATTAATATCACAAATAATATAATTATAAAATATATAAATAAATTGAGATAGATAATATACTAGGGGCCTGCGCCCCTCAGACCCTTGGTTTTTCGAGAAAATCTAATAAAAATTTAAATTTTAAATATTTATTAGAGTCTAGAGAATATCGGTTTGTTTTTGATAATTGAATTTTTTTAAAAATAATAAATAATAATAATAATAATAATAATAATAATAATAATAATAATAATAATAATAATAATAATAATAATAATAATAATAATAATAATAATAATAATTCTATACCTGTATAAGTTTAACCTCTTTCTCAAGAGCGAGGGCATCACGTAATCAACATCCGAGGCCACGTTATCGCAACACTCTATAACTGTTATCTCAATGTTCACTTCGATCATTACACCACAGAGATGAATGAGTAACCAGCAATTATCAAAAACAAACCGTTATCCACATCGCACATAATAATTCTTCATATGCTTATAGGAACCGTTTAAAGGCAATCTTCCTGGCCAAGAAGTGAACTCGATTCCTCCAGTAAATCCCTAATCATGGCGCCGGGTTTCAATACCAAATCTCCTACTATGAAGCGCATCAGTAGGTCGTTCTACATCCCACAACTTTTCTTCGCATTAATGACTCAAAAATATAGTGAAAGAAGCCGCGGAACTGTCACAACATCCATCTCCAGACTACACAGCTTCTCCGGCCTCAGATACCGATTTATTTGATTGGCACTTTACACTACGTGGCCCTCCATCGTCGTCTTTCGCCGACGGCATTTATCACGGACGCATCGTTTTACCACCACAATATCCCCTCCGCCCCCCTTCATTCCGATTTCTTACGCCTAGTGGAAGGTTTGAGGTGAATCGCGAGATCTGCTTAAGTATAAGCGGGCACCATGAGGAAACATGGCAACCCGCGTGGGGAATACGAACTGCATTAGTAGCCCTCAGATCTTTTATGGAGACGAGCCCTTCGGGACAATTAGGAGGCGTCGATGCGAGCGATAGTGTTCGAAGGAGAATAGCCGGGGAAAGTAGAGGATGGAAATGCGGGGTTTGTGGTGGAAGGAGCTGCGAGGAGATTTTAGGAGAAGCAGAAAAACTTGCGAAAGAACTCGAGGGCGAAGGAACCAGTTCTAAAAGAGAGGAAGAGACTGTCCCGCCTGAGATGCAAATAGGGTTCAAGAAGGAGACGAAAGAAGAAATGAAGTCAAACCAGAAAATTGACAAAGAGAGCAGTCAACCTGCAAAGGAGCCACCATCGGCACAAGCTGAGAGCGAATATCCACCTGCGAGACCAGCACAAGCGGTACCTCAACCTACAGCTACGATCCCGCTCCCTCAACATGCCCAATTCCAACCCCAACCTCGAAGACAAATGGCACAAGCCCATGTTCAGTCAAATGATGGTGTACCCGTATGGGTCGATCGAGCTATCGCGGGGATAGTTTTATGCTTAGTGGTCATGGTTCTGAAGATGTTAATGGGGAAATAATAGGGTTCACGGTCACAGGTGTTATGGTGCAGGCTTCATTTGGAAAATTTATCAGTGGGTCGAAGGTAGGATGGTAAGGCGTTATGGCAGAGCGTGTACAGGCCTGGCTCTTTTTGAAGATTGATACCACCATACAGGAAATATAATTCACTTTTTCATATTGCCTAGCTGGCATCTTCTAGGTTGAAGCAAGAATGCTATCACGTACATTGCAGACATGCCAATACATGACCATTGTTATACACAACGCAGATGTCATATTTCTGATAGTTGGAGTTGATGTAGGATTTTCTTTAAAGTTCAGAAGCTCCATGCTTGAAATACCGCAGATCCTTACGAACAGCCGAGATCCCTTTTTCAAGCCATCAGACTCAAATTTGAAATATTTCTCAAAACCTCTTAAAGGGATCAGATCCCTTTCGCTGCTGCTTGAAAATGCAGGCCTCAATTACTCTATTTCTTCCAAAAAAAAAACACATCTCATCCGCTTATATCCCAGTATTAAGATTTACCCATATACTACAATGCTTCAAAATTTTCGAAATATCTTCTCAATCGAGGCAGTCCCAAAGCTGCTGATGATGAGTCTCAATTTACTCAAAAACTAGGTACATCTATTTACCTGCTTTATTTACCTACAGTGTTGATGCTTTGCTCTACAACAAACAAAGAAATCATGATACGTCGGTCATTTTGCGAGCGAACTTCTCTTGTAGCCAACCACCACCTCGGCCTGATCGCAAGGGTCAGAGAAACTCATATCTTTCTAGCCATTATAGGAAAGCTTTGTTTCAAAGACAAAAAGGTACAAAGCCAAGTGTAACTACCACATCAAAGAAGAAAAGAGTTTTAGGAATGTATCAAAAGGACTTGGAGACCGCATTCTACCAACAAAGACTTCTTTAGCACAACTCCATGGTTGCTTAATATATTGGAGCTTCAAAGTATGAAGAATTTTTAAATTGGAATTAGGCTACTCTGATCAAGTCACTTTATTAGAATCACAGCAAGTCCATTTCGATATGGCAAGCTCTTACTTGGCCAAATTTTTTGGCGGATCGCGACCTGCGCCTGAAGATGAGGGGGAAGACTCAGCTGATACTTCCTCGCCTCCTCAGGGCGATTACAGCTTGCCCTTCCCGCCCCCTAAGCTACACGGCCTCTACCAAGAAAAAAACATTTGGCGACAATTGTGGATACTGTATGCATGGCTGTTTAAATCGGCCTTATATTATATCCCATTTATTTCACTCTTGATTGGCCTCCCTTGGCTAGCGATATATGTTTCCTACACTCAGCTTTTTCTTAGAGATGACGCAATTTTGCCCGATTTGTGGAAGGCACCTCTCGATGGGTGGGACGCGTTCTCTCGGCTCATCAGGACTTTGTTTTGGGTATTGGTAAATATCGTTGTCAAGGCCGCTAGTTGGTTTGGAATCCCACCTGCATGGTATCATCCAGTGAAAACCGCAGTCACTAGTTTTGTTACTGGCTGGTACAACTCGGCCTCTGCTGCTGTCACGACGTCGACGGGATATCTCTCTGGCCTGCAGGATACTACCACGAAATATATCACATCCTCAAGATTATGGGATATATTTCATATATTCCATGCTGGCAAATGGGGCCCCATAATTCGCTTCTCCAAATATTTTTTCGCCTTTAGCATGTCAACATACTTCTTCGTCACAACTTCAAGTACGTGGGATCCCAACTTCCTTCTTCTTTCCTCCCTGATGATACAATTGGGTCCTATAAAACGTGCGTATACGTATATTATTGACTACGTGAAAACTTTATCGCCGATGATGAATATATATCAGGAATCTCGAGAGAATATTAGAAGCTTTTTAAGTGTCTCGAATACCTACTCTTCGCTGATCAAATGGCTTTCGGCTATTGGTGGTGATACGTCGGTTTCGATACTACCAGAACCAGAACCTGGACAGCACGAGCTTCCGGCAGGTTTCCAAATAAGCACGGAATTAGGAGAGAGGTTTTCAAAGTCAACACTCGGAGAAGTGTTGACGGGGTCACAACTTGGAGAAGCAATCAAGAGTTTAAGGCTCTCAGAAACGGTGGCATCATCAGATCTTAGAAAAGCGCTGGCAGGGTCAGTAGTTGGAGGAAAATTAGCAGCATCGAACTTCGGACAATCTTCGGCAGGATCTGAACTCCTCGGTGAATCATTATCAGGATCTATACTTGGAGATATATTATTAGGATCTGATACTCAAAAAAGGATAGCCATTTCACGGCTCGGGAGAGCATTAGCAAAATCGGAATACGCAGCAACATTGGTAGGATTTGAACTCGTGGACACATTAACGGAGTCAGAACTCGCGAGTAGAATAACAGAAGAGTTAGACACTCAGTTAGGCTTGGTCACTCACCTTAGAGATCTCTCGGAGGCATTGTGGGGGCCACGGCAACGTGAAAATACTATTAAAGGGTTATTTGGATCACATCTTGGAGAGGTGTTAACAAAATTCGAACTTGGAGAAATCCTAGAAGGATCAAGACTTGGAGAAATTTTAACAGGAAAAGTTCGGGGGCCTACTCTACCACGAACGCGTGTTACGGCGGAGCGTATCAAACCACCAAGAGCAGATATTCCTCCAGAACACATCACACCGACAGTAGACACCTTTCTACCGATGGTAACCAAACTAGTGGCCGTGCTTTTAGAACCATTAGCACCAGTAGTGGCTTTCTTAACTGGCTCACCCTCTAACACCACACAGACATTGAGCAACAAGCCCAAAATTTCTTCGGATCAAATTGTCCTAGTAACAGAACCCGTTCTACCAGTTGTAACGAAAGTAGTCACTATATTTCTTAAACCAATAGCACCTGTAGTGGCTTTCTTGTCCAGTTCACTCAATACCACTGAACAACTCCCAAGCGGGACATCCACCTCTTCCAGGCTCATCCCATCTCTAGAAATATCTTTCGATCCAGCTAAAGTTTCCCTCTTCGCAACTTATATACTGGCACTTCTGTTTGCATTCGGTTTCTATATATCCCTGCGCCATTATCTAAATGCCTGGAGCCAAACGATGTTTGATGCGCCTTTACCCCCCGAAGGGATCCCTCCTCCAGCGGGACAACCTTCACCGGAAGCCACAGGCAAGGCTCTGCCTCGCTCTCGGGAATCATCGGTGTGGTCTATCCCCACCGAGGAGTGGCATTTCCCACCACCCCTGAACAGACTACCGTCGGTAAACGTGTTGTTCGCCTATGTTCGCCGACCCTTCTCATATATTCGTTGGCTACTCACCGAGTTCCAAGATCACCGTTTTCCCCTGCCTCCCCTGTCTCAAATACCACTAATAAGCAATATACTCGCCTATATCATTCGTCTATATGCAATGTTTATTCAACTATTTGCAGACATCAGACAGCAGTTCTCAGCTCTGCACAATATCATAAACCTTTATCACCTCACTCCTCTACAAGCAATATTCGATGCATTAGCCGCTCAATACGCGCTACTTATCCGCCTTAAGGATTTGGCTTTATATACCCATGAATGGTTCATCATTTCAATGGCTTACTTATTTTGGGTGATGATGGGATGGGAGACGGACTTCTCCAAGAGCCGTGTATACGCTCTAACAATTCTTGGTGCTAACCGCTCTATCCGCTCTCATTTTTGGACAGGTCCTCTAACTCGATCCAGACGTCGCGGTCGTGGGGCAAATTTGCGACGTCACCATTTCCCTGGATTTGCGCGGGGTCGCCATCGCTCCCTTCTTGATCCACAATGTGGGTACCCTTTTTGGCTATCCGTATATCCACAATACAATATATACACTAACACTATTCAGGGTTTCCTCTCTTCCATGTGATGATTGGGTCGGTCATTGGGAGTCTTATATGTCTTACAGCAGCGGCTGATCCAGATGATATCCGTGATGTTCTCTTTGATACTAGTAAATTGTATAGGCATCAATCCCAAGAATTGTATAAAGGTTATGACTATGGAAAATTGTTGGTACTGGCGTTTTGCGCTACTACTATAGCGTATTTCATTACTCCTGGTCCTGCATTGTAACGGGGCTTGGTTATCTGAAAAGAGGATATGGGTTTGAATGTATTAATGTTCTTATGTACAGAAGTAAGGGAGCAAAAATCAGTACTTAATGTCATAACTATATTTAAAACTATCCGGGACATTTGGTCCATATCAAAATCATGCTATCCGGTAAATATCTATCCTGTAAAGCCCAACGTATATCACTAATTGCGGACCAACCATTCACTCCATAAATATCTGGTTTGTGGGCCCAAGTATAGATTTGCTTCAGTTATCACGAATGTTTCTGGATAAAAGTCTACTCTATATCATCGGATGTATATTTTCTTAACAATATCTGAGAGGTGGAGCCTTGTAAGGTGAAAAGCACAGCTCCGTTTCCAAGCTCGAGGATATACCACATCATAAGCATCAGACTCATAAACATGACGCAAGTCTACCTTTAATATGCATCGAAATAGTGAGAGCTTTACTGTGAGTAAAATGTTTCATACTCGATGACCATCACAGGCCAGAACAATTACAGTTGATGAGAAGCACTAGCAGTTTCTTCGTTGAACTTTCCGCGGCTGCTACCAATAAACAAATAATTCCATGAACTATTCACAGCTAGCAACAATGAAACTATGGTCGAAGTACTCCAATACTGGGCCAAATCAGGATCCACAGAATTCAACTAGGCTGTTCCGCACTAACCTACTCAAAACATAGCAAGCTTCAAATCAGGTAGCCTCCAGTGCAACAACCTAATTAAATGTTCCTATGTGCCACATCTATTCGCCCACTTTTCTCAGGGGACCCGATTATCCCCACGTTTCCAAATCTTTGGCCGGACTATCCATAGTACTCTGGTCAGATAAACAGCCTGTCTCACCACTGAGGGATCGAGACAACTCGGAATCTCACACATTCTAGGGGAAATAGAGCTTGAATACACCAGTCATCCAAGAACGATAAAGCCCTGGTCCCTCCTGGAAGTTCCAAAGAGCACTACGAATTTTCATCTGGCTATTTCAACAGATTCACTGGAATCTTAAACGAAATAGAACATATAGAACACATCTGTATCGTATTTCTTTCTTTGGATATACAAACATATATCAGTTATTTCATTGTTGCTGTCATGAGAGTGAAGTTCGCGATCTCAAATCTCGCCCTAATGCTTCCGAAAGCTAGTCCTAATTAAGTTTAGCTTATCTATCAACATTTCGGAGCGCGGAGTGTAAGCTTTGAACAAAAAGTCCCAACGTGCCACTCGATTTGAAAGATTGTGAGAATACCTAGTAGCTTGTCAATTTTCCTCTATTCCTTTACATTCTCACCACCCTTCTCTCGAACTTCTTCGCTGAGGTCTTCTTTTCATCACACAACTTCATCTGCAAGATGTCACGATTCCTAAGACCAGCGACTCGTTTCGCTTCTTCAGCTCGCCCTACACGAAGTACCTTTCAATCAGTTACCCGTCTACCTGCCATTGTGCAAACCCGAGGATATGCACAGGAGAGTAGTGTTAAAGAATATACAGTTAGGGAGGCCTTGAACGAAGCTTTGGCGGAAGAATTGGAGTTAAATCCAAAGGTTTTCGTCCTGGGTGAGGAAGTTGCTCAATACAATGGCGCATACAAGGTTACCAAGGGATTACTGGATCGTTTCGGCGAAAAGAGAGTAATTGACAGTCCCATCACTGAATCGGGTTTCTGTGGATTAACTGTCGGTGCTGCATTGGCAGGTCTGCATCCTGTGGTAAGGACTTTTGACCCCTCACTCGTTTTGGGCTGAAGGTCTATCGAGATGAGAGAAAATGATAGCTAAACACAATTTACAGTGCGAGTTCATGACTTTCAACTTCGCTATGCAAGCCATTGATCAAATCGTCAACTCCGCCGCCAAAACTCACTACATGTCCGGTGGTATCCAACCCTGTAACATCACTTTCCGCGGGCCTAACGGTTTCGCATCTGGTGTCGCTGCACAACATTCACAAGATTACTCTGCATGGTACGGAAGCATACCCGGTCTCAAGGTCGTCACTCCATGGAGTGCCGAAGATGCCAAGGGATTACTCAAGGCTGCTATCCGCGACCCCAACCCTGTCTGCGTTCTCGAGAATGAATTGTTGTACGGTCAATCTTTCCCCATGAGCGAAGCTGCCCAAAAGAATGACTTCGTTCTTCCTTTCGGAAAAGCCAAGATTGAGCGCGCTGGAAAGGATCTCACTATCGTTACTTTGTCCCGCTGTGTTGGACAATCCCTTGTCGCAGCTGAGAATCTGAAGAAGAAGTATGGCGTCGAAGTCGAAGTTATCAATCTCCGATCCATCAAGCCTTTGGATGTCGAAACTATCATGACCTCCCTCAAGAAGACCCACCGTCTCCTTGCTGTCGAGTCTGGTTTCCCAGCTTTCGGTGTCGGTGCTGAATTGCTTGCCTTGACTATGGAGTTCGGTTTCGATTATCTCGATGCTCCAGCTCAAAGAATTACTGGTGCCGAAGTCCCTACGCCATATGCACAGAAATTGGAAGATATGAGTTTCCCTAACGAGCAATTGATTGAGAACTACGTCGCCAAAATGTTACGATTGTAAGATTATGAAAGTTTCTTAGTCGTTAATGATGAGGGGCGGGGTTTGGGAGGGTGGATGACGTGTATTAAATAGCATACTTCTGGCAAATATACCAATAAAACCTTTCTTTTCAACCCATACCATACAAATCTCGGTATTGACGAATTTTCAATACTGACCCAGTGATTTGCTACATCTCCTTTCCCCAACTAACCTGTCATTCTGAATATCGCTACCATGATTCTTGGATTATTAAGGGGCTCTGTCGGCGGATTTGTGACGGCGGCTTCTCCTTTTTACAAGCATAATTCTCACTACTCAGAAAAAAAGAACTGTTCATCATTTTCATTGTTAATGGATGAAGGCCCAGATCTCCTTCCAGGCGGTATCATGCGGGGCATCGATAGCCACATGACAATTTAGAATCAGTCAAGCATGAATCATCACAAAGGCACAAAGTGAAAGCGGAAATCCTGATGTGTCCCTAGTGGTACTTTGCTATTGGTGCAAAGACCTACCCAAGGCGCGCCGAACTCCTCATAAGGATTGCTCCGCTCCACATATCAAATAATAAACAAAAATTATCTCCTTTAAAACCTGGTTCCCATTATCCTGGGTTTGCGCATATAACAAGGACGATCGTCGCATTAAACACCCATAGTAAAATCATGCTCAATACCTGGCGTCACACTCGCCATAAACTGGGCCTAGGTTAGCATATTCCACTGCAATAAAGGTCTAACTAAAATGGCTTACCTTCAAAAACACAACAAGATATTGATCCACACGAATAGCAACCTCTTCCTCCTCGCTTGCAAAATCTTGATCATGCTGCAATACCTCCCACTCGTCGTTCCCGTTCCCGCCTGCTTTCAGACCTTCTAGCATAGCTTTCTTATCACTAATTTTGGTCTTTTCAAAATCATCCACTAGGCCCTCCATGCCAGTATCTTTAGCTCCGGGTACTGTCTTCCCTTGTTTTTGTTTCTCTCGTCGGAGTTTCAGAGCTGCGTCTGCGCGATCAAGCAGAGTCTTCATGACACTGGCGTGTTTGCAAGGGTGGATCGATGCCATCTTGATGTTGTTGCTAAAATATGGGAAATCTTCTAATGTGACAGTCTTGTCTTTATAATCACCCACAATATCCTCCATCATAAGGTGTGGTGGAAGAGGTTGGGAGCTTGAAAGGTATCCCGAGAGGTATAGCCGAGGAGTCCGATAATAGGGCGTGTATGCGATGTAAATAGTATATGTGCGACGAGATCTGATAGATGGCTTATTAATATTCGGCCATCAAGATCATTTCAGTATACGGGAAGATACTCACGAATTCGCATTGTCAGCTTTGGGGTCACGAATAATAGCTTCGTCATCATCGTCTTCATCCTCCATATCTGGAATATCATCCTCGTCATCTTCTCTTTCACCCATCTCGCCACTTTCATCTACCGTCCTCACATCTCTCGCTCGTGCTTCTTGACTAGCGGCCAACCCTCCAGTCCTCAACCAACCATCTTCATCATCACCCGGCGAATGACCCGTACCTCTGAAGTCCTCTCCATCTCCAACAACAGTTTCGTCATGTCCTGCTTCACCCGCAAAATCATCGTCAAGTCTGCGATGACAAGGCACGCCACGTGTAACTAAAAACTGCTTGCCAGCCGGTAAATAGTTGGCACGCTTGCTTGTTGGGGATGCATCTGCCCATGACCATGTTGGAAACTTGAAGACCAGATAATCCCCTGCTGCTACGAATTCTTCAGGTGTGATTTGTCCGTTGGTGCGAAAAGTAGAGGTGTTAGATACTGGCGTAAATTCGCGAAGTCGATCGAGAGTACTGTGGAGGAAGTTCATGATGGGCGGGGAGGGGGACTTCTTTGATGCTGAGCGGGGTCTCGAGGGTGATAAAATATTGCGAAGGAGCTTATGTTGATTGATGCGTAGAATTTATCTATCGGTTTAGCTACTTTAAAAAAGGTTGTTCGCAAGCTTGAACGTGTGTTGGACTTTGTAAGAATGAATGTGGGTTACTGAATAATGGGAAACGGATTGAGTCAAGGCATAGACAAGTTGGAGTGGTAGGTAACTAACTAGCCTTATGAGGATCCTCTCTTATCGATAAAGCCGATAGATAACCTTAAAGACGGTGAATCATTTATTAGTCCATGTGACTTGGCCATTTGTAACAACAGAACAGTTGTGAATATACCTATACCTACTCCTACCTACCTAGTATATAATCACCTCCCTATCTCAACTTGTGAAATGTATTACAATGTACATCAAGCTGAATTACAACATCTCGGTTTTATAGATTGTTGTCACTTTTGCTTTCCAATCTTTCCTTTCAACATCGAAACAATATCACCGCGGCATGGCATGGTGAGTTTGGTGCTCAAAAGGAAAATGAACTTTCCCATATTCGGAAGACTACTGAATCCGTGTGGTGTGGTACATGAATCCATTAGGGACGCCGAATCCCATGATAACATTAAAGTCATTTCGAACATTTACAACATATTGAAGATTGGAATTAACCTTACATAGTAGTATCATCTATACATCTCTTTCCCAGTCAACTTTCCACGTTTCCAAGACCTCATCAGGTATTTCTTGTAGATATATCATGTATATGCTTACCTACCTATATAAAGTCAGTAGTACAAGAAAATGCATACGGTGAATGATATTGCTCATTCTCTCAAAAATCTTGTATCCCAGTTTCTCCCCCAACTGTTTCCCCAGTATCTTCCTCCCCTAACCATTCTGGTTCTTCATCCTCGAACCATCGCTCTTCAACGTCCCTATCTCCAATATCATCCCATTCCCCGCCAGCATCTACATTTTGATAATCGAATTCTTCATCCTCTCCTCTCAGAAACTTGAGTGTCATTTCGAACTTCCACCTTTCGAAGCCCTCCTCTTTGCTCCTCGGTACTTCGTCCGGGTCCTCAGGTAAAACTTCACCATTTTGACCTCTTGCATAGCTCAGATATGGAACTCCATGATCTTCTTCAATACATCCAGCACTTCCATCTTCATCTCTAGAGGACGAACCAGGGTTGCCTTTCAACGCGGCAAGTTTAGCTTCTGATCGATACAGATCTGCTTCCAGTACACCTGGTGAAGATATTTAGTACCATCAGTAGATAAAAAGAAGTCGAGGCCATCTAAGGGTCGCCTACCAGAATAACCCTTTGCTCGTCCATCCGCTTCTCTTTCCGCGGCAGATTGAAATCTTCTAATGCATCGGTCATATAATAGCGGGTCTGCTTATAATTAGTTCCCATGTAGATTTTCTTCAATATAGCAATAATTGACCTGCAAGCTCTAGGTCAGGGGCAGTGAAATATGATGGATGGCGATCGAGATATAATTTCCTGCGGTTCTTGACCTGAATACGAGCTACACGTTCTGCTGAGTCTCGTGTTTGTGCCTCGGGCGTATTGGGCTCTTTGTGAGGCATGACGATAGCTTGAATGTTGTGGGGATTGAGGTCTGGATGAATGGATTCTGAAGTCATGCGTAGGGAATTCAGGTGGCGAGATTGGTTGGACTCCTCCTCATTCGTATGTTAGATTAATTTAATTATTGATAGTGGCAGTACTACTAGGTAGTTACTGTGTTTTTTAACAATACTTTGAAGTTACCAAAATGTAAAGTTTTACGATGATATGTAGATGTCGACTGGAACGTCGTTTGATAATTGGCGCTTGGTCATCGTTGGCGATGAACGTATTTATTAGTAACTAGTGAACCTACTGTAAATACGAATACTGCTGGCGGCTGGACATATAATCTTCATCAATCTTTTATCTACCTGCATTTCAGGATACATCAACACGATAGCGTTAATAATCTTCAATATGACTTTGACTTTTCATCAAAAAGCACTTGAGCCTCCGTTCATAACCGTCGAAGGTATTCCCAATTTCCGAGATCTGGGCGGATATGCGCTCGCATCAGGGTCACAATCCGTACGTCTAGGAGTCGTCTATCGGTGTGGCGAGCCCCAAAAAGTTACGAAAAATGGGATTGCCACTATGCAGAAATTGGGAATTACTCATATCTATGATTTAAGATCTCAGGAAGAGCTTAATAAAAATGTCGCTGCTGGTAGGGGGGGAGTGGTAGAGTGGGAGGGCTGCCAGCGGGTGTTCGCGCCTGTGTTTCTGGAGGATTATAGCCCCGAAAGAATTGCCATTCGATTTAGGGACTATGCCTCAAAGGGCACCGAGGTAGGATTGCTTCGTCAGATCTGTGGAGAGACTATAACTAAATGGAATTGAAGGGTTTCACTCGCGCGTATACCGACATCTTAAACAATGCTCCAACCTCATACCGCACGATTCTTCTTCACCTTGCAAACGAGCCAACTAAACCATTGATTGTCCATTGCACCGCTGGTAAAGATAGAACCGGTGTTCTTTGCGCGTTGATCCTGTCCCTTTGCGGAGTTGACGATGAGGTTGTGGCTCGGGAGTATAGTTTAACAGAATTTGGACTCCCGCAAGAGTGGAAGGCAGGAATTATCAAGCATTTGATGGAGCACCCAGCCATCAAAGATGACCATGAAGGGGCAGAAAATCTAATCAGCTCCAAGTACGTGATACTCCTCCTTGAAGAAACATATGTTACTAATAAAACTCGCGAGTAGAGCCGAGAACATGCTTGCAACGCTAAAGATGCTCATTGAGAAGTTCGGTGGCGCGGAAGGATACGTGATAGAGAAATGTGGTCTTACAGCTGGAGAAGTAGAAAAGATTCGTAAGAACTTAATCATAGAATCCCCGGCGATTCACAGTGTTTAGTAGAAGAATATTGCTAGAAGAATACCTAGTACCTACCAGTACTTCAAATCATTAAGATTATATAGGCACGTGATTTTTCGCTTAACTTTCTCTTGGAGCTTTTGATCCCGAGAAGTTGTGACTTAGAATTTTCATCTGTTAGGGACCCCACGGTTTTCGTCAACCACCCTCAAATATCTTCCTTCATTCCTTCACAACCTCAATTGAGGTGCTGCTATGATGAATACTTCTTCTAGATGTCCGAATGTACTCGCATCCGGGTCAGCTTATGCAAGATCCTTTCTTAACCAAGTACCTTCGCGGTCCTTCTCGTTGACACCCCCGCAAAATGCACGAAGAGCTACCAGAGCAAGGCGCTCGCTCTTCAGGTGGCTTGGCACACAAGGAGAGAACTTTAGAAATCCGTTGGCAAATTCAACAAATTACATGAATGCATACAACAACGATGGTAAATTGAAGAGAGTCATAGAAGCTGCGGCGAATTCGAGGAAGGATGGTGGCCCCACGCCGGAAAGTGAAAATGAGCCCGATGCGAATGGCAACAAGGAATTACCGCCACAAACTTCAAGAGATATGATACCATTCCCGGGAAATCGAAAGTTCATAAGCCAGCCTGTGTTGGGTGAAGAATTGCGGGAGCTCATTTGGAGAAGAATTATGCAAGATGCTAGGTCGGTGAGAGAAGTTAGTGCTGAGCTTGGAGTTGAAATGAGTCGTGTGGGAGCAGTCGTACGACTAAAAGAGATCGAGAAAGAATGGGAACGATTGGTATGTTATGAAAGACTTTTATACACACCAGCATACTTTATGATGATTTATAAAAATCGATTAGTCTTCAAGACAACTACATGGTTACAAAATTATGCATGCGAGCCTCTCTGAAAGTTAACTTACATACGTGTCTTGTTTTGGGATATTTCCGGTCACAAGCTAATTATCATTGTCATAGGGAAAACCTCTTGCGAGACCTTACGCCGATGCTGTTATGTCAATGGTTCCCGTAACTCAACTAAATCCGGCCGGCAAAGTTTCACATGAGTCAATCAATGATTTACCTATCCACGTAGCAACGGGACAACAAATTTTCCACCCCACGTCGGAATCGAGACATTTCACACGGGAAGATGCTGCAAAGATTTTCGACGAGAGACTTCTTCCTGCAGACAAAAGAATACCACATCCCGAGTTGATTGAGATACATAAAGACTTTAGAGCTGGATTGTCTCGAGAGGAAAGGATTGCGCGACAAGACGCAAGAGACCAAGCAGAAGATGAAGCGAGGCAACTTATAGCTGATCGCAAAGCAAGGGAAGAGGCCAAGATAAAGAAGGTTAATACGGCTAGATGGGAATTCAGAATCAAGGAAATTAATGTTGATGATATTGGTAAAGACGGTAGGGGGGCGCACGGAACAGGCTGGAGGTACGGAAGACCTTTGATGGACAGAAAGAGAGGACAGGTAAAGATTCCTACAAGTGTGCAATAATGATTTAGAAAGTTTTATCATAGATGTACATGGAGTTTTAGGCTGGAGGATTATCATGACATTAGCGACCATATTGAGCGCATACTTGTACATTTATTTTGTACTATACCAAACCCATCGAGAGGACCGAAGGCTTTCCGCATCCCTTCCAGGTGTACAAATATATTAATACATCACGAGCACCGCTTGAGTACTTGCTTGACGCGGTTCCTTTGAAGATGCCAACTTCTACTGATATGATAGGATAGTCTTCTGATGGTAGACACGGGGTGCTACTGGAAATTTAAAATAGACAACAGGTATTGTTAGCATTCTCCGGAGTAGAGTCAGAGAACGGTACATCCAATCATACTATCGATACACCGATACACTCTCAATCTCGTACATGCTCTTGCTTTATTAAAATGAAGTTCTGATTTTTTCCTTTAAAATTTTCGCTTAAAAGCCCTAATGACGCTTAGTGCGATTTTGAATCGCGGTGCCTATGATGGTCGTGGCATACAAAAGGGCCTGAAGGTGCCCGCAGACGAAACGCGATTTGGAACTTTTTGACTTCACTTTCTGCCTGTAAATGAAGGCTAAACAAAACTCATCTACATCACGTGCTATCAAACAAGAATCATTCTCGACTTTAACATCATATCACCCAGAAGAAGAATAAAAACAGGAAACGACTTGAATCATTTTTCTATATTTTAACTTTTAAACTGCTTCATCTTTTCACTTTGTTATTAAGTCAAAATGTCCGACAGGGAATTTTCAAGTAAGTCAAGTGAATCTTTATATCACGTGCTCATCCGCCGTCTGGAGGTGAATTAGAGGAAAGCGACGTTGGCAGCAAGTGGCCCAAGACTATTACCTTTCAAGGAGCATCTTTGGTAGTCAAATTTCATGTTCTCTGGTCCCAATTGTTCAAGTCCTCGGATATCCCAAACCAAAATCAAGATGCCGACCTACTGCGATAACCTGAATCCAGGTGCTTCGTTCCTTCTCCTCTATAATGGCTCATTTTTCTCAAGAACTGAAAGAATGGATCACAACTAACACTCCCTAGGTAATGATGATCTATCTCTTCCAAAAGGTACCACTTCTTTCTTTTTCTTCAATACTTATCATCATTATCCGTAACCATGGACAACGATTGCGGTTGCTCTTCCCGCACAAGAGGGGTCAGCAAAACACCAATCCTCACTGGCGACTGCGATATATTCTGGGATCCTATGCTATCAGCATTATCACGCAAAAAGTGCACCCAAGTCAATAAAACAGGCTTCAGTTCTTCACCTAAGCAGTCATCAACTACTTCGGAGGCTTCATACCTTCGGCCCAAGGAACCGGATCATTACCATAATGACTTAGACTCAACTCATATCCCATTGGAATTCTCATATCATAAGTTACCTTATTCGTATAAGAAACACGAATTATTGGCTGGAGCTGTGCCTATTCCTCATAGAACATCAAGTCTAGCTTTTGGGTCAGCATCCAAAAATCCGGGAAAGATGTATTTAGTCCAACAGTCGCTGCCATCCTCAGCTGGAACTTCTGGCTATTCCGGATCTTCGTCCAGTCTTAATATTGGTGGCAAGCATCTCGAACAGGTGCAGAAAGTACTGGAAGACATTCGAACATGGCACAAAGAAGTTTCCATATCAATTTCGAGATCACATCTTGTAAAGCCGAAATATTGCCACCAAAATGATTTCAACGTTTCATCACAGGTTCCTCATAAGCAAAAAAGCCGGTGTCTTGGAAGTTCATCCATGGATTTTCAACAACAAAAATCTTCGTGGGCTCAAGCTTTTGACGGAGGCTACACAACTCCTCGGAGGTATACTTCTAGATCACTTTCTCCTGGATCTAATATTTATCCTATCTGGAAGATTGAACCCGTTCCGTCCAGCATCTATAAAGCAAAAGCGATGCCCGACCCCGAGATCAGGCGAAGTCCTCGACCAATACCTAGCCCAAGGACATCCAGCCTTGGTGCCACCATGTGTCCAAGACGAAGAAATGCCGTTCGAGGTCGAATCCTTCCAAGACCAGTCTCTGTTGTCTGCTCGACTGTGGAACCTCATTCATGCCAAGCACAGTTGACAGGAAGCTCGCTCGATTGTCCAGTTTTAGAGGATCATTTTGTGTACCATCTGGATGGTGAAATTGCTTTGATCAGCAACGAAGAGAATAAGAAAATTGATACTATCCACTCCCCAGCAACTCCTCTTGAACAGTCGAATCTATCAATCAATTTACAAGACCAGTCACGGGAAGATCCAGGCTGGGAAAGCCACGAAGATGGATTTCCCCATAGCGATACTGTTATCAGGCTTTCCGCAAGACATTCAAGTCTGCAAGCTAGCGAGTCCATATATACAACGCCGTCTTCACAGGAAAGCGAAGATGAAGAAAAGGCCAAACGTCACATTGCATTTGTGCATTCAGCATTGCGAAATTTAGTACCCTTTGAAGTCTCAGACTATCTCTACAGAGTTTCACAATCGCGGGAAACTTTTGATGATTCTGGAAAGACTTTCTTACACGGGTTCTCGGACACAATACCTCCTTCTATCGAGTCCAATTCCACGCGCCAATCTCCTGAGACGCTTGAGCAGGATGGGTGCTACAAATCTGGAAGCAATCCCTCTTTGAGAAGATTCTCAAATGAACAGCCTCGCCTACATTGCCTGGATGCAATTGATGATACGAATATGTGGGCTCCGGGAACCGCAATCTAACCACAATTCTCGCATCACCCAAGAGTTAGCTTTAACTCCACCGTCTTCCACTTACACTAATTTGCATTTCCATTTCGGGATCCTTGCTAACTCCTGCCTTCTTTAGCAACCGTCCAAAAGATAGTATCCGAGATTCTCCCAGCTAGCTCTGGTCTAGCATTTGGCAAGGATGCTCGTGATCTTTTAATCGAATGCTGTGTCGAATTCATCACTCTCATCTCGTCAGAAGCAAACGAAATCTCCGAGAAGGAAAGCAAGAAAACTATTGCTTGTGAACATATTACGAAGGCCTTGGAACAGTTGGGCTTCGGAGAGTATGTTAAAGATATTGTGGAGGTGGCCAGTGAGCATAAGGAACAGTTGAAGGTACGTGTATTAGCTTTTTCCAGGCGGTAGATAATATGTACTAATTAAGCGAAATCATAGGGAAGGGAGAAGAAAGCAAACAAACTCGAACAATCGGGCCTCACCCCAGAACAATTATTGGCAATGCAGGAAGAGGCATTTAGAGATGCCGCACAACGTCATGGTTGATTACTGTGTTGTTTCTTTTTCTTTCTAGTTCTTCGCTAAGATCAGCTTCGATTTGCTAGGGATGGATTGGGAGTTTTTGGTCTTCATGCATGGCTGGTTAGTGGGCGTTTGCTTTGGTGGGGAACGGGGATAGGGAGGGTATCTTCTTTCTTTCTTGTTTGTGAAGAGGCGTGGAACCGCGGTTGTGGAAAGTGGTTTACTATTGATAATGAGAAACGTGGTAGTGGAGGTGGTTTAGACAGATTGAGATTGCTTGAGGAGGTAGCTTGTTTGTTATTATGCTACAGTGCGCGAAAACGACGACCTAAATGATATGAGCGTTGTGCTTAAATTTCAAGACTTTGCGATACATGGCTAGTGACCATTAAAGGACATCCAATTTAGGGACTCCATCGAATAACTACATGCGAGGTGCTTCTTTGAAGGTGATTTGAGTTGAGCTGGGTTAGTCCTCAGACTTGACTAGAAAATCACTACGGCTATATTTACAAATCTCAATCCCATCGATTTGATTCAACAGTGACCTCAACCAATAAGAGAACTCCCCAAAGTGACCATAGGTTTGTTGAGGATCGGAGACAATCCCCTGAGAGAGTTCCAGAAGGTAGTCCTTGAAATTCCAACTACAACATTGCTGTTCTCTTTGCTGCAGGTCGAACGGTTGTTACAATGTTTTATTGTTCCAGGTGACCACTCGAGGGCGCGGATTTCGGACCCAGATACTGGATACTACTATCCCATCCAACTTCCCCAGAACTGTGCTTTATTGTATATCTATCATAATTCTGGAGACTCTGGGAATAACTCTTGGAAGGTGGACTATGATATTGTTGTCGTTAGTGGTTTGCTCAGTTACTTGCTAAGCTATTCGTCACCCCTGTGTGTTGCATACACGTGGGAATGATGTGAAAATTTAGATAAGTGCTCGAGGATGGTGATCTTGGGAATGAAGATTTAATGCTCTATATCACAAGAATAATCGAGGGAATTAAATTCCGTATGCTAAATGAATGAATAATGAGACAACAATAGATCATCTCGATCTATGGAAATGACTGTCTCAGTACCGCATTCTCCTCTTGTCACTAACAGTAACTTACTGTGTTATGTTTCACAAGTCCAATAGAGGATTTAGGAGGATATTCTTGCCAGACAACTGTTGGCATCTATAAATGATAGATGATAGAGTCGTACCATGCAAGTTCCAACTTATGAGGCGATTAACATTATCCGAATAATCAATATTGGCGACCGAACGGGCTACAGGAGGAATCATCCAAATAATTTCAGCATAAACTTAGCCACTTGGATTACATGACCATGGCCCGCCTACATATATTCCTCGAGTCCAGTCGCCACTGTGGCAGCCTGGGCTCAAGCACTCTGACTGAAACATATAGACTCACTTTCGGATTGGGCAGATAGCTCACGGTATAAACATAATACGATGGAACATGCTGCTACAAGGATTCAGATGTGGCAAAGTCGGCGGTGCTTAGGTGTACTCTGGGTTTGGGGTGGTATCTGAAAGGGCCTATCACAGAAACTACAAACTTTGCATCATTCTCTTGTATCACCGTTTTACAACGGATTTCTTACGCCAATATAGTTCAATCGACGAGAATCCACTGACGGCTGCTAATTCGAGACTTGAATTACGCCTTCTATTTCCTTGAAAATTCTCGCTTGGGATTTTGGTCATTTAGGACACACTTTAGGTCATGTCGACTCCAACTCTGTTCTTTAAATGTTTTCTGTCCCAAGTGTATAGAAAGCAATGGAATTAGTTAAAGCCCAGGTCTTCAATACCAAGATCACCGCATTCAGATACAGAAACAAAATAAAACACCTGATAGAAATTATTTCATGCTTCCCCATCACTATGTGTCCCCATAAACGAATACTCCCTTTCCACTCCTAAATCCCTCTAAAGTTCCCTTCACTGCTGACTTCAAAACGTCTTCCTTCGTCTCCCAATCCCACTTGAGTTCTTGGACGGGAATGTCCTTAAACATTCCCATCCTTGTCATCTCCAAAATCTCATCCACCGTTTTCTTCTTCTCGTCTGGATGCGCATCGCTCCACCTACTGACCCAAAACCCACTAAACTTGGTGTCCTTGAAAATCAGAGCTGCAGTAGAGATCTCCAGTGGTTTCTTCGACATTCCTCCATATGTAACCAAATGGCCACCATGACTCAAACATTTGATTAATGCACTTGTTGCCTTTCCACCGACACAATTCAACCCCACTCGAACCTTTTCCCTTCCTCCATTCGTCCAATCCTTAACCTGATCTCTGAAACCTTGCGCCATCAATTCCGACTCTGTCACCACTTTCGTAGCACCCAGCTCCAGCAATTCCTTCTTCATAGCTTCAGTCTCTTCAACACGCTCGCGATCCCGTATAATATTAATACTCCTATACCCCCACCTTTTTCCCAGCTGGATGGCTGCCCTCCCAACCCCACTATTCGCTCCATTCTGTATAAACCAATCCCCCTCCACCATACTCTCGAAATCCTTTAACATCCTATATGCCGTGCACGGATTAACACTCACAGTGCCCACCTGGATTGGGTTCAGACCCTCTTTATTCCCAATTTTGAGGACCTCGGATTCCTCCGCGATAGCATGTGTGCGCCATGTTCCAAATCCAGTCGATTTCATTATTACCCAATCGCCTTTGGTAAGAGTCGAGACGCCGGGCCCGAGAGACATGACCTCAAAACAGCCTTCGTTGCCGCCTACAGCGGAAGGAGATTCGGTTCCGAGGAGACTGGTGAAGGGAGGACGGGAGGGGTAGACGCCCTGAATTTGGTTTATGTCGGCAGGGTTTATGGGCGTTGCGAGGGTACGGAGAAGGAGGGATTTTGAAGGTAGAGAAGGGGAGATGGAGTGGCTGTGAAGACTATTGTTTTTATCATTATTAGAACGGCGGCATTGATTGCAGAATAGATAGATGAAAGAAAATAGGACCAAGAAAACTCACGATAAAACATCCACCGGCTCCCCATACTTGGAATACACAAGTGCCTTGGCTTGTGTATATCCATACGGACCAGATTTGTGTCTACGAGCTATCAAGCTCCCCAATTGAGTCTGTTTGCTCTGTCTGCTGAGCACTCTGGGTAACAACCCTCTTGAGCTTATGGCTGTCGAGCTAGCTAAAGCCTTACAATGAATAGGACTCGCCATCTTCAAATATTGAAACAAATTATCTTGTTGATATCTTGGTTGTAGATCTTAGGAAATGAGTGTTAAGTTGATGTCATTTCTATGTCAACGAAAACACACACACCCACTCCACTCACTCATTCATATATACCGGCAGTTTTGGTTATGACGTTAGACGTTCTATTTGTTGTTTGCCGAATTTCCATCCACTCACCACCACCAAGCCCAATTGCCGCTGAGCCACCAGGCGCCAAAAGCTTGAAATACAGGCATCTAATTACATTTCACTCCCTACTACACAGTACCACTCCACTAATTTCAATCCCTCCCAGCCCTAAATATTAGGGTGTTACAGCACGTGGACCGCGTGGTTCCCGGGCCCAGGACTGTTTGATCGTCTAAAGAGGGAGCTTGTTAATTACCCTTCGACAGCCACAGGAGATGGATAATGTCGGGACATGTGATTTCTTAATTCGGGATTTTCCTTGGGAAACATTGATCGTTTATGCTTTATTAGGTATTCAATATATTGGAGAAATCGGTGTTAAAAAGTTCAAATGTAAGATTTACGTCGAGAGTCCTCATTGACAGATTAGGGAAAACCCAATCTTCTCCCTTATCACAATTATACAAACTCCGTAAACCGAATGATAGATGAGTAAAAAAGACAAGGCCATCCGACCAAGCATCCGCTACTATTTGGTTCCAAAAATGCTAAATATGAATATTTTGTACCCCAAGAAAAGCTTCCACGGCATATGAAGCCAACATTACAAATGCTGTTTTGTTAATACTGTAATCGTAAAACAAGACCCTATTGAAGACCACCACCCAGAGATATCATTGATAAAAAGAAGAGCGCCCAGCCAAACAAACCAAAAAAAAATGAAATAACGTTTTTTGGCCCCCATCTTGAACCTGATCGTGGTACATCTGGTTCCCCCCTTCCCCCTTCTACCTCGCTGGCCGCTCCATCTCGCGGTCCGTGTGGTTAGGGTTGTGACTGTGAATCTTTTCTGGCTCCTTCCCATATTGCAGCTATTATTTGGGCCGTAGCATATAGCAATACCCCAAGGAACTATTTGTATTCCCACGATTCTCCCGTACAATCCCTCACTACGAAATATTTCTGAACATCTCATCGCCGCCCAAACTACCACGATCATCATCCGCAATCTTCGCCTTCAACTGGTTAAGCTCCGGTAATTTAGGCGGAGGGGGACCTGGCTTGGTATACACCGGCTTGGTATTTTCCTTCTGAATCTCCGGAGTTCGCTGCAGGGTGGGAGCATACACCACGGGCTTGTCTACGTACACCACGCTATTTCTCTTACTGCTACTCCCAAAACTCCTAAACCAGCTTCCGCTCTTCCTCTTCACGAAACTAGGTTTGCTGCTCGCGAGACTACTTGGACTCTCTGGTCTCATCATCTTTGACAAATCCTCATGCGATTTCGCATTTCCACCTGTGTAATTTGAGTTGAATGATTTTCGAGAGAGGAATTTGCGGATGCTGCTTTCCTTTTCAGGCCGTGTGGGAGTGTTCGGGACAGCAACGTCTGAAGGGGCTCTTGCGCGAACGGGAGGGGCATGGTTGCGAAGAGATGACATGTTAGGTGGGAAATAGCCATGGGATTTTGTCGTAGTAAGATTGGAGAAACCATGAGATTTCGTTGCCGTAAGGGGAGCAAAATCAGAATTGCCATTTGCTGACGCTGACGCTGATGTGGGAGGCGTGCTTGTAGAGGTGGATCGAACGGGATCAGTAGTCCGAGGGGCGGACACAGGTGTCGACGCCGCGGATGCAGTAGTCGATTTAATTGCCTCTTCTTCTATTGGAGAATCTGGAAGTGGCGGCGGGATATCCGTTCCATCTGTCAAATTGAAATCAAAGGATGTAAGAGCAGGTAGTTCAAATCGCCCATTGGGCTTGCCATTAACCGGCATATTTGCTATGGCTGTATTTTCTTGAGTGTTCGATTTAGGGCGGAGAGATGGCAATCCGTGAATTCCAGAGATTTGAAGGGAAGAGCCAGACCAAAAACCAGAACTTGAGAAGATAGAATTCTTGAATGGTGGATGGATGTTCGATATATCTATCACGGAGAGAGAGTACAGTTAGAGGGTGATCTGTGAAATCAGATATGTGAGCTGTTAGAATACCAAGAATAGGTAGGCAGTAACAAGTAAAATGCAAAATGCAAAATGCAAAATGCAAAATGAACCGTAACTGTGAAAGATGTAAAAGAAAGACTGACCTGTAGAACAGACTTGGCTCGAGCTTTGCTTGCAGTTTCCTGATTGGGAATTCCTTCTTCAATCCCCGAAAATAAATTGCTGGGATGTCAAAAGGTGGCGGGTGAGATGATGTGAGTGACCCGAAATGAATATGGGAGATGGGATGAGAGATGGAGAGATGGTGAGATGGTGAGAAAGATGCGGACGGAAAAGGTTCCAGTTTTTTAGGTGAGGTGATGTGATTAACAAGAGGAGAAGAAATAACGGTGTACAATATTATTTTATGTGTGAATATGTGTATGTGTATGTATGTGTGTATGTATGTTATTGATGTTGATATTAAAAACAAATGATTGGGATGATTAAAATGATTGAAATGATTGGAGTGATTGGAATGATTGAGATTGAGATTGAGGTTGAGGTTGAAGATTGAAGTGACATTAGCATTAGCATTAGCATTAGCATTAGCATTAATATTAATACTAATGTTTGGAACTAAATGGAAAAATAAATATAAATCCCAAGAACTTGTAGATAGATATAGGCAAAGTTCATATACGAGAAGATATCTTAGATAGAGATGTATGCTAGATGAATAATTAATCGGTTATATTATATTCTTTTATTGATTTAAAAGTTAAATAAAGATAAATCTTTTCGTCTTCTCTCAACATCACGCAAGTATCAAAATAAAATAAAACCAAGAGAAACCAAAAACAGGTGTGTAAAATTAATTGGAGTGAGTGATGAGAGAATAAAAGGACCCGTCCGTATCGTATCCTCATGCCTCATGCCTCATGCCTCATGCCTCATGCCTCATGTATCCTCGTATCGTATCGTTCGTTGTTCATATCAAATGTGGAAATTCTGGGGTTCCCTCATCATTTCGCTTTGGGTGCTGGGTATTTCTCTCATCTGGTTTGTCGGGTTTGTCGTGCCTCCCTCTTGTTTAATGTTGATTGCTTGTTTGTTTGCTTTGTTTGCTTTGTTTGGTTGAACAAAATGACGATCATCCATTTTTAACGAGATGTTGGAGAACCAATGAACCTCCTGCCGCTACTGAAAATTCATTTGGTCTTCATGGAGTAAAGTAATAAATATACAACCCTTGGAATTATAATCTGATTGGGAAAATATGAATGCGGGTGTTGTAACTTGTGTGGTTGTATTAATTTATGTATTTATGTATTTATGTATTACCTATTCACATATTTATACATTTACTTTCTTGTCGGTCAGTCGTACATACACAACCTTTTCCATTCCGAATCTATAATATCCCATCTTTTACTCCTCTGATTGTTTTTTCTGCTAGAACAACGTCTGGATGACAGGAAATGTCCCGAGTAAAGACTTACTTCCTCTCTTCCTCTCTTCCTCCGTTCCAACTGCTATACTATTTATATCCTTTCGTCAAGATCCATATATCTATTCGATTCTGCTATGCTTTTTCGTCGGGGATCAGGAAAAGGTGCATACTCAAACAATTTCTACCAATCGGTAATACAAAGGTGTTTCATGCAGTGCCGGACATGCACATGAAAATATATTGCATCAATGGCTTCACTAGAGTTCCGACATCCCCTTCATTATCCAATCAAATTCACCAGATTCGGTAGTTTCCGAGAACTACTGTAACCTCCAAAGAAAAGGCGAGTTCATCATCACCTTGTCCCCTTTCTGATTTCTCGGGAACATGAGAATCTAAGGCTGCTGTATACGTAATGTCATTGGGTCAACATTTATCATATGTTCGGTTGCCTCCTACGCGTAGTACAATTTTCTCCGCATGGCTCATAATCAACCACCCCCCCTTTTAAGAATTGCTTGATTACCGATGTGTTTTGCTGAAGTATTACTTGGGAAATTCAATATGTACCTTAATTCTTTCACTTTATTAACCACGATCGAAGTCTATCTAAAATGTCAACCCTAAGCTCATCCACCATCCACTCGGAATCAGTTTCCACGTCCCTGCTCTACAACCGATGGGCAGCAATTTACGACACAGACCGTAACGCTTTACAAATCCTTGACTCTGCCCTCATTCCCTCTCTGATGAAGACATTATTTTCCTTCCACCAAAGGCTCAGAATAACATCACAATCACCGAGTTAGGATGTGGTACGGGTCGTAATACTATCCGATTCCTCACACCACCTCTTTCAAAGAACATCTCCAGCATTTATGCTCTTGATCTCTCGCGAGCAATGCTTGAAATCGCTCAGTCACGTTACGCCTCCTTCAGGTCCGAGAACGGTGACCAGCTTCCCAGCATCCAATTTGACGAGTTCAATGCCCTTGATCCTCAACCTAACCGCGAAGTTTGGAAATCGATCCAAGAGAAAGCGAACATTGTTATTAGCACTCTTGTCCTAGAGCATCTTTCCCTACATACGTTTTTCTCGGCTGTGAGCTTTCTACTAAAGCCATATTCGGAAGCGAGCTATGGTAGAGTATTGATGATCAATATGCATGCTGAGATGGGTAGATCATCTCACGCGGGTTTTATGGATGAAATTGAAGGAAAGAAGACGAAGATTAGCGGCGAGAGTTATGTCTATGAGATTGAAGAAGTTGTGGAGTAAGAGAGGAAATGGGGATTTCATATTGTGGGAGACGTGCTAGAAAGGAGGATAGAAGAGGGTGACATTGAGGAGGACGGAAATTGTTCGTGCATGCTAAGCTAAGGACGCTATCCTTGGGCGGATTGTACGCAGGAATAGAACTGTAATTCCTGGGCCTCCAAAATGCTTATATAGCCAGATGAGAAAGCTACTGTACAAACGCCTTGCGTCCAATTTTATAGTACGGCTTGTTCTATCATACTATCACAACCGCCGCATCAATAACCGAGTAGGAACTGACGACATAAACATTATCAGGAAACAGATTCGGCTGACCATGACCTTAAACTACACCACACGTTTTTATGGCTTTTCCCCATAAAGACCTCAGCATAGTAGCAGGCAAATGAAGGTGACAATAATAATTATGCCTTATTTGCTGTTTGAGTCGATCTCTTCTCAGCAAACCTTAATTCTTCCCATTTATCCATGTCTTCTTCACACACTTGCCTTTGATATTGCATTAATTTTGACCGCCGTTGAATTCTCTTCTCGATGCGCTTTTGCTTGAGCATGAGCACCTCATCGGAAGCGGCATCAATCTTGAACGACTCCGTTCCCTCCAGGTTTGCCTTGTCCACCACTAAATTCCTGAGCTCTGTCGATAAGGCTTCTATCTCTGCATTCGAATCTTCCAAGCTCTTTTGCTGCCACTTGTGGAATTCTTTGTTCCACCCGTCGTATACTTGAGACGCCCACACCATTTCTATCATGGACGCAATCTGTAAGGTGCGGCCATCATCTGAGTGCTGACCCATAATTTGTATGCCAACAGTTGAAGGCACAGTCTTCTTGGAAAACTTAAATGGTAGTTTACATGGTATGCTTATGGAAGGTATGCCAGCAAGGCTAGCAGGCACAGTAAATATATCATTCATGTAAGCATCGACCGGTGTTTGGCGCTCAGTAATGTCTTGCACGATTGGTGAAAGAGTAGGAGCTGTTGGGCAAAGAATAATATCCACTTCTGCAGGGCCCAATTTGTCCTCGAGGGGAATGCCTTCTTCCATATCACTAAGATCGAACTGCTCTTCTGGGTGTAGATAGTTTGGCATGGAAAAGACACGATCAAAATCTCTTTGTACCAGCCGTCGAACCTTTTGTGCCTTGATAAAGTAGTTGTCAAAAGCCTCGGAGCTCAGTGAATAGGACCCAAGAAGAATTCGCCTTTTCACTTCGTCTCCAAATCCAGCGCCCCTAGTCTCAGAATAGAGGACATCTCCAACCGCATCACTTGACTTTCCTCGAGTGCCATACCTTACTCCATCGTATTTTGCAAGATTGGAAGATGCTTCGGCTGCTGCAAGGACGTAATATGCCGATAGAGCATGCTTTGTGTTAGGAAGTGATATTGGAACAATCGTACATCCTTGACGCTGAAGGAGTTCTAAAATTCGTTGCCACGCCCATGAAACTTCCAAGTCCAATTCTGAAATATTGTATTCTATCGGCACCCCAATTCTCAGCTCTCGAAGATAAAATGGATCATGCGTAGCAGAGGCTTTTGTCTTTTTAAAGAATTCCATTCGCTGTTCCTTGATCCGGGCTCGACTAGCGGACCTGAGACTCGTAGGATCTCGGTGATCAAAATTGCTCACCCTGTCAAAGAAATTCTGTATTCGGTTTGCACTTCGTGCTATGAAACCCACGGTATCAAGTGAATTTGCGTAAGGCAACACGCCAAAGCGAGATACAATGCCATACGAAGGCTTAAACCCTGCAATTCCTGTATAAGCAGCCGGCAACCTAACTGATCCACCAGTATCTGTGCCGAGTGCGATATTAGTCGTGCTTGTTGCCACAGCCATTGCACTACCCCCAGAGCTCCCCCCAACGGACCTTAGTCGGAAAGGCTTATAGTGACGTACGGCACCGAAATATGAATTTAACGAATGCGAACCCATTCCAAATTCATCCATATTTGTCTTCCCCGCAACATATCCACCGCCCAATTTGACATCTTTTACCACAGAAGCGTCAAAAGGACTCTTGTACCGCTTAAGAATGCGAGATGCGCATGTGGTTGACTCTGAAGCGGTTGCTATATTATCTTTTACAGCGACGGTTCGTGATGTTCGAGGCAGGAATTTCTTAGGGTCATTCTCTTGTACTATTAGCATTTATAAACATAATCAAGAACAGAATTCAATACCTGGTTGGTGAGAAGCCAAATGGATCTTGTTGCTATCATTCAGCGGGGTCAATTTTGGTTCTGATATGAAGGCATTCGTTTCTTGGTGTGGATGAACTCTCGATTCAGCAACCTTCAACTTGAGATTGAAAACTTCGGCATTAAATACATTTCGCCATTTGACATGTCGTGCCATCACATATATTATGGCAATTCAAGTATTGAAAGTGTAGAGACATACAGGAAATTCAATTCATGATTTCATCCTTCATCATTGTTGTAACCATCTGACATTTCGAAGCTTCATCGGATAAAGATTTGAATGTTTCTCCGAACTCCGACATTGAGCTCCCGACCCGAACTTCAAGCTCGCTCTCAAACTTCTTTCTTAATAAAAGCTCCCGCCACATGATTAAAACAAAATATTCACTTCCTGCCCTGACCGACCTATGCACGCAAGGTAGGTCTCACTGTATTATTGGATATCGTGTTTCATCTACTGGTATCTATCTATCTGTCTCTCTATCTCTCTATCTTCATCTCTATCTCCATCTTCATCTCTATCGACTTAATCTCTTTATCGCTCCAATCTCTCCATCTCTTTTTCAACCTCTTCAACCTTCCAAAGTACCTGTCTTTCATTCTTTGCAGCCTATCTTTATACTCTGAATGGTAGTGCTCGTTTCTCAACAATTATTTCAGCGTTCAAATTCTGGATAACAGTGCTCATTATATCAGGGGCACGGTGAAGATGACGAAACGTTTATTGACTTTGACTGGTCTTCTCACATCTCTCGCAGCAGGCACACAGCCTTCTGCCCCGCCTGCTATACAGGCACCTATGCGACCATTGCAATGGGGTCAACTTAATTTTTTACAAACCACAGATACTCATGGATGGCATGCGGGTCACCTACAAGAGTATGTTAAATTGCATACTGGCAGGAATAAGGGCGGCTGACTAAGTTCTTAGGGCACAATATTCCGCGGATTGGGGTGACTACATATCATTCGCAGAGCAGATGAAGAAGCAAGCAGATGATAAAGGAGTTGATCTTTTACTTGTCGACACTGGTGATCGAATAGAGGGAAATGGATTATACGATGCATCGGATCCCAAAGGACTTTACACATATGACATATTCAGGGAACAAAATATTGACATAATCTGTACTGGGAATCATGAGTTATACAAGGTAGACGCGGCAGCACGAGAATACGATCAAACAGTGCCAAACTTCAAAGGGAATTACCTCGCTTCAAATCTTGACTATATCGATCCGAAGACGGGAAACCAAGTTCCGATGGCGAGACGATATCGCAAGTTCACAACAAAGAATCAGGGCATCAAAGTGGTCGCATTTGGATTTCTCTTCAATTTTAACGGAAATGCAGACAATACTGTTGTGCAAGAGGTTGAAAAGACTATCAAGGAAGAATGGTTTCAACAAGCAATTCGAGAAGATGCTGATTTGTTTGTGGTTATTGGGCATGTAACGCTAGATGGTCCAGAATACAAGGCTATTTACAAGGCATTAAGGGAGCAAAATTGGGATACTCCAATTCAATTTTTTGGTGGCCATAGCCATATTCGAAGCTTCGCCAAATACGATTCTAAGGCATATGGAATACAGAGTGGTCGATATATGGAGACGGTTGGCTGGATGTCAATCGAAGGTATCAAAAAGAACGCAAAAGAAAAGATCCCAGGAAAAGAAGTTATTCCTGATGCACAAGGAGTCGATGCTAAGAAACATGCAAGAATGTCTTTCCAAAGAAGATACATTGACAACAACCTCTTTGGCTATCATTTTCATACTGGGTTAAACGATACAACATTTCCCACGGAGCATGGCAAGAACGTTTCTACCTCTATCGCTAAAGCTCGAAAGGCCCTAAACCTCGACCATAATTTTGGATGTGCCCCAAAAGATCTCTGGATGAGCAGAGCAAAATATCCCGGTAAAGATAGTCTCTTCTCATGGCTTGGCGACGAGGTAATGCCAGACATTGTGACCCATCCCGATCGCCAAAACGTTCCAACAATAGCCATAACCAATACCGGCGCCATGAGATTTGACATCTTCAAAGGTGCCTTTACAAGAGACACGACCTTCATCATCTCTCCATTCGTCAGCAAGTTTCAATTCATTAAAGATGTGCCACTCGCGGCTGCTGAAAATGTTCTCACATTACTTAACAGCGGCGGCAACATTTTCTCGTCTTCGAATCTAAATCTCAACAATCTCGCACCACCGGAGCATCTGTCCTATAAAACCGATATCCTAGTTCCCTTGATACCCATTTCCGAACTCTCACCAATATCTCACGCTCAATCTCCTCTTCTTTCATCCTCATCAATCCACAAACCCGACCTTATCCCTGGCTATACCACCAAGGACGATGGCGGCTCTGATGGGGACGACACGATTCATGCACCCATCACTTTCCACCGTGTACCTAATTGTATCGAATCCCGCATTGATTTTCCTTCCGCGGACTCGAATCCTGCCACTGTAGATTTAGTCTTTATAGATTTTATAAAACCATGGGTCCTTGTTGCATTGCGCTATTCCGGGGCGGATTATACGAACGAGGATGTGACCGGTTATAGAAATGAGACGTTGACGGATTTAATGGCTGGATGGATCAAGGAGCATTGGGGTCAGGATTGTTGAATGACATGCTATAAAGATTCACTGGAGTTAGCTTGCATTGGTACAGGATTGATTACTATTAGGATAAATACATAGTTCTCCGATGGCGGCGTCCTTGCTATATATATACTCTCGTTATTGTAATACGATTTCATGAAACATCTGCCTATGATTATATACATCACACGTGGGATCCTACATTCCTTAATCTGACAGCGCCATCAGTAGGAGTAGACAACACGTGATTGTTGTCGAGGTCAATATAAGCGGCTTCTCCAATCCTTGAAACGAAGCCAACGGCTGATTATAGCTTGACATGCTCAGGCTGAAAGGCATAGATTATCCTCAGCATGCATTCCCCATTAGTCCGAAGACATGACTTGTCGGGTGAAGTTTTAGAAGGGCTGGCAGGATTGGGGGATGGAGGGCTGGGAGACTGGGAGACTGGGAGACTGGGAGACTGGAAGACTGGGAGACTGGAAGACTGGAAGACTGGGAGACTGGAAGACTGGAAGACTGGGAGACTGGAAGACTGGAAGACTGGGAGACTGGAAGACTGGAAGACTGGGAGACTGGAAGACTGGAAGACTGGAAGACTGGAAGGCCGTAACAGCCATTGAAGCGCTGTATTTGCGGGGTCGATAGTGCTAACAGGGATATCAATCTATCGTTTCGGCGTTGAGTTTAATTGGTTACAGCACTAAACGACACTAAAAAGTCACTGTGCATTGGCCAACAATCCAAATGCAATCTCAAAGCAATATAATCCAATCAATTAATGCAGTTAATGCAATCAATCAAACGCTTTACTACTTCCAAACTCAACGGTATTTACACCTCGATACTTCATATATATACTTCATTCAAATCTGTTTTTTGAATCCTCAAAAATTGGCAAGACATTCCAATCATCCCGTGCAAGACCTCACTCACACCACCCACTCTTGTACATTCCATTCCTTTCAACCAAATTTCTCACAATGACTACGAGGTAAGATACGTTTCCGTTCTCATCGCCTGCAGCACACCGATACCGTAGTACTCACCGTTCCCCTAGATATCGAGTTGAGTGTACGTGTTCATAGCATTAGCATACTCCCAACGAAAATAGTCCATCCTAATTCCAGGTACTCAGATGCACTCAAGACTCATCGACGAGACCAATTCATAGGTACTACTAGTCGACTTCTGTTTCTAATGTCTTCCCTCGAGTCCTTTGCTCCATACATGAATAAACACCCCTCGATAGTGTTCCTGTTGACTTGGAAGTCACCATTTTCACTTTGGGCAAGTGCTCTTCTAAATTTGAGGATTTCTTTGCTAATTCTCAATGGAAGAATGGATCAAAGGTTTATTGGCTGTGCCGTTCGTATTGCATTCACAGCCAACCGGTGTGTTTGAGTCGAGAAATGGAACGATAGGTGAAATGGCCGAGATAGCCCACCGCCGTTACGCAGAAATTATGCAGGATGTTGAAGATATGATTGATGATCATAGTAAGTGTGATCCTTCACATCATCCATCTTTCGAGATATTAAAATCATCAAGTCGCCCATCAAAAGGTTGGTTTGGGAGGTCAGTCGAAATTGAAACTACTGGTTCCTAGTATTGGTACATTCTTCACCCGACTTCCACTGGCCGACGCTTTTAGATATCAGGATCGGAAACGTTTTATTTCGTCAAGAAGATTTGTTCCTCCTTCCTTCAACGATATTAGGGTGATTTTGAACACTGCGCAACTCATGGGAGTTACCTCTGCGGGCTCAGTGGATTTAGCTACCTTTGATGGTGATGTTACATTGTGAGCCATACTCTTCGTCTGAGAGCCAAATTACTAACGGAAAGTCTCCAAGATATGATGATGGTAAAAGTCTCGAGCCTACGAATCCCGTTATTGAGCGGATAATCAGTAAGTTCGACAACTTGCCCTTGCATGCTCAGCTACTGATAGTAATAGATCTCATGAGCCATAACACAAAAATTGGTATTGTAACCGCAGCTGGCTATACTGAGGCCGAAAGATATTATGGAAGACTCCATGGATTGTTGGAAGCAATCAAAGTGTCTACTCTTCTTACACCAGAGCAAAAGCAGAATCTTATTGTGATGGGTAAATCACCTTTCATTCGGCTCCTCCCGAAATTTCCTTTCCTCCATCTCCTTTTCATTGCGATTCGTCTTACCTTTGCACTTACTCACGTACATCTCTGGATGCTTTAAAACTCTCGTCACGTTCCTTCTAACACTGCATCAGGTGGTGAATCCAACTTCCTTTTCACTTATGACTCTGATTCCCCTCACCTTCTAACTCATCACCACCGCCGCTCCTGGATTCTGCCCAGTATGTCCACTTGGACTCAGCCGAACATAACCGCCCTTCTCGATCTTGCGGAATCCTCCCTCCGTGAATGTGTCACGAACCTAGCCTTGCCCGCCACTATCCTTCGAAAAGAGCGAGCTGTCGGAATTATTCCTCGTGAACCGGGCTTCAAATTTGCACGAGAACATCTCGAAGAAACCGTACTAGTTGTACAAAAAAAGCTTGAAATGTCGGATGCTGGTCGTTCGTTGCCCTTCTGCGCTTTCAATGGAGGAAACGATGTTTTTGTGGACATTGGCGATAAGAGCTGGGGAGTATTGGTTTGCCAAAAGTTTTTTGGTGGAAACGTTGAAGACGAAAGTCAATGGATTAAAGGAGAAAGAACATTGCATGTCGGAGATCAATTTTTGAGTGCTGGAAGCAACGATTTCAAGGCGAGAGTGGTAGGCACTACAGCATGGATTGCAAGTCCCAGGGAGACAGTTGAATTATTGGACGAGCTAGGAGGATTTATTCAGAAGAAGTAGGTGGATTGAGATGAGGATGTTTGTTGGGGTAAAATAAAGAATGTGGAGTTTCTTCGCACGACCAGTCCTACTTTCATCCTGAGACTGGGAGTCAGGTTAGTAATCACCTTAGTTTCACTTGTCGAGCAAATGATACGTATTATCAGCGAAGTCCCTTCATGGTCGAACTATCTCTGTGACTTCCGTATGCTTCTCCAACTCCAGAACCATCCAAAACTTATAACTTCAAATTCTTCGAAAGACACTCGCGCGAATATCACTGTCCCGCAATGAGGTTGGACTAATGCCGAATGTCGGTGATGGGCCTTCAAGATGCTAGTTGATATGAGTCGTCTCTCAAAAGAAATTGTTTTCGTGGGTGCTTTATCCATGGTATGGATTTGGTCCATCTTCGTAATTCATTGCAGAGACTGAATGGGTGAAATTGTTTGGGGTGAGTAGTGAGCGGTAATGACGCTACAATACCTTTGGTTAGCTCTAAGCACATGCGATGTACCAAGATACATCACATAACAAACACTCCGGAGGTTAATTGCCCTATCTAGTTGAGTCAGAAGGGCAATATAGCCAGTCAACTGCCCCGTGCCGGAAGGAGAAGGGAGGAGGTAGCGAGGAAAAGCGGACACTTTAGGAAAAGATGAAGGAAGAGGAGCATAGGCATGGTGAAAAAGCGTCGAGAAAAGTGAAGATTTAGAATGCAATGTCGCATATGCCATATATAAGGTGTCTTTCTTCATGTTAGGTGCAGGTCAAAATTATGAAATAATGAAATAGCTTTCTTTTTCTATCTGAGATGACAAAACTCCGTCAAAATTTCAAACACATGCAGTGGCTCACCTTTTCGGTGGTCAGTAATAGCTTCTGGCAATATTAAGCTCCACCTTCAAATCATGTTCGAAAATGCAATAAAAAAAGTATGATATGTTGAATTGCGGCTGTGAAATAGTTATAAGACCTTACAATGGGAATATCATGGACTCGACTCTAAAGCGTGACCGTGACCGTTTCACCGTGTTTGACGTAACATAAGGCTGATAAACGAAGATCCAAATACAGCAACGCATCACCTTCCACGTGCATTAAGCTTGATTAACGACAAACTACCAGGAAATGATGCTGTAGCAGGTAGTACTATTGCCGTCGTATTAAGCATGTCGCATTATACCGGTTACAAGATCAATCTAGATCTCTCCCAGGGCTTGTACATCTTCGAGGGCTCAAAAAGATGGTTGCGATGGTTGAGATGGTGGTGGCATTGCGAGCCTGGAATGGAAGAACTTCCACTTGCTCAAAAGATATTTAGGGCAAATATTTGACTCTTACCTGATATTAGTGCTAATACATCGTACAGAGTTGATCTCGAGTATTCCCTTCATATGGGCTCCTCCTTCAGACACACGGCTCAAGATATTGAAAGCAACAATTCTTGTTGTATCAGGGAAACTGTCAATTCACATTTCTACCGAAGGCAGGTAGCTTTCTAGTGCTCGGGTACTTACAACTCAGCACGAACGTCCATTATCGAACGTGGTCCGCCCTCAGATGGTCAAAAGCTGTACAATACGCTTCTTTTACCTGGATACCATCTCATTTCCATGTGTTTTATTGAGGTTTTTCGTCCTAATAATCTCCTTGAGGATGTCATTCACCTAGGTCTGACATCATTCGTGACAACGTCTGTCGGTGGATTGATGGCAAAGTGCCAGATAATCCGCTTCTATCTGGGTTAACCAAATCTCTTGCGCAAAATCCCCTCGCAGTAAAAACGAGCATTGAGATGTATCACTCTGGCTATTTTTAATAGGGAAATCTTCGGATTTTGGGAATGAGGATAATAAATGGCTGGCTAAGAAGATAAGCGAAACTATGCATGCTCCCGGCCTTCCATTGTTGGTTTGACATACAACGAATTCTGTAAGGCTTCCGTTGGATTGGTGTCTTGCAGATAAAGAGGGCACGGCACTGGTGAATTGGATGAAAGAGTCTCGTGCCGATAACCTCGTCATCTCAAGACCAGCGACTAAATTCCCTCGCCGATTACCTTATTCATTGAAGAAGGTCTTAGGGAACAATGATTGCTTGAGGAATTATGCTGAAGACTGGGTATGCTACTGGTACGAAATAACCACAGATTTGTGTCGAATCCTGTGACACATTGGTCTGTGTCAAAAGGAATGAAAGTCCGGGCACTCTTAGAAAAATTTACGCAAGTGATGGCTTTAGAGGCTTCACTCCCGCAAAATCTTCTCCACACAGCCAGGCTCAATGGTCTCCAGTGCGCTCGCAGTAGCATCAGAAACAACTTTCTACGATTCCTTTCCATCCACGTCCGTTGCCCAACCCGGTACTACATTCCTATAGCCGAAGTTTTAGCATAACAATAAAACCAATGTATGATCCAAACTCCGGTCCCGAAACCTATATTGGCAGTGGTAACTATGTAGGCGCAACCTTGAAATGTTTCAGGAGTGATGAGAAGCAAGAGATTGAGGGGTTGAGTTTTAGTTGCTGCTGCCATGGTGCCTGGAAATCTTTGGATGACAGTTGTTTAAGAAAGTACTTGTGGTTGAATAGAAGCGGCTTCTGGAAGACAATGATCTTGATGATTTGCATTTGCCGTTAAGTCGAGGATGTACTCAGTTTATATAGACTTATATGACCTGGTTGGCCGTTACTCTTTACACACACGCGGAGATTGACCCATGCCCAACTCCTGCTTGTTTTGACAGTAACCGCATTTTCATGTGACGCAAGCTATTGTCACAAATCCAAACACGGCGAAATGCCCAACCTGAGAAGAACTTGAGAGGATTGAGTAATTTACTTAATGGTCTTGTATCACGGTAATTCGTACAATAATTGGAATCATTACAAGAGTTGTTCCTAGAACTATCGGACAGCTTAGGACTCCTGTAGGTTAACCTTAACCTACCCGCCAGGATTTGCACAAAACTGTTCCATATATTTTATACTAAGATTGACTAAGAGCCCCAGTCACAAATCAACCTTGGTCAGTCCAATTCCAACCTATAAAGTCAAATGGAACTCTTTAATGTCTTTGGATTAACTAGTTTCGACCCCTATAATTTTTATGTACTTGGTGCAACAATTTTAATTCCTGCAGATGTGATTCTAAGCACGAAATCTCACACAAATCCCCATGGTATCTATCTAAGCCATCCAAAAGCTTGAATTACGGCTATATATGATTCACTAAAACAAAAATCAGTTGAATTTTCTTGCTCCGGGATGAATGCTTAGGTCGGGCAGGGGGTGTATTTGGTAGTAAAGTTCACAACTTGTCAACTAATGCATATCAACTCAACCAATTGCTCCGGATTGTTTGTTATACCAACATGAATTTGGACTTGAAGAATGGGATAAATGTTTTATAGCTCTGGCCATATTTTTTTACATGGCTCATGGCCATCAGACCAGGATATCATATGATATCGAGGCATCATACATAAAGTCGCGGGAGATTTTCTGTGCATCATGGCTGAATAGATTTGCCGTCAACGTGCGGAGCTACCATCACAAGATGTCACAAATACGCTCGAATGTACAACCACTTCCACGGCCTCATTTTAGCGAGATTTTTGTACAGATTTTAGGGCTTGTCAAATGTAATGCCTAAAGAAGTACTAGCGCCTTCCAAAGACCAAAGTATCAGTTCCAGCATGATTCATCTCAAAAAAAAATTGGACACAAATCTCGCCATAGAACCGACCCAGTACCTGCGCTCACTCTCTTTGCCTGTTCCAACATTCTATCGGGCTGATAATTCGACCGAGAACGTCACCCTACATACCTAGAATGCTCCAGACGATAGCTTCGGTTTTCAAGGACTTAACAAAGAACTCATGATCCAGCGGCGCCACCATTCATCGTAGGGCGTGCCATGGCTGACATAGTTCAACCACCAAGAATGGTTCAAGGGCGTAAATGACGCCCGGAGAGGTATGCAAAACACCCTATCAATCTTGCTGGGTCAGAATATAGGCTTTCCCACGTAAAATAAATAATCATATTTTGGGCCAGCTGACATTCTCAAATCTAGAAGTCCTCAATCTTGGAATCCATACATTGGGCATGGCTTTTTTTCTTTTTTTCGTCGAGATATATGAAGCTTCCACTTTGCTTGGCCTGCCTGGTATGCGCAAGCTTGCCCACCGGGACGGTCATGTAAGACAAGACTGTGCGATCATATGATGTAGGGCTTCAGGATTTTGACCCATACCCGTTTTGAGTCTTTGAGATCCGTTTGATCTGTATCTTCATCGTCCAGCCCTTCTCAATCAGTGGGACGCCTCGGATCGTACATATCGTACCCGTATTGTTCGTCATCGGCATCGCTCTCCAAATCCTCTCCCTGAACTCCCATGTTTCTACTAAATTCGATCTTCTCTTCGACCTCATCCTTTACAGGTGCATCGGCTCCATCCTCATCCACGGGTGCAAAAGCACTTTTAAACCCGGATTTCTTAAAGCCCCCTTTCTTGAAACCTCCAGAAGTAGCTCCAGCACCCGAATTTGCCTCTCCACTCAACTTAATCGATATCAACCCAGATTGTGAGTTTGCTTTAGCCTCCGCTTTTCGAGCTTTGGAAGAGGCCATTGGATCGCGCGTTAATTGTCGCATATCCTTAAGACGTTGTTTGTGAGAATGGTCGTATGAAGAGAGGTGAGCTTCATATTCATTCATTCGAGCGTATCCTTTGCTGCATAATTCGCCTACGCCTGTAAGAAAATGTACCAATTGTGAAAGGAGGGACTTGAGAACCTACAATAGAAAGACTTGACAGCCTCGCGAGCACTCTCAGTTTTGGGGGCAGGATTTGTGAATCCACGCTAGGAGGTTGATTGCATTAGCATTTTGTTCGAATAATCGAGTTCACGTGGATATTTACTGGAGGCATTTCGCTGACTTATCAATAGGTTCTTGCTGAACGAAAGACTTTGTGTTATTATTTTATTTTTGTTGTATTGTATTGTATTGTCATGCATGTCACGTCGTGTTGTGTAATATTTATTTTGTAGCTTACTTCCCAATATTACGTAACCATCAATCCCCACGTTCCACACGTGACCATCTAAGAAATTAAGGTGTGGCCCAGGCTCAATAATAAGGTTAATTCTAAATATATCTATCTAATCCATACATCTCCAACACATTTCATATTTCATTTCATTTCAAACTTTACTTCATGTCCATGTTTTCATGATTCTCATGTCTGACAATCCTTGACTTGAATACTTGGCCTCATATATTGTATTGCAAACATGGATGAACGAAGAGCTTCTGTCGCTTCGGACGATACTTTTGTTGATCTTCAACAACTAGATCCTTCACCTATTGATTCCCCGCCTGACTGGGATGAAAAACTACCTCAATTACCTTCTCATGCCTCGTTTGGGAGATCCTCAACCTTGGGACTTAGTGGTTCCGGCCATGGTGCTGTATATTACCGTGAGTCCCGTCTATCATGAATTTATGCAAAGTAAAGGTAAAGTATAGGTATACGGTAAACTGATGTGATATAGTCACACGTATCCAACGTTACTCTTCCTATGCTTTCTCGGTTTTTAGCGCTATGCATATCACGAATACCTCTTTGATACCCCTGATTACCCGTTCCGTATCTGCTTCTGAAAAGTATCTGCTACTCACTCGCCCATACTATCGTGAGTACCCTGAACTTACTTACTTTTTCTTAACTTTTCTGACAAGACTTCTATTACTCCTCCTCCCATGCCGTCCATTGCCCCACTGACCCGGCAGTAGAATCCTTCCCCCTGGAGCCCCTTATCATTGGTCTTCCCCTCGCCGCCCATATAACTTCCGGTATCGCGTTACGCCTCTACCGCCGCCGCGTTACTGAAAGACGTTACTCCTCGTATCAACCCACCAGTTCTCTTTCATATTTTTCCTTCTTCTCGCCTAAGTTCTGGCCCCCAGTCTCATTCACCTCTATTTCGGGCTATATTCTCACCCCCATTGTAGCTTCTCACATGTTTGTTAACCGAGTCATCCCCTTAATCCACGAGGGAGGATCATCTGGTGTTGGTTTAGGTTATGTTTCCCATGGCTTTGCCCTACATCCTGCGATTTCGTGGACGACGTATGTAGCTTTAGTAGGGATTGGTGCGAGTCACATGGTTTGGGGAGCTGCAAAGTGGTTAGGGCTACTACCCAGGGGTACTGAGAAGGAAAGAAGAAGGATATGGTGGAGTCTCAATGGTATTGTTGGTCTCGTGGGCGCTGTCTGGTTTGCCGGTGGATTAGGCGTTGTTGCGCGAGGCGGCGCGGAAACAGGATGGGTTGGTTCCGGGTATGATGCTCTTTATCAAAAAGTGCCATTATTAGCATAAAACCGGAGTGAAAGTTGGTCGGGATTTTGGTCGGGATTTTGGTCAAGATTTTGATTTAGGCTGCACATCGAGGTGTTTGATTTGAGCGTTGAGGATGATATTGAACGGGCAGGTAAATGAACGCGCTTCATAACAAACCGACCTCTAGCATCATGTATATACCACTTGCCACTGTATTTCAAACAGTTACGATAAATAACACTAGCACAGTAGAATAGAGGTGCTCAAAATAATGCAAAGTCTTCACAATTGTCCCCGATCCTCCCTCATCTCGTTCCTTATTTTCGTTACAGCCCATTCGCGTCGACATACATAAAGAAAAGGTGTGGTGTGAATTGAATAGGTGAACATGTCAATAATCTGTTCCAGTCGGAAAAACCAGGTATCAATAATGAATCCATCTGAGTAGATGACGCGTATATAAAACTATCCATAAAAGTATGTTCCAAAATTGACGCATACCAATTTCAACCATCGCTTTTAATACCATAAAAGACCAACAGGACCGTGAGACTAAACGCATGCCTACAACTGACCTTTCCTCGTTAGCTGGGTCGGTTAATAGCCACACTTCTGTAGACCGTTTAGAGCGTCTACTCTCTCACTCGTGTGCAGGGTGATATAAAGAGCTGTGGTGAGTAGTGGAGGGGCGCCTTTGAGGCCTACGGTTATCCATTTAACATTTACATCACACGCCATCACATGAACTCCATAGGACGACATGAAATTTAAGGGATGTTCTTTTAGCACTTGGCTGCATTATCTCAGACATGACAGTCAATTATCGACAGTTATATACAACACAACAGCAGGCCCTCCATGTTTTCGAAAGGGTACAGAGATCCAATATGTGAGGAGACACCTTTACGCCCTTGATAGCATACATTCATATACCCATGTTCCCACCCGCTCCATTTTTAGGTAGTCCCCAGTGAACTCCTACCATGAGCCAAGTACGCAAAGTTTTTTGATTGCGCCATGCTGAGCCCATAAAAAAGCAAACGCCAACCAACTCACCAAATTTAAGTGCTCCAATCGGTGATCTAAGCATACCATCCCTTCGCGCCAATATTACTGTTGTCTTGTTCTTCTCGGTGGTCTATCATTGATTCTTTAATATCAAAGAGCTTGATCAATTCTTGCCAATCATCCATATCGAGGGAGAGAACCGCTTGATGTCTTGCTGTATGGGAAGAACTACCATTAACTTCCGCCTCCCTAATCCCTACTTTTAGTTAGCGTACAAAATCTGTCTCCTGCAATGTGATGGGCAAACCTATGTATGGAAGGCCATCAGAGTCTATTTTAACTTCTACTTTGCCGTCCCGAACCAGGAAGCTCACGTAAAACATGTTCTCGATCGTCTGACCGAACGAAAGCGGATTAATGACGAATTTGAAGTACGCCATCATCCACGTTTCTGACAAACCGTATTTATCTCTTAGTGCAACGCCGTCCTCTTCTGACATGTCTTCTGTGTACTCCTCCTCTGCAGCACGAGCAGATCTTAGCTGAACTTCCCTCAATCTGTCTTCAATTTTTGTGCATAGATATGTCAAATTAGCATTCTCTGATTTCTCAATATCATCTGCTTTCAAGAGCTCGGGGCGTGTCTCCTGGAGGTTGTTTGGTCTGAGTGGAGCTCTTCTGACATTAGCCCTGCGGGCGCGCTTTTGTAAAGATAAAGGACCGAGAAGAAAACCTGGCACTGATGGGCGAGCATTGTTCGGCAGACAGGCATTGCGTCCGAGATGTTCCCAATTTAGCATCTCACCATCATTGTCGTTGTCACTATCCTCTTCATCTATGGCCCCAACCCGCCGACTGCGTTGGGTGTTTCGCGGGGCATGGCCCTCGGAACGTCGAACACTTCCCATATATAACTTAATCTTGGAAACAAAATCATCGACGTCAACTCCTTGTGCAGTGTCTCCAGATGTCATCCGGAGTGTCTTCTTCTTGGCGAGGTCTGCAGTACTAACAAGCAATCGCGAGTCAATTGTTGCGTCCGAGGTTTGCTTCACCCTCTCTGAAAGCTTGTTTGCCTTGACCAATGTATCCTTGATACCCGTGGACTCCGCATGGAGATACTCGGCACGATTATCTTGCAAAGTCCTTGTAAGGCCCCTGTACTCGAGCCGAAGCTTCCTTCTCTCCTCTACACTTTGGTCTGGATCATACTCCTGACCCTCCTCCTCACCTTCATCCACTTCTGTCGTGCGTCTTCTCTGATTGCGCTGTATTGAAGTGTCTCCCTCGCCAGTGGCTCCAGTACGCTTTCTCTTGCTACCTGGAGATGGAGCCCCTGGAGGGCCCATCGAAGCGCTTAAAGCTATACCTTTTCCTTTGTCGATTGCACTTCTCGAAGGGCGATTCTCTTTATCGGATGAAATGGAAGCCGTTGGTGACAGGGATAAAGCCCTGCTGTTGAAAGTTCCTCGTGGATAACTTGGCCCGGGGGATGCTTCGTACAAACCCTCGTCAACATGAGGGGCAGGAGATTCTGAGATCTTTATTCTTGACATGATGAATTACTGGGAGAGTTGGGGCGACTCGAATGGATCGATAGAACTAGAAGCGCAATCTTTCCTGAAAGTTTTCGTTTAACGACGCTGAATTCGTGAAATGAAAATGAAATGTGGAACGGAACGTAGTTGCGATAAAGAAATAGCCTCGCGTCTCGTCAGGTCGCGTTTAATTGTGCGGTGCGATATGTTCTCGGATGAAAGTTCTCGATAAGATAAAGAATTTATCAAATGAATGAATGATTCCTACTAATTAGTTTTCTGTAAATAGAGAATTACTGTCTCATTATTCGCGTCATGATAGAGTAGGTTTCCAGATCGGGGAGTTTTTTGAAAATGTAAAAACTGAGAGATGGACAATCAATAGAGCTTTTTTGTCATGAAGTGACTTTAGGATGGATAGGAAGGGAACGGAGAGAGAAGAGATGATTGCGGTAGGCTGATGTTGAACGTTGAAAGGAAACGGAAAAGGCAAAGGACGTTGTTTAATTTCGGAGGTCGATTTTATTTTTGGAGGTCGCGTTCGTTGTAGTAGATTTGATGGATGGATGATTAGATAAAAGATAAAAGATAAAAGATAAAAGATAAAAGATAAAGCTTGGCGGGGGCGATTACTAGCGCGACTTTATCCTCTCACCAACGGAGTAACAAAACACCGACGACTTTTGGAAGACGGGGAAGTGCACGGACATTTATTAGGATGTAGGTAGGTTGGGTATGCAATCCATCAATCATGATGGCACTGTGCTTGCTTGCTTGCACATAAGATCTTACGTGCTCAGCAGCTGAAGCTTCATGATATCAATGAATGATATCAATGAATGATACATGATATCTATCCATAATATTTCAATGAATAGCAAGGGCATCCAACACATTCATCGGGATTTTCTTACTATTATTACTTCTGTCGTATATCTACAGAAGATGGATCATGGAACCTTTTTCCTTTGCAACTTCAGAATCTTTGGATATTCCCGTGAATATTAGAATGTGAGTTCTTCGCAACACAACACTACAGCTTCCTGGCATGGTCGTTCTTTTCTCTTCTGTATATGCGCCTACTGAGTATTCTATAGCGTCAACCTTGAAGGGGAGCAGACCCCGATTCCATTTTCCACACTCATAAAGCGACCAGACTTGAGACACATCGGCTCCAATGTGAGGTACGTACCTGCATCTACCTTCTACTCCAAACGCTTGCATACTAACACCGACACTCTATCGCAGCTCTCACTCGGACCTTTATGTTACTGTACAGTTATGGGCCGACTCGAAACCGTTGACCGTACCGATTCAAACGGCTTACAAACCGTTCAAAAATGAGAGGAAGTCAGTTTCAGAAAGCCGTTAGAATTTTGAAGCTGCTAACTATTACCAAGATGGAATGAGTGGCTTACATTACCTATAAACTGCTCGACAATACCTTTAAGCTCTCAACTTGCGATTACCGTCTGGGATCTTTCTCCAACGGGAGGTGACGGGGTACAGGGACATGCTGTGCCTTTCGGGGGAACTACTCTACGGCTGTTCGATAAGGAAAATCAGCTACAGAAGGGTCGCCAAAAATGTTATTTGCATCGTCGAAAGGCTGCGGATGGCCTGGATTCCTCCTCCACGCCCTCGACTTTACCTAATGTCCGCCGCAGCGGGACCAAAGTGAAGGGCGAAGACGAATCAATAGATAAAGAGAGTGAAGAATTAGACAGGCTGGAAAAGCTCTTCAAGAAGCATGAGATGGGTGAAATTCCACGCATTGAATGGTTGGATCAATTAGTTTTTAGAGGGGTGGAGAAGCGAGGCCTACAAGCATCTAGTACCTCGCTGAAGAACATTCAACGCAGACGAACTAGGCAAAAAAGTGTGGTGTTGACTCTTGACGGTGCAGAGGAAAAGAAGAACGATATTGAAAACGATGTATCAGAGGACGATCCGTCCAAGGACGAAAGATTCACCCTTCATGTGGAGCTACCAAGATATGACTTTCCGGTGGTATTTGCCGACCATGAATACCCTCCGCCACCTATATCTTCGCTACAGCATCTGTCTTCCTCTCAGTCAAATATTATCCTCAAACCTCCTCCGGAAGTTCAATATGGGCCGGGCATCAATGGTCTGGGGGATAGTGACGAGCATGGCTTTGGTGGACGTCTTGTAAGAGTTTATGACCCTGAAGTTGGAGCTAGAGACAATCCTGCGGAGAGTAAACACCGTCGTTTGGTGCGAAGTCACCGGACTGGAGTGCTAGATCGTGACCTCAAACCAAATGCCAAAGTCCGGGACGAGTTAAACAATATTATAGCATATTCGCCAACGCACATCTTATCGCCAGAGGAAAAGGATCTTGTTTGGAAATTTAGGCATCATCTTGCGAGAGACAAGAGGGCACTCACAAAATTCATCAAATCTGTAAATTGGAATGACTTAAACGAAGCCCGTGAAGCGGTGGCCATGTTGAGCAAATGGACCGAGATTGATGTTGATGACGCTTTAGAATTACTGGGACCGACCTTCGAAAACGCCTCTGTCAGAGCCTATGCAGTAGATAGACTGCGAAAATCAGATGACGATGAGCTACTGCTCTATCTTTTGCAGCTGGTACAAGCTCTCAAATTCGAGCATATTTCACCTGATTCAGCTGAAGACGCGACACATGATTCTTCCCTCGCGCGGCTCCTTATCTCAAGGGCAACAAATAACTTCATGCTTGGAAATTTCTTTCATTGGTTTCTCATGGTGGAATGTGATGACAAGAGTGAAGATCAAGGGGCTGGTTATCGCAAACTGTTTGCAAAAGTCGAATACGATTTCATGACTGAACTGGTAAAACAGCCCGAGGGAATCGAGACGCGAAAGGTTTTACTGCGCCAAGCGGAGCTCATTACGATGCTGTCCAGAGTGTCTGAAGATATAAAAACCTCGAGGGACACGATACCTCGAAAGGCCGAAAGAGTAAAGCATTTTCTTGCTGACCCTAAGAATGAACTTATCACTATAGATCCCCCCTTACCCTTACCACTAGATCCTTCTATAATGATCACGGGTGTGGATCCTTCCGAGACGAATGTTTTCAAGTCATCGTTATTCCCAATCATGATGACCTTCAAAACAACCACCAAGCAAAAATACCAAATAATTTTCAAGACGGGAGACGACTTGCGCCAGGACCAGTTAGTTATCCAAATTATTACTCTTATGGACCAACTATTGCAAAAAGAGAACTTAGACCTTAAATTGTCACCCTATAAAATTCTTGCCACTGGAGCAACTGCTGGAGCTGTTCAATTTGTTCCGTCGATGAGCTTGCAGAGTATTGTCAACAAGTTCAGAGGCAACACCGTACTCAACTACCTCAAATCCAACAACCCTGATGACAAGGCATCACTTGGCGTTCGCAAGGAAGCCCTGGATGTCTTCATTAAATCGTGTGCAGGATACTGCGTGATCACCTACCTTCTCGGTGTGGGGGATCGCCATCTGGATAATCTTCTTCTGGCGCCAGATGGCCATTTCTTTCATGCTGACTTTGGCTTTATCCTTGGTAGAGACCCCAAGCCATTCGCGCCAGCAATGAAACTTTGCAAGGAAATGGTAGACGGTATGGGCGGATCCATGTCTGAACATTATCCACAGTTTAAGCAGTATTGCTTCACGGCTTATACAACGTTACGGAAGTCTTCGAATTTGATTCTCAATCTCTTCAGTCTCATGGTTGATGCCAACATTCCGGATATCAAACTTGAGCCAGATAAAGTTGTATTGAAGGTCAAAGAACGTTTTCATCTGGAATTAAGCGAAGAGGATGCAATTAGACACTTTGAAAGGCTGATTGAGGATAGTGCGAATGCTATCTTTCCCGTCGTCATTGATAGGTTGCACGGTTTTGTGCAGCATTTCAGATAGAAAGTATGATCGGTTAAGAGATTGGCGTTTCGGCGTGTATTACGACCGGCAATTTTCGTACATTAGTTGGCGGAATTTGATGGTAATACATTTCACATATAGGTTATCATCAATGATACTCAGTCACAGGGTCCAGCATTTTGGCTCAATATTATCCACAATAACTAAGTGTGATGAGAGGACAGCGGTTGGAACTGGCTGTAGATATCCCCTAGTGCTTCATGGTCCAGCATGGTATAGATGGATGGTGATCGGAAGTTCCAAGTGACTTCCGCGTGCTGTATGTGTCACTGTGTTCGTGAGTGGGGAGTTTGATTTCAGAGCATACCTGTAACCCTATTTGAACACGATTAGCATTGTTCCGCAGACTGGGCCCCAGGTCTCATACGCTTACTCATTCCTCTCCGTCATGAAAAAAGGACGCTAAACCGAAATAATCTGATGCCTTGTATTACATTATATCACAACAAAATATTCTTAAGTTCAATCCTGGCATATACACATTTGAATTCAAATCTCTAACTAACGCGTAAACCATTTCTGAACATTGGAAGATCATTATCTTAAACCTCTGTCGAACATCCAGCTCGACCTTAACGGGAATTTAGTAGTCTTTAGTAGATACGCGCTGACTGGAGTGTTGTAGAGAAAACATTCTGCAGTGCTCGGTGCGTTTGAAAAACTCGTACAAAGTCGATTGATTTTACAGCAGGTAATGGCAAAGACCTAGCGCTGTGCAATACCTCTTTGTCCTATCAAATAGCATACGTAGCTTGGAAGATAACTTTTACACAGTGATAGTTTCCAACTGAAGAATGTTCAACTTAGTGGTAGCTTAGAAAGTCCATTCCAAATGGACTTATCAGATGAAACCCGTTTAAGAAGCGAGAAAAGGCTCGGCCCCTATCTTGGCCCCTGGTCACTAAGTACCCTGAACAACTACTCCAAACTGGCAATCTCTTCACAAGGAGCAGACAAGGTAGCCTGGTTAGTGTGCTTGATTTAAGAACCGCATGCACAAGCTGTCTCGGCGTTCGACCCTCAAGTGGTTTTGATCTAGATCTTGAAGTGCTTATGAAAAGGTTGTATTAAAAATCCCAATATGGACGTGCAGGGATTGACTAGAATTGTGTATGATACCGATTCCTTCCTGTCACGGCTGTCACATAGGCCTAGAAGTTGTGCCCTGCTTTTAGTTTGGAAAGAACTGGGTTGCTAGCTCTCATCTTTTACTTCATCACTTCTTCTTGTACTCATCTCTTCTCTTCTCTAGCCAATTTGTCTTGGAGGAGGTTAATCGATAATAAATAATAATAATTATAATATTATTATTATTATTATTTATAGTGATAGTGGAAGACTTAGTTGTATCTGAGCTTAATTGTTCGGCTTGCTGACATTATAACCTTGCTATACATGAGGTTTACCCGATGGATGATAGAAAATAAGAAATTCGTTTAAGTGAGTCGCGATCCTGACAATCTGATTGGTCTAAAATACCCCAGTAAATAATCTAACAAAAAACTTAGTATAGGCCTTATAATCTCAGACAAATCTGATTTAAAACTTTTTTCAACTTTATTAAAATCATTCAACTTTATTGAAATTATTTAACTCTGAAATCATTTAGTTTATAATTATTATTATTTTTAAATAAAAAAATTAAATTTTCAATTATCAAAAACAAGCCGATATTCTGCCTGCACTCTAATATATATTTAATATTTAAATTTATTATAAACTTTTTAAAATTTAAATTTTCATTAGACTTTCTCGAAAAGCCAGGGGTCCAGGCCCCTGGTAATTTATTAGAGAATCTCACAATTTGTTTTTTAATAGAACTTGGAAATGTAAACTTCTATCGCGTTGTGAAAAAAGCGCGGACTCACAGTCGATTTAAGCCCAAAGATCGATCCTCGTCAAACAATTTGCATACCATTTGCCAAAAATGACTTGCTACTACGCAAACTACTACGTGCGTACTCACACTCTATTACCTTTACGTTTCTGCATACAAAAAAACATATACATATATCAGGTACTCACTGCCATTGAGAGCAGGGCCTTCCTTAACTGCCAGAAAATGGTTCTAAAATTCGCAGATCGATGCAGTTTATGTCTTGTAAGCACGGGTTTCCTCTCAAGTATCTTTGAAGAATCCCAACACACACTAATTCGCTTTGGAGCCTCAATCTCCAAACAAGGATGATAGACTTGAATGGAGTGATGCAGTTATAGGTCAACAATGGCTAGAAAACTCCAGGAGGGAACAGTTGAGAAGGGACAAAAATAATTCGATGAGGGAGAGGATTGTGAGGGCTGCTAAGTGAGGGTATTGGGCGATGTAAGAGGTGTGAAAGAGCAGGTGTAATAGGATGATGGGGTCGGTTCTGTGGGTGATCGGTTCAGCTATGTTCAGGGAAGGGCATATAGAAATAAATTGGTGGATGGGGGAAATAGGCGCTTGCTTTTGAGGGGCATGACTCGTAGAGCTGATTTCGTTTTGTGGAAGGAGTGATGTTAAGATTTCTTGATTTCTTTTGCAAGGAAAGGAATCATGGATGCATAGCTCGGCTTTCACGTCTTTTGAATCTTGGGTGGAAATAGAATACTGGAAGTGGAATAGGGAATGAGTTAATGTAAAGTCACGATAGATTGGATGAATCACATCTGAACCATGTTCCATCATATACTGGAACATAAATTTAATATAATTTACCACTTTAGAAGGAAGTGATTCCTGGGTATAAAATCTCCGAGATCCAACATGCACCAAACTCCAGGGGAAAAGTTCTGTCACCATCACAGGCTATCTTGCCTGTTAGGAGAAGCTTCATTTGACGCGACTACATCCATTTTCTCCTCTTCTTCTACAGCTTCCTCCCCGAATTCCTCCCCAGGACTACCCACACTGCCTGATCCTGCACCGTTCTTCACCACCTCAACCTCACCCTCACTCTCATCTAACAGGTCCTCAATATCTCCCAAAGGACTGATCCTCGGCTCCAACACCTCCAGGTCCTCCAGTATCTCCCTCTTCGGCATCTTCCACAACGTCGTGCCACACACCCTATCCTTCGTTAACAAATCGTCCACGAATTGATCCATGAACGTCAACGTTGTCCCCGTCCTTGTCTTTCTTCTCAGTTTTCTCCTATCGTCCAAATAACCTTCCAAGACCATGAAGACATCTTTAGCCTGTCTTGTCATCCTCCAGTAAAACAATGCTAATGCTCTCAAATACTTGAACTTCTTCCCCCCGTATCCCATGTATTCCTGCAATATGTCATCACTGGGCCCTAGTTGTAATAATTTAAAGGCGAGGCATAAAAACGGCGACGGCCGCTGCGAATCCCCGTATGTGCCGGCGATAAACGTTACATGGGAAACAACGCGCGATACGATATCAGCTTCATTGAGAGCAAAACATTGGTCTTTCCAGAAATAGCAATCCACAATGCGTTCGCGAACAGGTTTCTCGAGGATAGTGGCGGGATTGAGACCGTTGGGAGCAAGGGGGCCAGTATTGCCACGTTCGTCGAGGAAACGCTTTTCATCGGCGCGGTGGGTAGTCATTTTAGATTTTTGATGATTGGGAAGCTTCGTTTGCAAAGGATGGAAGTTCTGATAGACAGCTAGGAGGCTGGAAGTTTTCCAATGAATAGGGGGAAGATTTCAAGGTTCAATTCATTAGTAGGAGAATGGATGATTGATTGATTCTTGATTCTTGATTTATTGGTGTTTCACGAATTGACGTTTGTGAGATTATGAGATTATGAGATTATGAGCTTATGCGATTATGATCTCAGGTACTTTTTCCCTTATCAACGCATTTATGGTTGATAGTTGCTGCGTTAACCAGCCACTATTTTCAGCGCATCACCGTATTTGTTGTAAGATTACAAGGAAATGCATCCATGAGTGAATTACATTCCACTACCTACCTACATATATACTTCAATTAGGTAATGTTAGCAAATATTATTTCGTATCCATTTTCGGGGGCTTAAAAGTCTCAATTTGTTTTCAACGTAGCGAATTCAAAGGCACTTAGTAAAAAGATGCTTCTCACATCCGGTCAAGTCTCAGTTGCAATATCTTCTTTTATTGGTACGTGCCAGCATCCTTTTGCCGCATTCCTAAAAGACTATCTCACACACACTATTACAATGCCATCCCATCTCAAATGGCCATGATTTAAAACTAACCCGAAAGCCTTCAGTGTTTTTCTTTACTACAGCCCTCTTCCTCTCCGGCTATGTCCTCCAACAGCAAACGGTGCGCGACCTGAGAGAGGCTATTAAACCCCAGTTTCAGGCAAAATTGGTAGGGCTGGAGGTTTCAAATAACTTGAATATGAATGCCGATAGGAGTGGAAGGAAAGGTCAGGTGGAAGTTTTCCTGCCAAAAAAGTTTGAGGTGGAAGAGGAGCGGGGAGATGATGTGAAAGTGGGGATTAAAAGAGACATGGAAGCCGAATGGGATGGAGTGATCGGAGAAAGAAAGAAAGTCGAAAAGACGAGGAGTGGGAAAACTAAAGACTGGAGTGGCATTGAGGAAAGGCTCATTGAGCCACAGAAGAAACATGGAGTTGAGGAAGAGGAAGATCCTGAGTCGATAAATGATACGGGAAGCATTGCAAGGGAAGAAAGAGAAATCACAGTTCCGGAGAAGCCTTTAAGTCGTGCAGAAAGGAGGAGAAAGATCAAAGAAGACCTCTTGACATCTGGAGAAGGGGAAACTTTCACTGGGTATCGGAGGCGTGTTCCGGGAGTCTGAGTTTGACATGGGAACTTCGGTGTATGGATAGGAGATTGTATTTTATGATATGATGTTGTAAATTTTTGGATTTTAGCGTTTGGGACTGTTGTTTAGTAGATCACAGAATCAAAGACAGTAAATGTGTCTTCATTAGTTCTACGAATGGATATAGGATGACATAAGAAAGAGTTAGTGGTAAATTATAAAGGGTACTTTTTTATAAACTCAGTCGCTTTTTAGTATATTATAACATTGATTGTCAGCTTGCCGACACCATAACCTTGCTGTACGCGAGGTTTATTCGGTGTAGGTTGTAGAAAATGAGGTTCGCTTAAGGTTGCGATATGATTGGTCGAGAAATGAGTCGCGATCTTGATAATCTGATTAGTCTAAAATACCCCGATAAAAAATCTAACAAAAAGCTTGGTATAAGCCTTACAATTTTAGACAAATCTGACTTAAAGCTTTTTTCAATTGAATTGAGTTGAAAAAAGCTTTAAATCAGATTTGTTTAAGATTGTAAGGTTTATATTAAGTTTTTTGTTAGATTTATTTACCGGTATATTTATTAGGGTATTTTAAACCAATCAGATTGTTAGGATTGTGATTCATTTAAATGAGTTTCTCATTTTCTATTACTTATTGGGTAAACCTTGTGTATAGCAAGGTTATAGTGTTGGTAAGTTGACAATAATTAGATATAATTTTCAAAAACAAATTATCTAAAGAGGAAGTAGATTAAAGATGAAGGAATAAGTTTTGTTTTGGATGTAGTAAATCTGATTATCAATTTAGAAATTGTTGAAATAAGAAATCGTAGAGATAAAAAAATTATTATAAAAAAATAAAATTCAGAAAAAATCAATTCAATACTACTTTTATATTCAATTATATATTTCAAATTTAATTGAAGATAATAATTATAAACAAAAACAATATTAAAGGGAAATTAATATAATATTATAAAATCAAAAAGGATTGAATGTTATAAATCAATATAAATTGAAATATCTTCGAACTTTATTATTATTTTTAATCAAAGAAAATCTAAAAGAAATATTATTAATGAAATATATAATGATAAATTAAATAATTTGTTATAATGGTTTTTGTAAAATTTATTTATTAAATAAAATAATTATAAAATAATTATAAAATAATTCTTTTATAAAAAGAAGATAAGAAAAGTTTTGTTATATGATTGTCGAAATAATCAATTATATGAAATTAATCAAATTGATTAAAATAAGATTATAAATTGAGGATAATTAAATATTATAAATTAAATAGGATAGATTTATTATAATATCAAGATAAATGAACGAAAAATCCAAGTTATGATTGATTCAGAGGTTATTGGAAACTTTATTGTGTTTGAAATTAAAAAATATTTGAAAATATAGTTTTAAATGAAATAGATCCTATATGAATTGTAACTAATTGATAAACAATTAATAAAATTGAATAATAAAGTTTTATAAAAGATTTGTTTAATATAGATGAGTATAATTTAATTCGATATTGTTCTATTAAGAAATCAATAAATCGTTTTAAAAATATTATAATTAAAGATATATAATTTTAGAATCCATTGAATTATTAAAATTATAAGTTTTTCAAATAAAAATAATTATTAGAATATATTAAAATTTATGAAACTGAATATATATAATAAAGAATTGAAAATAAATAATATTATCGATATAAGATATTCAATTCAAGGTTTTTTATTAATAATAAAGGAAAATGAACTTTTTATATAAATAAAAAATAAACCAAAAAAATTATTTGATATTATTTTTATATAAAAATAAAAATAAATATTAATATCAATATAATATTAAAAGTATAAAATATTATTTGAAAAAAGGAAAAATTATAAAATAATATTGAAAGAAAACCCAAAAATTTTATTCAAATCAATTTATTAAATATCGGAATTAAAATTAAGAATATTGAAGAAATATATTGATAATATATTAAGAAAAGATTGAATCAAAAAATCAATTTTATAAATAATTAGTTCTATATTATATATATCTAAAAAGGATAATATTAAAAGATTATATATAGATTATTATAAGTTTAATAATATAACAATTAAAAATCGATATCTATTTCTATTAATTATAAAATTAAAAAATTAATTAAAAAAAGTAAAGATTTTCTTCAAATTTGATTTGTAAAATAGATTTTATTTAATCAAAATAAAAGAAAATAAAGAATGAAAAATAATATTTCGAATTCGATATAAATTATATAAAAATTAAATTATATTATTCGGATTAATTAATATATTAATAATATATATATAATTAATCAATAATATATTAAAAAAATATCTAAATATTTTTTATATATATTATTTGGATAATATCTTAATATTTTTCGAAATAAAAAAACAATGTATACTAAATATATATAGAATATTAAAACATTTGAAAAAGATAAACTTTCAATATAAATTTAGCAAATACGAATTTCATATTATAGAAATGGAATTTCTAGATCATATAATCTTTTCAGAAAACTTTAAGATAAGTTTTGATAAACTAAAAGCAATTCAAAATTAGAAATTATCAAATAATATAAAAAAGATATAATCCTTTTTAGGATTCGCTAATTTCTATCAATAATTTATCAAAAACTATTTTAAGATAATTATTCTAATATCAGAAATCATCAAAAAGAATCAAAAAGAATTCTAATAGACTTTGCAAGTATAAAAGGTATTCGAAAATTTTAAAAAAGTCTTTATTAAAAAATCTATTCTTCTAACTTTTGATCTAGAATTGTTAATAATTATAAAAACAGATACTTCAAATTATATAATAAAAATTATATTGAATCTATTAAATTCAAATAAAAAATAATAATTAGTCATTTACTATTCATATACATTATTATTAATCAAATTAAATTATAAAATATATAATAAAAAACTATTTACAATTTCAGAATTTTATATATTAAAAAAAACGAAAATGTTAAAATAGATACTTTTAATCGATAATTAAAATATTTATAAAATAAAACTTACAAAATATATATAATATTAAAATAAAAAAATAATATATTAATATATAATAAATCTCGATTGATTATTATTTTCAAATTATTAAATAATATAATCAAATCGTAATTATCAATTTATTATAAAAATGATATTATTATATAACGAATCTTAAAAACACTAAAATTAGAATTTATAATCAAAAAAGAAATAATTTATTTCTATAAAAAAATCTATATCTTTATTAGAATAACAAAAGATTCTGTTAAAGAATAATATGAATTACTAATATATAAATATCAAAGGATAATTGAAACTTTTATAAAATTATAATAGGAAATATATTTCCTAAAAATAAAGACAATAATTAAAGGAATAATTACGAAATATAATATTTATATATAAAACAAAATTGTTAAATATATTTTATATAATCAATTCAAAATCTTTGATTTATTTTCGGAATTATAAAAGTTTATTGTATAAGATTTTATAATTAAATTATTTCTTTTCAAAGAATTAGTTATGAAAAAAGAATATAATATTATTCTATGAAATATAATCTATCGATAATTTGATATATAATATTTCTAAAAAGTATAATCAATATATAAAATATATCAAAAAAGATAGTTTCAGATCGAGATAAATTGTTTATTTTGAATTTTGGATTATATTAATAGTAGTATTAAATAAATAAACAAATAAAATAATTATATTAAATAATAAAAGTTTATTTATGATATTATATTAATTATAAATAAAACAATGGAATTGAATTATCATTTTTGATTTAATTCGTATATAATTCATTAAAAACAAAAACAATAAAAACTATATTAACCTATATTAATTTTGGATTACATTCAATAATATATCGAATAATATTATTACAAAATGGAAATATAAATAAAGTTATAAAGAATATTCAAAGGATCAAAAATCTACCAAAAAAAAATTCGTTAAATTTATAATTTATAATTTTATAAATAACAATATATTATAATTCATTATATAATATAAAATTTATATTTAAAAAAAAAGAATAAAGTTTATCTTCTTTGACGAAATATATAAACAAAATAATTTAGTGATAAATTAAATTATAAGAAACTAGGATTATTCAAAATCGATAAAATAGTTGAATCAATCAATTATAGATTAAAATTATTATATATTCTATATATTGTGAGAAAGTTGGAATTATAAGTCAAATAAATAAAGGTTTTTAACTAATCAATTATATAACTTTTTGTAGTTAGATATAAAAGGAGAGCTTTTACCTCTTCTTTTGAAAATAATCAACCTTTTATATATATATATTCGAATCTATATAGTATTAATTTTAAAATCATTGTGAATTTTGTTTTCTTTATAAGTGATGTATTACAATGTAATCTAATTCAGTTTTCTTTTTCAATTCCCTTTTTATAGTATGTTATCAGGATGTATGTATCTCGATCTATCATTTTTATAATATCTTTATTCGAATCAAATCGAATTAATCAATTCAAATATTATATATAATATCGAAACAATATTAGATTATAAATATATCAAAAGCAAGATTTCCTATATTTGGAGAACATTTAAAAGTTAAAGAAAGATCTTAGTTGTTTTGGGAAGTTAAAAGAATTCCATTAGTGATATCCAGAGTTGTTCAAATCGAATTATCAGGATTCAAAGAATCTAAAAAGGAAAAGAAATTATTCCATAAAAACTCTATAATATAATAGAAAAAGTGATTATAAAAGCTTGAAATAAGTATCAAGCTAAATCTTATCTTTTGTAATAGTTGAATGATTTCAATAGAGTTGAATGATTTTTATAAAATTGAAAAAAGTTTCAAGTTGGATTTGTTTGAAATTGTAAGGTTTATGTTAAGCTTTTTGTTCGATTATTTATCAAGGTATTTACTAAGATATTTTAAACTAATCAGATTATCAAGATTGTGATTCATTTAAATAAGTTTCTTATTTTCTATGATCTATATCAAATAAACTTTGTGTATAATAAGGTTTTAATATCAACAAATCGATAATATTTTAATAAATTCTATTCTACTTTTTGATCTGATTAATCAGATTTGAATAAACAAAAAGATCGTTTCTTTTTTTCAACAATTTATAATATAATTATTATTAAAATTGAAACAAAATTTGATTTACTATTTATTTGATTAATTATATATAACAATCT